CCAAATCCAGTGATTTTCGTGACCTCAAAACTTATCCCAAATTTTTATGTATTTTAGGCTAGAAAGATAAAATTTAAACAAAAGATGACGTTCTATAGGTAGTCCACCCGGGCCTTAAATGATAAAGTAACAGAAATGAGAATTGAATCGATAGAGAATATGGGGACGATGGAATATCCGTTTTATTTGTACCTCCTCGAGGCTCTGATAAGACGTTGCAGTCTGGCCCCTTGGATTTGCTGATGCCATCTCAACAATGCTCTGCCACTCTGTTAACCACTCGGTTTCCGTGTACGACAGCCCAGCCGCTGCATTCAAACCCTTCTGCCTCCATCTCCATCTTCTAAAGAGTGCATCTCTGTATTCGCCCTTTGACAGTGTATTGTGTAGTGCATCCCTCAGGGTCAACAATCGATCGTGAAAGCCCCACATGCCCAAAGAGGCTGCGTGGAGGAGACAATTTCCATCCCCAGTTGTTGCCAGTGGCCAAAGTACACGTGTGCCACTGTTTCTACCCCCACACCACCAATTTAATCTTCCAGCATTCTCCAGGGACGTCAGACAGCCACCCTCTATCAGATCTTTCTCCAGAAATTGGCGAAAAGAATCTACAGGGCAAAATATCAGGGTCAACATCTCACTAGCTGTGCCTAATTCATTTTTTTCTTTCATCTCAAAATTCCTATTCGGTATATATCGGTTTTCTCTCGATCGCGAATAATTTATCAAGGTCGATGCTGAGGGAAAGGTCGACTTTTGAAGAAGATTTCTACTTGCTCAATTGATTTGATATTAATTAATTCGAATGACCTTGATGAATTTCATTTGGAAATGTCATGCATACATTTCACGAGAGGAGAGAACACGGAATTTATTACAGTGTCGGGAGTTTTGATTATTCGTGAAAAAATGGAGGGAGAAATAATTTAATACCCAATAATAAATGAGTTAATTACCCGGATAAACAGAGAGATCTGGCAAGGAAAATGTGAACTCTGGTGTGTCTACAGTGCCAAATGCTGCCAGCTGTGTTCTAGCATGCGATACGATAGCAGCATTCTCTGTAGCACGAGAAATTCCTCTTGCCAATTTCTTCGTAGCACCACCTGGGGCCAGGGTGGCATTGTTACTCCCTGTCTCTGGTTCCAATCCATCATACATGGATACAGCACCACTCATACCACAATCTCAACTCTGAAATTGCACATTTTAATAACCACTAACATTCTTATCAAACTTTTGGTCCCATTAATTTTAAGCCGTGTGGTAATTGTCACTGAAAAACAATTCACTGAAGCAATTGTCTCGCTGTCAATAAATTAAGATTCCACATTTTTAACTGACAATTGGCTTCTCAGAAATATTCAACACCAAAGATCTCTTAACGACCCACTAATCCCTCATGACCATTATGTAACTTAAACAAATCATTTGCCTGGACTTACGTTTGTTATGATATATCTCGGTTGCACTGCATCAGTCCTGCAATGTAAGTTATCGAATAAAAAAATTTTATCACTGAAAAACCTTGAGAATTCCCATCAATACTCGACTATCACGAAACATGAGAAAATAAAGAATATAAAAGAAAAATCGAACAATGGAAATTGGCAGATTAATTCAAATGATGATTAACAAAATGCATAAATGCAAAAATGCAACTCACGTTATTCGCAACTAGAAATGCACCTGTTCACACGCAAAGAATGAAAATAAAATGAGCAGCGAGAGTGTAAACACTTGGATGTAGGAAGTGATATTGGCATGGGTGAGAATGAAAATTTAGTTTTTATCGAGACCGAGACTGAATATTCCGATACTCGTTAATTCCTCATTAATTCATAAACCCTATTTGCCTACACTGGTGTATCGAATTAATCTGAATGCAGATGGGTGAACACCGGTTATAAAAATAGTACGTGTTGGCTGTCGAGAGACTTCGGTTTTTCAAGGTGAAAAACAGCTGGGAGAAGGAGAAAAACAAAAAACAATGATAATAAATCATGGGTGTGAGTAGTTGATAGCGCGTTACCTCAACAGGTTTCATACGAAATTTAAGCTCTTTGCAGTGCGTGGGACTTATTCGTTGAGATCATGACAGTCGATAAAATAATTATTGCAAACCTTTCAGCCAGTTGAGAAGAGTTACTGGAGTTTCACAATTGTCGATTTTTGTTTGGGATATTTATTCCTATTTAGCGCCACAAATGGACCACAAAAAAAATGTCTCGAGGTCATGTTCCAATCCAACGAATTTCTCGATTTTCGTCGTTTTTACTGACTTCATACCCTACAAGATTCCAGTGAAAATACTTGGATACGAGAGAAAAAAACCCTTGGATGTTTTATATTATCTTGATTAACCGTAAAATGGCCCTCGATTATCCTTGATTGTTTGACTGTTAGAGGAAGCAATTGGTCATAACCTAAACTGCGGTGTTACTCCCACTGAGTTGAAGTGAAAACTGAAATAAAATCATCAAGTTGTGTGTACGGTGAGGCCGGTGTGCGCATGTGCAAGTTGACCACATGAAGAGGTAGGGTTATTTAATAAAAATACGCGAATGTCAGTTTGAAGTGCAAGAATTTTGTATTCGATGAAGAATCAATCTTTCATCCCTTTCTATGATTTTTTTTCAAATTTACCGGTAATATACCTAAGAAGTTTACGGATGGAATTTAATTATTGGATTTTCTCAATGATTTTCCTGATTATTGGTAAACAAAAATCAATTATTACTAACTATTTCTTCAAATTAATTGGTGGGAAGACCATTGTAAATGTTTAACCAATTGTAATTTTTTATTCATAAAAGATAAATATTTGACGAGTTCTCTTTATTGTAGAATTTTTCGATAACTCGAGACATCAGAAAAAATATATAAAATACTTACTATATTATTTATCCACTGACAGTTGTAAAAATTATTCTCCAACATTCCCCTGAAATAACCGAAAACTGGAATTTTCAAATCGTAAAAAAATTATTTTTGTCAGAGTAAACGGTAAAAATTCGAACAAACATGTTTTTATTGTGGCAAAAATGTGAAGAACTTTATTCGTAGAATGCTCGATTCCTCCGAGAGTTGTAAGTTAATCGTATAATTCAGTACACAATAGAAAATGCACCGTAATTTAAGTACTAAAATCATATAGACGAAGAGAAAAAGAATAAAAGAAACATGTCACTTCATAATTGGAATAAAGCACAGTGTATCTTGCTTCAATGTCTTTTTGCTATTATTACAAATAAATTATTATTTTTCCTTTTGTTTTCAGTACATGTTTAAATGCTACATACAACATAATTTCGTTTTTTCTTGTTCTGGCACTCTTAAAATAATGTATTGATGAGTGATGTCTATTTTTATTATTTTCCCCAGTGGAAATATTTTCCCTTCGATTAGCCTTTCCGTTTTTCCCCGAATAATGAATAAAATCAGTGGCAATGAATTTCGGAATAAGGCACATTACATTATCCCGCCTCAATTGTCGGGGCGTAGAAATTCAATTTTTTGTTGTACCTTCTGGAGTAATTGAAAAGCTACACTCTATGTGAATAGTGCCATTATTTCTTTCCCAGTAATAAATAGGCTCCCAATTACTATCACTCAATAATCACCAAAAATTGACCATTTCGCATACAATAGAATCCCTTTATATAGTCGCATTTATGGGGCGAAGTGAATTCGGAGAATCCGATTATATGTAACAATCCCCACCACGTGCTCGTTGCGACCGCAAACTGATTTTTTTTATAGCAAATTCGAATACGAGAGAAATTAATTTCTCGGTTTCATTTCGGGAGACCGAAATGAAACTATAACGGGATTCCACTGTATTTCATTGTTGCAAAAGTTATAATGACGATATTCTTTACAATCCTTCGGATAAAATATAACAAAACATACCTTGAATATTTACAATTAAAAATCTGATCTACAATAAATCTCGGAAACAAATCTAAACTCGGGCGCAGTGAGAGATAACGACTTAATAGTAAAAAGAAAATAAAGAAAACGGGGAATCCAGTTTGGTTCAATGATTTACGAGACATACCCTGGTTTGCAATTCATTAAAATATCATTATTGTTCGCATCGCTGATAGAGGGAGAAACAACGGATACTAATGATTTGATTATTGAATTAAATAGCGAAATAGTGAGACAAAATTTATTCTCTCGTCTTTCTTCTCTTCGATGAGGCAATTCTGTATTGACAATTAGCGAATTTAATTTTTTATAAATAGTTGGAGAAATCGAAAAACATATCGAGGTAATGAATAAAATTTTATGTTTGGCTAACTGCAATTGATCAAACATATTCGTGAATATTTTAGTCAGAGTAAGACCAGAAATGTTTATTTAACACCTAAGAACGTTGTCTTTTCACAAATAGGCGAGTGGAAAGATAAAAATTTACGACGGGTTTATACCTAAAACTGTCGAGCTATGAACACGCTATTTCATAACATTTTTTTGCTTTTTTCACTTCGATTAAGTACAAAAGAATTTATTGTATCATTATATTATCATTATTTAGTACTCTTGTCTCTTCTAAATCCTAAGGCATCGAAGCATGAAACTTTATACTTCAAGAAATCGACTTTGTACCAGGCATTTACAAATTTCAAGCATTTCCCCGATTTTCCAAAATTACACTCTACTCAAATGCATAATTACGTCTGTCTTGAATCATTAATACCTTCAAAATATAATTTCAAATAATCGGGGAGAAATTCTCGCAATTAAAATTGCCTGAACGATAATTTTATTTTTCACAAAACAAAGCTAAAGCCACTTATATTCGATAAGTAACGTAGGTATTAGCCTCCAATGATCTCAAATCGCTCGCCAGCGCAAATTACTCTCATGATTTTTGGCTGCTCCATATTCTCTCAAAATATTCAGAGGAGAAGAATAATTGAATAAACTAAATAAACTAATATTTACATAAATTAACGTGAAACGAGTGCTACATTTTCACTGACAGATTTAATAATTCTCCACAAATTCGTAAGTCTAAACTCTGACGCGGGTGTACTTGTGATAATGTACGTTCAGTAAGCAATAAAATGTTCACGTTCACTTGAATATATATTTGATATTGATTTGGACAACTCCCACACGAGCGTCAGAGTATTTTCAACATTTTGATAATGTAAGATAGATTTCTGAGCAGTTTTTTTTATTTCTTATTGTTTTCATTACTGTAATACAGTAATAACGAGTCTTGGATACTTCATGCCCTGTAGTTGAAACTATGATATCGGTATAATTCCACGATAGGAAAATACTGAACAATTAATTTGGTACGAGCAGATTCATTTTTTTTTCTCTCAATTGCAACTTTTATCCACCACAACTCATATTTCATCCATAATACTACCGAAATTCAGATGATTATTTAAAAAAAAACTAAAACAGTTCATACCTCTTCCATCCGTAATCGCATGAATATTATTCTGAGAATTCAGAATATTTTTGAAAATAATGAAAAAAGAGAAAGTAAAGGGCCTAGTCTGTTACGGAGATCTGAGCGAAGCCAATCAGTGCTTTGTCGTCCGGCACTTCGTTGGCAGCATAACCAGAGTTCTGAAATTAATGAAAAGAATTGAAAATTACGTGGAGAGAAAGGTAAAATAGTTCAATGAGAAAATTGCAATTGCAATTACCAGGGGAAATGTGACTGTGCGCAGTTGGCCAGCGCTGTCGATGAGTTTTTGCAAATTAGCAGCTATGACCACGACGTCTTTGCCATCGACTAGACCAGCACCAACTAGCTCAGCTGAAATTCCTTCAGCTGAATCTATTCCAACGGCAAATTCGAACCTAATGTCGTTGAGTTCTCTCTTCTGGTTGCTGTTGAAAAAGTTCATTCACGATTATTATTTATTCCTCTATTAATTAAAATGAGATCTGGAGAATATTAATGATTTTTATTGATTTTCAAAAGTATAATATGAAAAAGGGAAGGATATGGGGATAAGGCCTACGTTATTCTCTCTTGGAGGGCGAATTGGATGTCAGGACGTCTGCAACGGAATAAAAATGTGGGAAAATTAAAAGTTCGAGAGCTAAAAAGATGATAAAACTCACCGCAGTCTCAGTACCAAATTAATGGGCTCGTTCTGCTCTGACGACTGTATGACGAGTCGACTGGCAGCTGATTTGACGAGGCCATCGGCATCCTCCTGATCAACCTGTTCCTCTTCACTGGAGACGTTGTCTATAGTGTTGACAGGCAGGGCCTCCTTGCCTTCATCACCACTGGATGCACCACTGTCCTCCTCCTCCGAGGACCACACCCACTCTCCTGTGACAGTTCTGTGAAGGCGACCGGATGTTCCAGGTTGTCGCTTCGATGCCTGCAAAACAATTGATTGGGTAATGGATACCATAGGGACATCTTAATAGAAAATTACCTTTTGTACTCTAGTCTCTAGACTCGGTCCAATAGCCACGAGCGTTTGCTGGAGATATTTCTTGTCCTTCGCCTTTTTGAAGAACGGATGTTTCAGCAATTCTGTTGCAGTCGGTCTACGAAAAATATATTCACTCGTTAGAAATATTTCAATTCATTAATCAATCAATCAATCAATAACATATGTTTGGCCAATTATTTAATGGTAAATGGATTAATGTGGAGCACCTTTTCGTTGGATCCTTCTGCAAGCAATCGACAATCATTTTCCTGAAAGTCTTGCCATAAGCTTTGTACTGATCCTTATCATCAGCAGCAGTATCCAAGGTCGGTGGATCATTCTGTAGTGTCAGCATGAGTACCTTCATCGGTGGATACTTGTGATAAGGAGCAGTGCCACTTGCCATTTCAATGGCAGTGATACCGAGGGACCATATGTCAGCTTTGAAATCGTAACCATGATCCTGTAAAAATGAATTAAATATTACAACAGCTTCTAACCCATCAATAAAAACCCAGTTGATCGATTAAAACGTTGAAGTACACACAATTTTTTCTCAGCGTGCAGATCAAGTTTTTTCAGACATCTTAAGATTCAACTAAGTCTAGAGACTCTCGTGTGTTGACGATACAATAAAATTTATTCAATATCGAGCGAATTTGGTGTGAATTCAGCTGCCTCCTCAACTTTATCAATAGAAATACTTTTTTTTTTAAAGATAAAGCTTCAACGTAATTTTTAATTGCATGTTATGAGAACTGCAGGTTAAATTGGTATTTAGTGATATGAGGTATGAGATATTAATCGATAATTCGTTTGTCAGTGATTGATATTGCAATCATTCATGAACAAACATGCTTTTGACACAAACACTGCGCAGATCTTGCAAGCTAGAAAATTATAGTGCAACTTTCCTCCCTCACCTGCTCCATGACCTCGGGCGCCATCCAGCAGGGCGTGCCAACGAATGTGTGACGGACTTTTTGCCTGCTCAGGTCACGTCCTGTTGCTAACCAGGCACTCACACCAAAATCTGCTATTTGAACTGTTCCATCTTCACCCAGGAGAATATTTCCGGCTTTAATATCCCTGATTGAATAATTTTACAATTAATTCCAGGATTGGAATTCCTGATTAACGACAAAATAAAGATGATCTAGATAATCTCATCCCCATTCCAAACAAGAAAAATGCATTTCCCAGAAAAAAATGTTATCTCTACGTTATCAGGGCATTTCACATTTCTGTGAAGTTTGAGGGAATTATCAACTGGAATTTGGGTGCTTTGAATTCGTCTAAAGGACAGCTGACTGCTTGACCAAATCACCTGTGTATCTGTCCATTACTGTGAAAATACTCAAGCCCCTTGAGTACCTCCCGAAGTACCGTGGCAATAGTGGCTTCATCGAAAACCCCATGTTTACAATTGGTAGTTCTCGTTTTATGTTTAATAATATCGAGTAATGATCCACCCTCGAGCAGTCTCAATACAAGCCAGAGTTCCTCCTTCACCACAAAAGACGTGTAATACGTGACAACATTCTCGTGATTGCAGGAGGACATCGCCTGGATCTCCTTCTGCAAAAAAAAAATTCCACTCAATTCCAAAGCTGCAAGAAGTTTCTCCTCTCGAGTGTGATGATTAATCTCTATCTTATCGCCCACTAGCTGCGAAAAATCACATACCAGAAGCTCGTCCATACTCGTATTCCATTTTTCCAGATTTATACGCTTGATAGCACATTTCTCCTGACGTGGAATACAAAAAGCAGCGTGAACTACAGCTGTCGCACCGACGCCTGTCGAACAGCCACAAGAATTAATAAAACTAATCATAAATTCAAACAAGATAACACGTGTTATCAAACCCCCATCAAAATCACTCATCATCCCATTACGAGACCCAGCACAATCAATTTAAATACCTCAACGTCACCCATTAATTACTACTCCAAAATACAAATGAGGTCATGTGAAACGCGCAATTGTCCCCCCACTAAATCATTTAACCGTGCGTTAACATCAAGAGTCATTAAATATTTGGATCTGATCCAATTGTCCCCAGAAAAAAAACATTCCAGTCATTCTAGGATTCTCCTCCCAATGACCCCATAAAGGAAAAAACCCAAAAAAGGGCCCAAATCATTCCCTCGACCCAAAAAAGATTATCTGATGAACTCCACTACTTCCATCACTCTCATTTCGACGTATGGTGGACGAAATCTAGGTTAGGCAGTGCCTCAACCGGTTTTGGATAAAACCTAAGAGAAAATCTTGATTCACCGATCCCTTGAGATTCTCCCAGGCAATTTATGGGATGATTGATTGATAATTTGGTGAATAATGATGGAAAATAGTTATGTTGGCCCATGAATTTTACATAACACAGTGGTGTCTGACGTAGCACGTCAATCCGGTGAGTGATAAGTTGAATGATTATTGGTGATGTGAGGGGGTGATTTTGACGATTCAAATGGTTGATGCTAACCAGTGGTGTGGTAATTATAAAGTGTCATTATTTATTTATTTATTTACCGATAACCTCCTTGAGTTCGTAGTCGTCTTTGGTATTGGGCCAGCCCTGTGGTACCGCTGTTGTGCTAGATGACGCCATTTTGTTGGTCAGTGATGTACCTAAAAGTGTTGGTTTGCCGGTGTTTCTGGTACCCCAATTGAGGAGACCACCACCGTTACCATCAACTCCACCCACTCTGCGCGACAGCCAATTTTTACTCGTGTATGATTTTTTATTTACGCTTGAATTTATGTGGGATTTCTTCGGGTGACTGTTGCTCGCTATTTCACTGCCCTGAGACACACCGAGGGATGACTTCTGACGGAATATTCCTGGTGAACACGACGGCAGAACGTCCGGCGAGATTATCCTGGAGGAACAGACGGCTTTTTATTTTTTTTTATACAGTTTTTTTTTCACCCCACAACCGCCAACTGGTTTTTCCCTGATCGCATTTTCGGGGAATACCCGATGGTTTTTTTTTTTTATAACAACGCAAGAGTTCGTGGGGCTTTTTTATGGGGGGATGGAGAATTATTTTCATTTGGAAATTCTGAAGTTTTTGGGGGCTAGAAGATTTGTCAGGGCTAGAGGTTCTTTTTTAGGGGACGGGTTTTTGAAGGGATTTCTCATTTTTGGAGATTTTGGTATAAAGTTTGGTTGAGAACTTAAGTCGATGAATTGAAAATGATATTTGAATGAATAAAAATATATCAATTATTTTGTATTTCACGTTTCAAACAACTTCTGGAAGTTGAAGTCTCAATGACTTAAATTTGAATATAATCAATTGAAGTCTTAATGACTTGTCTGATTTGATAATATCTACATATTTTTAAAAAATTAAACTCGAAGTGGAATTGCTTCATCTCATTTCATTTCACCACTTCGCAGACGCGTAAACAGGTTCCACTGCTTGAAAAATTGCACGAATATGTACTGAGTAATTGTCTATATAATTGATTGAAAATCAAGGCCAAACTCACGGGAATGTCCAAGCCCGAATGCACTTTCCACTCGTAATTGTCAATTAAAAAAATTTCCAGTTTATCAGGCCATCTGCGTTATGCCATTTCGTAAATCCCTTATCTCTCGTAATCACATGTGTACTTGACACTGTGGTGTGCGACACTGTGTGAAAGAAATACAGAAACGGTATCTCCAATTGAGTGAAATAAAAAGAACATCTTGCATATATCCGGCCGATGGAAAATTACTCTCGATGTTGATCGCACGTGCAATTGGATCTTTACGTTTTCCTCGTGGGTGAGATGCGCGTGTTATTCGGCTATTTTGATTTTTCGTGTGTTAAAAATAGTGAGAAAGTACACGTCACGGAATTTTTTAAATACCAACAACTGTAACTGAACCAATCGAGAGATTAATAATCTTTAGTAAAGTTGCTATTTTCGTTATTGTAATTTTTTCATCGATTTGTCGGTATCAATATCCAATTTTTAATTAATGGCATGAGAAATCAGACTGAATGAATTGATTACCCTAGAAATGGAATAATAAGGGAATGAAAGAAGAAATATTCATAAATTTCTGGCAATTTCCACAATTGGAAATTATAATAAACAAAATAAATGAAATAAAAGGACTGTCAATTATAAAACCGTAATTGGCAGTAATTTCACTTTGAGAGAGCCACAAGAGAGAAGTTTTGAAAAAATTCAGAATTCGATTTAATTATTCAAATAGTTACAATTATTCTTTGAATGTAAATAATTATGATAATTTATAGTTTAATTATGTATAATTATATATGATAATGTATTAGAATATATGATATTGATTAAATAGATGACTTTTCTTACGATTGCACCCGGGACTCCGTGAAAACTGGACGCAACGTCTCAAGCTCCCGAAGGAATGGCGTCAGAACAACAAAAAAAAATTGAGAAAAAAACAATGGAAGAGAAAGAAGATGCGCGGGCATTGATTTGAGAACAAATTCTACATGCCCCGGGTTAATAGCTCTGTGACAAAATAAACTGTCGAAACCGAGCCAAGCCCCACTCGTCCACCATTAATTTAAGACGATGGGAACATTTTGATATGAATTAACGATGTTCTCCCCCCTTTCACCAAAAATTATCATTTTTTTTTACTTTTCTCAGAAATTGTTAAGCGAATTAGCCCCAAAATTACATCGTTTTTGCATCTTGTAATTATTATATAATTATATGTAATTCATAAAGTTTCATAAATTTCTATGAATTTTTGAAAAGTTCAGGGAAACTGACGGAAAATTTGCATTTTTATTGCACGATCGTGGCGTATTGGGGGAGTTAGATAATAATTGAATGGGAAAACGATATATTTTTAAATGAAAAAAAAATACCGGTAACTGGGAATTTTGTTTAAGGGGATAGAACATGCAACAATTTGGCGACATGATGATCGATTGGACTTTTCGAGTTTAATGTCAATGTTGAATTACACGTTATCGAGGGATTATTTAGGGATTGCGAGTGATAGGTCGTATCAACCGATCGAGTATCTTTTTTCGGTATAAATTAGAGGGAAAACCCAATTCTAGGGTTCAGTTATCATCGATCTGTTGGAAGGAATCGGTATAATAATTGTGTTCCAGAAATGGACAGCCAGAATTTATTCACCGTAAGTCGAAGGAACGCAATTATTTTCGTTGACTTAATTCAAATCAGGGGTTAATATTGAAAAAATGGAGAATTTATTTATTAAAAATAATGACTGAGGTAATTTCATGGAATCATAAATGAAGTAATTGGTAATTTAATGAATTGCAGTGTCAGAATTTTTTAGATTTGTGCAATTTTTATAAATTGATTTGAATGTTTTTTATTCGGGAGATAATTAGATCGTTACGTTGTTCACTCCGTGTAATTTATTTATAAATTACCTAGTCCGACCAAGTACGAAGGATGTGAGGAATCTAGCGTCTTCAAACTTGAGTCTCTCCTCAGAGGCTGAAATGCTCTCAGTAGATTTAATCCCTCCATTTTTCCGTTGTCTCATTATATCTGCGGTCCTGCAAGCAATTAAACTATTATTAATTACTACTGCTATTTTTTCATCCAACATTTTTTCATTTCAATCTGAAATATCCCTGAAGGATTTTCCATGCATTTTTAATAAATCCTCAGAAACATCTTAATAAACACATTTTAATAAATTCAATAAAAAAATTGAATTATTCAATTTAATCATTGTTATTAACATATACATTTCAATAAATAGTTCCATCCAACAGCGAACAATAAACCAGAACATAAAAAAATTCAAAGTAATATTTTTAAATCAAATAAATCATTAACAAAATTTATGTTAAGTGAAGAATTTTTGACAGAATTCAATAGTTGAAAATCAATATTTTCTATTTACTGCAATAATTATTTTTCGCTTCACGTGACTGGTAAATAATTCTAGAGAAAAATGACTTTAATTACGATTTCTTCTGTCTGTGCGCGCGAAGATAATCGCAAATGACTGATTATTTCTACCGAGAATACTTCGATGAATGAATGAATTTCCGTTTCGATTTTAATTGTGTGGGAGTGACTGATGAGTTTATAAATAGAACCGAAAGATCACGAGCCCCTCGTTGCAATTAATCACCATTTAAGCCATAAAAATAAACAATATTTGATTTCTCAATTTTCGATAAATTACTTTTGCATTGAAATTATTTTTTTTTATCGAGGATATCTCTGTCGACATTGAGTGGATCCCCTGGAGAAGCCCTTGGGGGATTTAAACGTATGGAATATTTCTAAATTGTCGGCCAGTCGATTGTCACCTAAATACCTAAATGGAATAATTGGAGGCAGATTGGCCTCACCAGTTATTTTTAGTCACTATCAAAGGGGTGAACCCCCCCATCCTGTCATCTAAAAATAATTCAATTCCAACGGTCGGCATGCTTTTCATTTACTTCACCTACTGAAGAGAAAACATCTCGCAACCTTTTATTAATATCCATCATTATAATTTTTCATTTATAATTTTTCTGACAGAAAAGTTGTCAACATCAATATTCCTCGTCAATCAAAAATTCATTTCTCAATAAAATAATAAATAGTAAATTAATAAATAGTTATTATGTTTTTTATTTATTTATTTAATCTGATTAGTCTACCCCAGTGTTTATTAACCCACGACATATATATTCACGTGGTAAACAAAATCGTATTTACTTCTTCACACATTTCATGTAAATACGTCTTGCACGTGATTTTTTTCGAGGATCGCGGCGCATTAAACGAATTATTGGTGTGTTTAAATATAAACCAGTCTGTTAGTACTCGTCTCGCATGTACTAATTACATCTTTACACTAGAAAAGAAATCCAAGAGGCGATTTTATCGCGGACGATGACACGTGTCCTACAAAATTTTTATTAAATTTGTTTCAACTTGTTAAAATAAACCGGGGATTTCCCGGGAATCTCAGATATTTAATCATTTCCTCTCCCTCCGTGAAGGAAATGCCGCGGATCCAGCGAATTCTTATTAAATACCCCAACATTTTTTTTCCAGACTATCAAAAGAAATTTTCTGTCCGACGAAAATAAAATTAGTGAAATTCATGAGATGTTTCGGAAGTAGAAATATTTATCAAACTATAAATCCAATCAATCAATCAAGTTTCTCTATTAATTCTCATATTGTTAATTTGTCGGCTTTTTAATAATTTGGCGGAAAGAAAATTTTTCATGAACAGAGATTAATCATAAATTCTTAATATTATTGCCAATTAATATTAATCTAATTAACATTATTAATGAATTATTGATAATATTATTATTAGAGAATGATATTCGGGCTAAAAGTTAAATTAACGGGAAATTCTTTGAAGTGAATTCTAATTAGCCTCTCATTGTGGCGTGTACTTTATACACTTACGCCCACCGTCAATTAAAATGACAGTATACCCCCTCCAAAAACGTGACGAAATATCTCCATTAATTTTCCCCTGGGGCTTTTCCAGTCGACGACAATGCACCGAGTCAATTATTCGTAATGCCATAAAGTGTGTAAACAGATTATCAATAAATTTTCATGTGCATCCTGAAGAAAAATCGACGCGAACGATAACAGACTGATTTACGATTGGTGCTCTTGGTATTGTCTATCAACGGCTTTTATAGTTGAAGCGCATTTGTTCGACCAAGTGGACCTCAATGACGTCCCATCCATTCAAAATGGACAATTGATGTTATATTGCCGTAGAAAAGCCTCGATAAATACCACGACAGCTCATACCTTCATTTTTTTCATTGAACAATTAATAATCAACTCCATTGCCGCATTAATTCACAAAAAAAAAAACCAGCAATTATCGATCATTCGTTACGCCTGAATTCGTTAAAAGTTGAAAAGAAAAGTGTAAAACGACAACAGCTCTATTTATTTATATTTAACCAAAACTTTATCATTTGTATAATTTTTTAAGTAAAAAAAGTAAAACCGACGAAATTGACTAATGAATTCTACATTATTATTAAATCACAAATTAAATTGCCTTTAGCCAATCTTAAAGATAAATTCAATCAAAAGTCTATCAATTTATAATAAACAGAGAGCTTTCTCCCAATTATCAGATTAATTTCGTGTTTATCAACTTGTGCATATGTTATGTTTACAAAAGCTTTGAGGACGAGAAGAAAATTAAAATAGTTTCTAATTATTACAGAAATTTCTTCGTGATTGAATTTATAATAAATTTAGTTAAAAGAGGAAATTAGGAAATTTTTCCATAAATTTCCCCGTAAACCATTCTGCTGAGAATAATGTGATAAATGCGAGTGATCGGTAATTAAACATTTTCATTTGGCACTATTCAATTATCTGGGCATCAAGGAATTTAATTGGCTGAACTTGATGGTACAGGGGTCACAGGGTCAATTGCTCATTAGCCGACACCCAACTGTTCCACAATGGAATGCCAAGAGGTATTTTTCACGGTCATGCATTAACTTCAAAGAATGGAAATTGATCTTTCGCATCGCATGATCCCTGAAACAACTCCTGAACACTGAACCAATGATTTCCCAAGTTTCTTGACATGCAGCCGATCAATTGACTGAAAAATCTGCGTCACGATTTTCCCACAATTGCAGTCACGAGTCACGATAAAATCAATTAATCTGTACGAGAAATAAATTCTTTTAAATTCCTAGACAACTCCAATTCCCGCCCTATCCCCTTCCTAAATAATTATTAAAATTCTCCCAAAAACATTTCGACAATTTCCCCCTTTTTTTTCTCAATTCCTGTCTTTCCCTCTAAAAATACAATAAATATTAAATATAAACTACAAAAACTCTCGAAAACAAATGATTCATTCACCAAAATCTATTTAATCTACCCTTCAAATTACCCGATAATTATTTTTATCGTAAAAAATTCATAAAAAATGTCGCATTGTCCGTAGAAAATTAAATGAAATAAACCATAAAAAATGAATGATTACCGGTTGTTGCTGGGTGAACTGAGGGTGCCGTTTCGGCAGATGTCAGTTGTCAATTCAAACATTTTCCCTCATAATTGGCACTTCGACGTTCACTCAAAAATATACGTGACTCGAATCAACATAAATCACTTAAAATCTAAAAAATAGATTGGTACCCGTTGCAAATTCAATATAAAATCAGTCAAAAATTACAATTCACTGTCATATTATGACACAGATGTTGAAGAGATGAGATGTAGGATGATCCTGAGTTCGCAATGGACTGAACTATGTCAGAGCTGTGAGGGGTACACCAGTCAATTGGATAAATACCTATCACGCATCTACGTGGATAACGAGAATTGATGCGTACACACTCGGTTCATGCCTTTTTTACCGTATTTACATGCACATGGACATTTGTGGATTGAAGTCTTTTGGAATTTCCAGCAAAACAAATTATTCACTCAACTTTGGGCTGTCGTTTATTCCCTGGTTCATACCTTAATTGAGGATGATTGGGGTTGCTGAATGTTTTTACAAGAAATCCTGAGATATGACGTGCGAGGAAATTCTTTATTGGATGGAAACAGACCCCCCGCGATTAATATACCGATTTCAACGGTGATCTCAATCATTACGACCTTGTCAACTGGTTTCCACTGATTTTCACGGGGAAACTCTCGACCGATCCCAATCCACCCAATGCAATCGACTCAATCATTAGATTAAAGGAAATAATAACCAAGTCCTTGAGAGTTTATCCCCAAAACATTCGATCCTACAGGAAAATCTTAATAAATCCGAGTTCGAAGAGATTCATAACAAACTTCCAAACAAATCGGAAAATCGAATTACTCATCATCAATTACTTATTTATGATCTATTAAAAATCTCTATTTATTTAAACTAATAATTGTTTGATCAGTGTGGAATTAGTTTTTACATGATTATTATCTAGAGTTCAATGTCACGGTTTCACTAGCAGTTGAATCAATCGGTGGAGTTTTGAACTTCGATCGACAGATCGATGTATCTCTAATACTTCAGGAAAAGTGAGATTGGGAAAAACTCGATGGGGATCGAGTATATCGCACTGGAATGATAAAAATGTTTGATTAGTCGAGAAAAGGAAACGGGAGAAACCTGTGGAGATTATTGATGTTTACGTAAAGATTATTGTAGCTTTTACGATCGAGATTGATTTTCAAATTCGATTGACTCAGTTTCTCTTCAAGTCTAAGAGTTTTTCGTATTTCTGATTAACTTCTATGAATTTCCCATCACTTACATGATAATAGATAAATAATCAGTGGTGTCTATTCACAGATTATTCTGTTGATGTTGTCACAACACTCCGCACAGGGCAGATACTTCAATCTGACTGAATTCCTAGAGCAACCGCGTGACGAATGGCAGATGAGAAATTGGGGGATTCACCAATCGTATTCGATAATTCCTCGAGATGTTTCTTACCTGCCAGAGGACGACTACGATGAAGGGGACAGCGAGAAAATCCAGGAAGAAATCACCCAGTTGGAGAGAAACGACAGAAACTTGAGGCCAGTGAGTCGGTCAATGATCTCTCAATACAAATAAATATCCGGTGTTATTGTTCCTGATGAAGGTCGTCTGCGGCTCATTAAATTCTCGCTTTTGCTCGGGATTTAACAAACTTGTTGGTTTTGCTTCATGGAATTTTCACATTACACGAGTCGATTTCTAGACGCCAGGATTTTTTACCTCTACAGTTCCAAATAATAATTTTTTTTTCGATTCTACCCATTACTACTGCAGAATTCTAGAGATTCTTGATTCTATTTTCCCCTTGTCTCCTTTTTCCTCATATTAATTTCGTTCCAGTGTTTTTCTCCTAATCCGTTTACCACTTGAACTTTTATCTCCTAGGAATATCGAAATTTGTGTGAAACGAGGACTCGAAAAGTTCTGCTTAATGATGATGACTACGAATATCAGCCGCCGCATTATCATGAAATCTACTGCAAGAGTTTTTCAGTTGATCAGTCCTTGCGCAATCTCGCGAAGCCACAGAGACAGGTAAAATCAAATAATAATTTTCTGCAGCTAATGTGGAATTTTATTAGAATTCCACTTAATTTTAGGCAACATTTCCTATTTTTTCTAGTCATGTGCTCATCCTGGGTTTCACTGTGTCCAACGAAGCAGGACTGTCTCCTTAGTCCGTCGTCCATGGTCTGAGACTTGTTGGGAGACAGTAGCCAAGGAAATCCCCAGTGGATGTGACTGCATGTGGCCTGTCTCGACCCTAGGAGACATCACTCCACACTATTAAGTTCAAAAAACTTAAATTCCTCCAAAACCCCTAGCAATTTATCAGTATTTTCTTCATAATCTATGGATTGAGAATTCGATAATTGAAAAGACATTGATTTTATTAAAATATCTATTGAAAATATTATACATTATTTCCAAGAATTCGCTCTGTGTTTTGGAAGGAAATGGAAACCGTCAGGAACTTTTCCCAGAAACATTTCCCTGAAAAAAAAAGAATTATTGAATAAAAATGAAATGTTTATGAAACATTAAAGGAAGAAGTGGTGAATATTCTCACGATATTTTCACCCAATCAGCACAATTGGAACTGGCCATGAGTGTTTCCATTTCGTCGCGACCCTTATAAAATGGCGGTCGCTCGTTGATCCTCTGTGGTGGCGATTCTAGTATTCCAACTGGAATATATCTAAAAATTTCCATTAAAATTGAATATCAAAAAATAAACATCATTAGAATCCCCAAAAGCAATAAACGATAATTCCAAAGAACCGACATTACCTCAAAAACAAATCATTACCTATGCAAAAACGATATCCACTCCAGCATGAATTTCCTGGTGGTCTCAACTCCCCTGGTATCAGACCCCCAGTGATCGAGTCCATAATTGGCATATTTTCTGATAATTCCCAGTCTCTCAGAGCTGTTCATATCAATGAGTTTCCTCTCCTTAATCTCCGTAAAAATCCATGGCTTGATAAGGGCCCCCCTGCCAATGGTGACACCTTGAATACTCGGACAGGTCTCCCTGACCCTGAGGTAGTCATCAAACCCGAGAATATCGCCATTTCCAAAGACAGGAATTGGACTGGCAGCAGCTGCACACCTCTCGATGTATTCCCAGTCAGCACTTCTGGTGTACCTCTGCTCTCTGGATCTGCCATGAACAGTGATCATGGCTGCCCCCCAGTCCCTGAATAATGGAGTGAGATTGTGAGCGATGGGTTTGTCCTGATAGACACCCATCCTCGTTTTGATCGTAAGTGGAACATCGAGTACTCGACTGGCAGACTGGACAACACTCTCCAGAATATTTCTCCTGGTTAACATGCCACTTCCTGCGCCCTGTTTGTAGATCAGCTCAATGGGACAACCAAGATTTAAATCGACAAAATCAATCTCTGCTTGTTCATTCAATAACTGGGCAGACCTGGTGAGAACACCTGTGTTATTCCCACAGATCTGAACACCAAATATATCCTCTGTCTCGTATCGCTTCACCAGAGCCCATTCCTCAGAAGCAGCTTTCAGGATCTTCGGGGCAAGTGCCATCTCACCGCACGTTATATCAGCTCCATACTCCTTGCAAATTCTCCTGAAGGGGAGATTTCCAACTGTTGTCAGAGGACTGAGGAGGAGTTTGTCCCTCCAGTCTATCCTCTTTTTCTCTGATGCTCGTAACTTTATCGAGTCGGTGTTCAGGACGGGGCCTAGTCTCTTCTCAGTTTTTTGAGGGGCTTCTGGAGGCTTGTCAGACTTGTCATCGCTTCGGGATCTCTTCTCCTTCAGCAATTCGTCAGTTTCTTTCATGATCTTCTCAGCTTTTGAAAAATCGTACTTTCGTTTTCGTAATTCGTCCTGGAGGGGTCCCGGGATCTGATTCTTGGTGGCTGCTGGTTTCTCCTTGTAGGTCTGGTATTTATCAGGATTCATGATGTTCATACCTGTCTCTGTGAGGTGACTGGCACCGAATCTGCAGGCTGTGCCCCTGGGGCATCTGCCTGTCAGATTGAAGACGTAACAGTCCGCGCCTATGTCTGGTTGTTTGAGTTTCATGTAGTCAGCTCTGTCGTGCAGAAATTTGCAGTTTTGGGAGGGACATTTCTTCTCCGGCTCTGTTGCCACCTGATCCACCAGCCAGGGACAAAGGTTCTCCTCTTTGGGGCTCCTGAAGGGCGGGGGTCGCTGCTTGTTCTGACCTTTTTGCTTCTCCTTTCTCTTCTCTCGTTTCGACTTCTTACGTGGAGGCTCGTCAGACGAGAATTTCGCATCATCAACAAGTTCATCATCTGAAAGAGTTAATGATTTTTTTTCCCCAGAATTAAGAGGCAGAGACTTTTCATTGTCAGGACGAGGATCAGATGCTTCTCTCACTGGGTCTGCGATAATAAATCTGAAACAATAAGGAAAGATTCGAATAATCAATTGAATCAATTCAAATGAATTCGAATTATCAATAAAACAGAATTGCAGAAAGAGAAATTTGAGGATAAATTAAAGATATGGGTATTATTTGTCCATGAATATTAAAAAAATCGAAAAACAAATTGGTGGATGGATTTGACAACTCGGAGAGGTTATGATGTGTTTTGCAAATTGAATTTGAGCGATTGAGTGACATATTTGGACGAGGGAATATTAATTACTGAGGTGCTCACTCTGGTTTAATTCTGCATACACCTTTTCCTTTATCATCATTGACATGACCTGATGATTCAGGTACACGTGTTCCATTAGCGTTTTCCATGCTGAAACAGTGGAAGTAATTATATTAGGACACAGATTTTCCATGGATAAGAAAACCGGCACATTTTACCTACGTCGGTAAGACAGGCATTTCAACCAATAATCTAATCCAGTAATTTTTGCAAATACTTATTAAACAATTCATTCAATTTTCTCTTCGTAATTTTTATCTCAAGCATTAATGAAGACCTAATAATAATAAATAAATACGGTAAATAAATTCTGTTGACTGAATAAAAATTTCAAAAAATAATAGTAAAGGAGATTTTACTGTTAAAATTGTTATATTTTGATTAGAAAGTTGTTTAAAATGGTGAAAAAATAATAATTGTTTTGAATAATTGAATGAAAATGATTTAGAATGATTCTTGGCAAAGAGGAAGAATCTGGGTTCGAGACTCTTTCTCTCTTTCGCCGGTTCGTAGACTAAGAAGAACAAAGAAGAACAAAGAATTCGTCGCCAGTCGACCTGTTGCTCTCATCGAGTGAACGAAAGATATAAATATTCGGAAAATATAACTTATTATCAAGAGAAATCAAGATGGAGAGAGAGGCCTACACGAGAACTTGTCCCTACAATGATCATCACATAATTCATCGAGACAGATTTGTAAAACACATATTGAAATGTGCAAAGGTGAGTATTTGGTGTCGAGTTACATGTTTGCCTCGTGGATTCGATTTTTTTATCAATTTCCTCTGCAGAATTATCCACCGAAGTACAAGGAGACGTGCCCTTTCAACGCAACTCACATTATGTTTCGTTCTGAATTGGAGGAACACGTCAACCTGTGCCCAGACAGAAAAGGTTTCACTCCAGAATTATACACCTGTGAGTTTATTTTTATTTTCCCTGATTGCGGCATGTTTCAGATTATTTTTGGCAATTCCATTTGTTGATTTTGATAAAGTTTAAAGGAAATCTGATTATTTCAGATTCCAAGATTCACGGATCTCTGAAGCAGAATGAGTCATCAGAGTGGTCTGAATATGAAGAAGTTTTGACTTCTGTTGATCCATGGGATGGAGGTGATTTTGAGGATCGAATGAAGGATTTTACTGACACTAGCTCAATTGCTAGCAGTTGTGATGAACGTAGAGGGTGAAGAATCATTTATTATTTTTATTTTTATAATAATTCGGATTCTATTGTAAGGTATTAATAATGGAAATGATATGTTAATGTTTCAGGGTACGATCCAAGACTGTCGCTAATTCTATGAGACCTCTCCGTCCACCAAGGGGATATGGATTACCTGTAATGATGGAATTTGGTAATGATAATGGCCCTGATGACGTCCAGTCTGTCGTCAGCACTCTTCCTCCTGTAGGTCGTGGCATCAGACCACCTTCTGCTACACCCATGACTTCAACAGAATTCTGTGGACGTGGAGGTGGTCGTGGGCACATCTAAAGTCAACTATCTTCCATAAAATCCACAATCTGACATTGAAGATAATTCAATGACATAAAATAAACTTCTTTTTTATTTTGATTCAAGATCATTTTCATTCTGGTATCAACAAATTGATACGCATTTTTGAGAGACTAATACGTCATCTTGATTTACTTTATGCAATTATTTTCATGTATTCATTCAATAATTTCAATGATTTAATACAATTAATCCAATTTGACATTGAGAATAATTTCATTGGAAAAAAATGAACTTTTTCTATTTAGATTCAAGACACTATTCATTCTGGTATCAATAAATTGATACGAATATTTCATTAGGGATAAGGATTTCATGACTTTATGTAATTATTTTGGTGTATTAATAAAGCGTTATAATTTCATTGAAGACGATTTTTCGATGGCCAGTTAATTATGTAATTACTGTTTTAATGGATGGAATTTTTATAATTTCAAAACTTACTAATGCAATTACACTACTAGGCCAGGCTAATGGGATTGGACATTCATTTAATATGATTACTAGGGCAGAAGTCGATGATGAGGCTTCCCTCCAACTCATCCCAAATCAAAAACTCTCAGTCGGGCATAAATCTCTGATCAGTAGTTAGTGCTCAATTCTCTTTCACCCAGAAACAGACGCTAGAAATGGGTAAAGACGATCCCGAAACGACTGCCCTCAAGAAGGAGCTTGAGGACTTGATTAAAAAATGCCAGGTTTGTTCTGCCAACAATATGCTTCGACAGTAATAAAAATTTCACTCGTATCTCTCCAAAAATTCAAAGAAACAATTGCGCCTAATTTTTCGGATAATTACACTAGCTCTCCTCTGATAATAAAAATAAAATCCGATAATGAATTTCAAGACACGATATAAAACTCGAAATAACTGGAAATTATTTACTATTTTTGATAATTAAGGAAGACCAAAAGAAGCAACAGGACGCGACATTAGAAGAGGCGTGTAGTTCAGTATCAGATGCTCCAAAAGTCAAGCTTTCCACGAAAAAGCTGCTAAAGGGGCACATAAATAAAGTTAACTCGGTGCATTACAGTGGAGACAGCAGGTGATTGTATCAATTGATATTGATTACCCCAAAACCCTCCTGGGATTTATTAAATGAGTTATTATATCGACAAGGCACTGTGTGACTGGTTCTCTTGATGGCAAGCTCATCATCTGGGACTCTTGGACCGGAAACAAAGTCCAAGTAATTCCCCTGCGATCAGCTTGGGTGATGTCCGTTGCTTTTGCACCTTCTGGAAATTTTGTGGCTTGTGGAGGAATGGACAACATGTGCACTGTCTATGACGTCAACAATCGAGATTCAACTGGATCCGCAAAAATTGTACGAGAACTCCTCGGATACGAGGGATTTCTGTCCTCTTGTCGATTCCTCGATGATAAGACACTCATTACAGGATCCGGAGACATGAAAATGTAAATTCAAATGCAGAAGAGAATGTTGTCTGATCTAGAATTGAAAGAATTTTGGTTTGAGTAGTATTTGGAGTAGTCGAGTGAATTAATTGGCAGGGATTAATCATTATCATTGTCGTTATTGATACCGTAATTAATTAATGATGTTAGTTAACGAATCGTCGAAATATTCAGTTGCATGTGGGACCTGGAATCTGGAAAGAAAAACGTGGACTTTCCAGCGCACGCTGGTGACGTCGTCAGCATCAGTCTCAATCCAGATGGTCAGACCTACGTCACTGGATCCGTTGATAAAACGTGCAAGCTCTGGGACTTCCGAGAAGAGAAAGCCAAGCAGACGTTTTTCGGTCACGAGGCCGACGTCAATTCCGTATGCGTGAGTTGAGAATGAAATAGTGAAACCATAACCACTGGGGAAGGGCTTCTAATCTCGTTTTTCACAGTGTCATCCATCGGGTCAAGGTTTTGTCACTGCATCCGAAGACAAAACAGCCAGAATATGGGACCTTAGATCCGACCAACAGCTCGCCACCTTCAAACCCCCAAATTCAAATCCTGGATTTACCTCCTGTGGATTATCTCTGAGTGGTAGATTCATATTCTGTGGGAGTGACGATAATTCTATCCACATATGGGACACACTCAAAGTTCAACATAATGGTGATTACAATTATAAAAATTTGTTTATTTTTGTTTATTTTGCTGAGTACTAGTGATGATTTGAAAAAATATTGGTTCAGTATTTGTCCAATCAATTGATTTCAATTGATTGCAAGAGAATTCACAGTGAATTATGAATTACTGAACAAATAATCCAATTAAATTCTAGGTACAATGAATGGACATGAGAACAGGGTGACTTCCCTGAGTGTTGCACCAAGTGGAATGGCAGTGGCCAGCTGCTCCTGGGACCAATTCGTTCGAATCTGGGTGTAATCCATCGATGAAAAATCGAAAAATGTGTCAAGTAACCATGAAACAACTCCAAAATTATGATAAAATTGAATAAACTTGATCCTCTTTCTTTGGGAACTCGAACTAACTCTCATCCCATCATCTCCTCAATCTCAATATAAATCCCCAAAAATAATTCAACTCATACATTACGAGATTTCGAATGTTCCAGTAACAATAAACGAAACAATCAAATGACTCTCGGAGAAAATTTCTCTGAAATCACTCACGAAAATAATTCAATGCTCATGATTCAACTGGACTCGTCAATATCAAATCACTGCCAATGAATATTCCTTTCTTTATTCTCATCATTCACTCATCATCCGCACCTACACAACGTCCCATTACAATTATTTATAAATAAATACAGACTTATGTTTGTTACAATGTGAGGTAAATTAATACAATAATCAATGTAGACTTCAGCATCATCTCCAGTGCCCACCACTCATCATTTTTTTTTTTACAAATCTACTTCACCTCTAAGCAAATAAAAAGCAATTGAACTCCTAAGTGCTGGCAAATCTCACCAAAAGTGGTTGTGATTTATTCCTTAACAACTATTCAACTTCTTGAGGCATGTGGCATCGTACAATGTCTACGTCTAGCTGTGCAGACTATACAATTTGCAATTCAATGATCTCATTACCAGTGGCTGTAATCCATTTAAAATTCAATTTCACCGATTATTTCAACTAAATCCTTAAGTGCAAGTGGATGGTTATTTTCCTGGTCACAATGTGTCTCAATAGATCACATTAATTAAGTGCATTTCCTAAATTAAGCATCATCACATTTTGCTTTTATCCACTTTATTATGTATCAGTACATGTTCCCCATGCTTTCAATATAAAAAAATTCAATGACTAGAATAAAAGTTGGAGATTAAATTATAGATTGAAATTCTTCAGATGTACTTCGAATGAAATAGTAATCAATCATTCAAGAAATGAGAAGAACATTTCAGGGGTATCAAAATTATTGAGAATAAAACCATTCACATACGCTGCAATAAAGTATCACAGAAAAATGCGTATAAATTTGATTTATAGGTAGAATAGACATTTTATGTACAACATTTATAAACACCATTAGCTTACTGGTGAAGCGAAATCATGAGGCGTTGAAGGTTTAAATATTCGCGGTGCCATTTTAACATCGAAGCACATTTAAACCTTTCCAAATAAAAATGTCAAATTAATGCGTTAAAGAGTAAGCGATAATCCTATGTTTGCTCGCAGTTTAATAGAAATATATATTATCTCTATATTTTTTAGATAATTGTTTGAAGAAAACTTAGGATCAACTATTCGACATGACTGAATTAATTGGAGATTTTTGGGATCTGCTGCTAGACGTGAATTACGACATTTACGTGAATTTATCGATGACCTGGGGTTTTGCGTTTTTTTGTTTTTAGAATTCATCGAGGTGAATCAGAAGTGCAACAATTACCGTGGCCCCCGCCTCTTTCGTCGCCCATTCCGTGGATTCGATTCCATCGATACTATCTTTTCCAGAACCAATTGTGTATGATCCAGGTCGCACCAGGAGTTGAAAAGCCGTTGAGGCGTTGAGCTTCTTGTTTGACTGAGTGTCTATGTATCTTTGGTGGAAAATTATTGATGAGTATCGATTTATCAGGGAAAAGGTGAATTGACTTACGGATATTTTCGGCTGCTCTCGTCGGAGGTCACGTATTTTATATTCGGGGAGAACACCACTTGGGGATTTTGGCCTTCACTATTGGTAATCGTTGTCAGGTTACTGGTGTCTAGCTGCTCAACTGTCAGGAGCTCTCCTCTATCAAGGATCCATCTGGAAGAGAATTTATAGAAGTGGAATTTTGAGTTTAAAGTTAAAGAGAATGAAACGATATTCATAATTGTTTTAAATTAAACAAATTTTGAACTCTTAGAAAAAGAAAAATTATGGAGATAAATATAAAAATCGATTTCACCACAGGTCTCGATCCAGACTAATAAACTTGAAAAATTAATTTCCAATCAAAACATAAAACTCACCTAATCGCATTCAATCGAATCCCATAAAAAGCCACATGCCACTTATCAGTGGTGCTCTGTGGAATCTGATTAGCATTGATGCTCTGCCTCAGGGGAAACTTGACCCATCCAACTGGAATAGGAAACTCAGCAGGAGGTTCACCCTTCTTGCACATCAGCCCATCACTATCGACCTTGTAACACACATTGCAATAGCAGACAGCCTCATCCAACGAGAAGAACTCATCAGGAAGTACCAGAGACTTTTTCAGCCTTCCACAGGCCTTGAGATATTCACACTGTTTTGCAGGAGTGATAATCGTGGAATTAATCTGTGGTATGGACGGCGAGCTGAAGACCCTCGTAACAGACGGCTGAGGACTCTGCCCCAGACTAATCTGATTGGGAATAATGGCACTATTACTTTTGGAAATCTGCCCCAGCATTTCCTGCCCATTGACCGATGAATTCGAGAGACTATTAGAAGCAGCAGCCAAATTATTCTGAGCATTTCCCAATACATTATTGCACTGTGAATTATCCATGGAATTATCATGCCCCAGGGCATTACTAATTTGACTATTAGACGCGATACTCTCATTAACAGCATTATTGGCGTTAGTCGACTGAATAGCTGTACTGAGACTCGACATATTACTGGAAGTTGTTGCCGAGCCATTTTTAATATTAATATTCGTTGCATTATTTAATTCTACATTTGTACAGTCGCCCTTGAGGCTCGGTGGATGGGATTCTGGCTCCTCCTCATCATTCTCGATCTCGTTATTGGACATGGTATTGTTGTCATTAGAGACTTCTGAATTATTCTTCATGTTGGCACACTCGAGTAACGTCTCCCCATTATTCATCTCATCCCCAACGTCCGAATTATTACTATCAGAATGAACACTGCTGACCAATGACTTGCCCACTCCATTGCCATTGCTTTTGGATGAGTGTCCACTGACCTCATCACCTGCACTCCTACAGGTCTCGTAACTTTTGTCACTCAATTCAGAGCTGGACGGAAGTGCTGCTACATTTTCCTTCTCATGACACTCAAGATCAGCCTTCTCTCGTGAATTCTCAGGCTCATCCACCTCGATTCCACTCATCTGCTCGACATTGCTGGCTATTGCCATGTTTATCGCATCATTATTTGTACAGAGAGTGTCAGCAGGGGATCCAATGATCGATACCTCCTCGACTTGACCGTAGAGATCTATAACAGCGTAGACATAGAGTGGTAAATCAGTGACTGCGATTCCCTGATCGATATTATTGATGAAGAGATGTAGCCTCGACTCCTCGTCCACCAGTAATCCAATGGTCGAGCCCACCTGCAGACTCTCCAAATTTGCCCCATACCGAGTCTTGACTTTAGTGCCATTGTGGGACATCCACTCACTGCAAATGATCCAGGAGTGCTTTTTAAAGCCCAGGGCAGTCAGGGGAAAGCTGGCTTTCTCTGGGGAAATGCAGGACACCCCACAGAGAATCCCTGACACCCATCGATCATTGGTCTTCTGGATTTCCACTTGGAATATTTTCCCTTTTATGAGTGGTCTACTGGACATAACGACCCCCTGGTTGTAACTGGCTACTCTCCTGGCAACCGTTCTTCCCTCCAGCTCGACGTTTCTCCCATGATTCTCATGGAATTCGTACCTCCAGTCACCCTCAACAATTCCAGAAGATGGGAGAACTGGAGTGATAGGAAGTTCTGATAATTTAGCCTCTGACATTTCTATCGAAGTGTCCATCCCCAAGTCATTCCTCATGACAGGAGGCATGGGATCCAAGATAAGTTCCAAGGAGTCCTGAAGCCTCAGGCTGGCATTGGGGGACATGATGCAGGCCTGCTGCTTACTGCTGGTGATACTGACGGCCACTGTACTCCCAAATAACTCGACAACAGCATAAATGATCTCAGGTATGTTGAGGGCAGCCACTCCCATGTCCTCCCCATTGATATAAAACTTCAGGCTCCCTTCGTGGCTCCTCTTTAACCCGATCTTGTCACCCACTCTGAGCCAATCCAGACTAGGGCAGTAGTTAGAGCACAACACGAGGCCCTTATGCCTCACCTCATTCCCAGTGAGGTACCAGGCGTCAGCAGGGATTGACGTCATCCCCGGGACGAGATCCATTGATGTCAACCAGTGCCCAGTCTCGTTATTTAAGACTCCAATCTTCAGGGATCCACTCCACTCCCCTGCAATCTCCTGAATTGATATCTCAAATAATTCATTGTTCTCCAGTGCTGAATCACTGAGGAGAACTGCGTGATTGTACTCCCTGCAACGAGCTGCTATCACTCGATCGCTGTTCAACTGGATGTTGAGGCCAACGGACTCGTGGAATTTGTGAGTTATTTCTGATTGTGCTTGGGGCTGGACGACAGACGTTGGCTGCTGACTCATGCTGTTCTCCGAGGGGAGATATTGCTGGGTCATTGTGTCCCTTCTTTCTGGCTGGACAATCGTCACCTGGGCACACTGAGCATAAAGATCAATCACTGGGTAAACGTGAGCTGGGAGTCCAGTGCAGGCGATCCCCTGATCGATTCCATCGAGATAATAATGAAGACTAGAGTCTGCACACCTCATCATTCCTATTCTGTTGCCCTCAATCAATTTATCCAGGTCACAGTTATAATGATGTCGTAACGTCACCCCATCCCTCATAACAGTCGACCCCGAGAGCATCCAAGTGTCGTGATCAATGTCAGTCATCGTTGAGGGGAACTCCAACTCATCTGGTCTGATCGCTGTCACTCCAGCCTCGATTGCCCCATTCCATCGTCCCACCATTTTGTCAATCGACACTTCAAACAACTCTCCATCCCTTAGGGGTCTATTAGCGATGACGATGGCCTCATTGAACTCCCCCAGAGCACGAATTCTCGAAGCTGTCAGTCCATTGTTAGAAATCCTCGCGTGTTTCCCATGCACGTGATGAAATCTCAAGTCACTGTAGAGCGTGGTATTGCTGAAGCTCGAGTTGTTCGTTGTGGGACTGTAAAAATCCGTATTATCAACGATCGTCGCCTGGGTCGCTTGCCCATAAAGATCGATCACCCCGTAGACCTTCTCAGGAACTCCAACAGCAGCTGCCCCCTGGTCTGCCCCATTAACGAAAAAATGGAGTATCCCATTGTCCTTTCTCATGACTCCAACTCTGTCACCCACTTGGAGTCGATCCAAATTCTGTCCATACTGCTCGATGATGGAAGTCCCATTATGCATGACTCCATTCCCAGTCATGATCCAGGTTCCAGATCGAACATTTGTCATAGTAAATGGAAATTCAAGTTCAGTCGGAGAATGAGTGGTGACACCGATCTCGATAGAGCCAGCCCACTTGGTGACGATCTTGTCGAGTCTTACCTCGAAGAGTTCATTGGGCCTGAGGGGTCTGAGTGTCAGGACAACTCCATTATTGAAGTCATCCATGGCATTTGGTCTGTGAGCAGTTCTGCCATTGTTTATAACATCTGCATGAGTGCCACAGCAGGGGTGAAAGGTGAGTCTGTCGAGGGGTTCCTCCTCTCCAACTTCACTCAATCCCTGCAGATGTAGAGTATTTCGCCTGGTGACTAGATTCTGCTCTTCCCTCTCGTCCCTGTCGACGATTGTGACTTTTACTGTCATTCCATAGAGCTCCACAACACCCCAGACGTTTGGGGGAATTTTAGCAGCGACACCCTGGTCCAGACCATTGATCAAGTAATGAAGATTTCCATTACTCCTCCTGATCATTCCCACCCTGTCACCCTCCCTCAGCTCATCCAGATTAATCTCCCCGTACTCCCTCTGTATCCCCTTGCCATTCGTTAATATCCCACACCCCGACATCATCGTCGTACCTGATCTCATGTTCGTCATTGTAGCAGGAAATTCAAGGGCTGTTGGACTGTGAGTTGTCACTCCCACCTCGATACTCCCAGACCATTTGTCCACTAATCTGTCAATCCTTATCTCAAATAATTCATTATCCCTCAGTGGTCTGTGCGTCATGACAACCCCATTATTGAACTCATCCAGGGGTCTACGTCTCTCAGCTGTTCTCGCGTTATTCGATAACTTAACGAGTGCCCCAACCCTCTCGTGAAACCTCAGTCGATCCTCCCTGATTGTTGCTGGGCTCGGATTCTTCGGCAGATTTACATTCATATTGACATTGAGATTAACATTGAGATTAGCTACTAGACTCGTTGACGATGCCTCACCCATCGTCAAGTCGTTATTGATCTCCTCACCATCTCTAGACTCGTTCGTTGGTAATTTTGGATTTGTTATCGTCACCTGGACGCAATCACTCGACATCTCGACAACAGCGAAAACACACGATGGAATATTCGTGGCTGATACACCCTGGGATATTCCATTGATGTAGAAAACTAGCTCATCGTTGGAGGTTCTCATCACACCAATTGTACTACCCTCAGCTAATTCATCTAGATTTGTGTCACACATGGAATCCGAGAGTGGATGACCATTTCTGAGAATTCCAGTGGCTGTCAGCATCCAAGATTGACCCAGAGGATCATGCTGGCTTTCTGGATCGCACGTGGTCACACCAATCTCCACTGTTCCACTCCATGAACGAACTTTCTTGTCAATTCTTATCTCGAAGAGCTCGTCCTTCTGCAGGGATTGTGATGAGTAAATTCGCTCCTTCTCGTAAGCTGAGAACGTTCGAACAGCTGTTGAACTGTTGTTCATCAGACTTATACCCTCGCCACATCTTCGGTGGAACATCTCGAGTCGTGGGGATTACTCAGTGGATTTATTCACTTTTTTTTTGTCTCTGAAGAATCACTGGGGGACTGATGCATCAGGACGAACTGTCACCCCATCCTCTAACACAAAACATCGTTTATCTACTAACTCTGGGGCTTGATTAATTAAATTCACTTGTCCTCACTCGTCTCGTCTCGTCTCTTCTTCAATCACAATATGAGACAAAACCCAACCTGGAAGTCTGTCAAGTCTAAATATCGATGCAGTTCTGTTTTCTGTACCGAGTGGAAATACAGTAGAGCGCAGCACTTTATGAATTAACATTTGGAATGAATTACCTATAGAATTACCCGTCAGGCCTCGCGGACTGTTTTGAATATTTATCAGTTGTTATTGTTGTTGTGGGAGGAAAAGGTTTTTTTCTAGGTAATCTCTAGGATATGATAAGAGTTGCAGTCAGGGGGGGCGGGCACTTGGTGCAGTATCGATTGATCAACACGTACTCAGTAAATAAAAATGGCGGGATGGGTCATATCGAGTGTCATGATGACGGAATCGTGGATTATGTAGTGGAATTGTGAGAATGGACGAGAGCAAACACAGAATATGGTGAGTGACCCTGTGTTTGTACCCTCAGAGAGGGTTTTTTCGGAATTTAACCTCGAAATTCACTCAGCTAAATGGATTTATTCATTCAATTCATTTCCTGCCCCATAGTTTCTCTCAAATTCCTATTAAAATCATCTAAATAATCGACAAATCATAGATATCATCAGTAAATGTATTTAGGCACCAGTAATTATTCTGTTTTTGGTAGTTTGTTAATTAGGATTGTATTTGTTTCAGCATGGTCTCAGACTTTTTCTACCCAAACATGGGAGGAGTGGAAGAGCACATCTTCAACCTGTCGCAATGTTTAATCGGTCGTGGCCACAAGGTTGTGGTTCTGACCCACTCGTACAACGATCGAGTCGGTATTCGTTATATGACGAATGGCCTGAAAGTCTACTACTTACCAATTACAGTTTTTTACAATCAGTGTGTACTACCAACAATGATATGCTCCATCCCACTAATTCGTTACATTTTTATTCGTGAAGAGATCGAGATAATCCATGGACATTCGGCATTCTCAGCCCTAGCACACGAAGGAATGCTGGTGGGACGACTGATGGGACTGAAAACTATTTTCACCGATCACTCGTTATTTGGATTTGCTGATGCCTCAGCTGTTCTCACTAACAAGTGTCTTGAGATATCGTTGGCTGATTGCAATCACTGCATCTGTGTGTCACACACTGGAAAGGAGAACACTGTGTTGAGGGCTAAAGTCAACAGGGAGAGAGTGTCAGTGATTCCTAATGCTGTTGACACTGCTTTATTCACACCTGACGTCACCAAGAGAAAAAATAATTGCATCACTATTGTCGTTGTGTCGAGATTGGTCTATCGAAAGGGTGTCGATCTTCTTGCGCAGATTATTCCGGAGATCTGTGCGAGGTACGACAATGTGCAATTTCTCATTGGGGGCGATGGACCCAAACGCTGGCTCATTGAGGAGATCAGGGAGAGAAATTTACTCCAGCATCGAGTCACCCTGCTGGGCAGTTTGGAGCACTCGCAAGTGAGGCATGTACTTAATAAGGGACATATTTTCTTGAATACTAGTCTCACTGAGGCTTACTGCATGGCTATTGTCGAGGCTGCATCGTGTGGGTAAGTTTTCTGGATGATATTGTGATCAATTTGGAGGAAAGGGATAATTTTTAATGTATTCTCTTCGTGTGGAAGATTGCAGGTGGTCTCTACCAGGGTAGGAGGAATTCCAGAAGTTCTGCCACCTGAACTGATCTATCTTGTTGAACCCACTGTTGATGCACTCTTGTCAGGACTAGAAAGGGCCATTGCTGATTATACGAGTGGAAATATCATCTGTCCATTGGAAGTGCACAAAAAAATTATCTCGTTCTATAATTGGTACGATGTCACAAGGAGAACTCAAATTGTTTACGATGCTGTTCGAAGAGAGGACCAGAAAACTCTGGGACACCAATTAGCCAGTTATTTGTCCAGTGGAGTACTTCCTTATTTACTTGTGGTGTCTCTTTGTTATATTGTCCTACAGTTTTTGGAGTTCTTCGTGCCTAGAAAGGTGATTAATTAATAGGTTTTGACAATTTGTTGTCGAAATGAGCCAGAAATTACAAGAATTATTTGTTTTTTTTTCAGTACATTGACATTGCCAAAGATTACAATTATTCAAACTCCCATGTGAAGCCAAAGGACGAGAAATCTAAGACGAAAACGTAGTACAATTGTAAAGAGTGTCTTCTCCGCAGCTGAATGAAAGTAATAAGTACTAGATAAGTCGAGCATGTGTCGTGCTTATCATCCTTGCCATTCTAAACCAACTGATAGGAGGTTAGGTGAATCGAGAATCGGCCAAATTTAGATAAATATTATGTTATTAGTGTGGGAGGCGAAAAGGTCCATCACTTGAGAGTTCTTGTACATAAAAATTTGTTATGTCTTCGAATATTCTATGAGTAACAGAAACCAAGCAATGAGACAATACTAGCAGTCCCTTGAGTGGACACTTTCCAAGAGAATCAGCATAGATTTATCACTATTGTCTTCGTTACCTGAGTTAGATAGCAATTAATAGAACGGGATAATTGAAGAAGAGTCAGTATTTAGTTTAGGAATTAAACAATTTTTTTGGAGTATTAAAAATTCAGTTGTGATTCCAGTGAAATTCTGTCGGAAATTCTATTTTTTTTCCTCAGCTGTTGTTTCACGTTTCTAGAAAATTTACAATATTACTATTTTTTTAATAGAAAAAATTTTTCGTGAACTTGAAGAATTGAGTATTTTGAATTTCCACGTTGAAATAATCAAAAACGTTTGGAGTTTCTTTGAGAGGAATTCCAGCAGAATTGGATAGAGCAATAAAATCTAATCAATTATGTTCTACGAAATTGATTTTTCGTCAAATTTTTCCGTTACAAATCTTGTCCATAACTTTAAATCACAAATCATTGCCGGAGAGTATTAATACTGGTGTCTTTTATTTACAGAAACAAATTTCACAATGAAAAATAATATAAAATAACCAGAGAATGTACTTTGATAGATTTTGCATTAAAAAAAGATTATGTCTATGGAATATTCACGACAATATTGTTGTATTACATTCCGATGAATCAAGTACAAAATATCAAAAAAATTTTATCGCCCAAGAGTACAATGTCAAAGGTGAAATTTCTCCCTTCACGCCCACGAAACATCAAATTCTTCGCACTTTCTGCATAATATATTTTCATTCCTGTCACAAGTACAGAAGATCTTCATTACGTCCTGAGACATTCAATTAATGCGCAAATAATTATTACTTAATCGGTTGCAAAGGTCACAGAGTAATAATAGAAATAATGAGAGTTTAACATTGTGGATTCATTGTATCCCATGGAGTCTACCAAATGGAACGAATATTGCATGTGCCTCAGAAAATAATAAAATTGTATTTACAATTAATCAATACCTCTCCATAACTCTTCCCTCCTACTCCTCTGATCATAAATTAATTCACACAAAATTCTTTCCCAGTTTTCAGATCGATTTTTCACTCCAAAAATTGAGAGATAATATTCATAAATGAAAGTAATAAGAATCCGAAAATATAATAGTTTATTTAGTTATGATGAAGAATGAGTACATCAGTAGAATTAATTTAAAAAATGAATTATTCCATCAGTATTGTACAATTCACTTATCATCTCGTGTTTCATAAACCTTTCAATCGAGAACCGTCGGTTCATCTCAACAATGCAAAAAATTCGCCAAAGAAATTTTCATTCTTCCAACCACTCATCAAATCGTAAAAAATCAAATTTTGAAAAATGCCAAGGAACCTCGCGATATCTAAGATTTGGTTTCCTAATCTTCTCTAAATACTTGAGCACTACCATCTGCTCGCACTTTCAATACTAAGTCTCCAAGAAATACTTCTCCATAAGAAGACGATCAAACGAATTTTTATTAATATTTTATCATTCAATCATGTAATGGAGAAATCGTTGGAGTAAAAAAATGAGCAACAGAAGCCCTCAGTGACACAATGGAGTATCGAGGCCTCTGAATTATTCAGATGGTAAGTACTAAACAAATCCTCAGAGAGCAGTAATTCCGAAGGAAATGCTTTACTTCCTGAAATAATTCCCCACACATGATTCTAACAATAACAGGAGTCAAGGTCCTCAAATAACTAGAAACCAAAGAAATTTTCAATAACTTCGTTTTTACTTCTTTTTGCCTTGTATTCATGAAATTATCGTTTTCAATAATTGAATATCAGCGGATTTAATATTTCTATTGCTGACACATATTCGTTTCAATGAGAGGAAAGATGTTAGAAAAAAAAAATAGTACAATCAATACGCACTTGCTAAGTATTCATGCAGTTGAATCGTTTTATCATTTCTTTAATATTCACATCTTTTGTATATACAAGTGTTTTCATAGTCCTGCATTATACGTCTCGGTAGAATCAAACTGCTTCCTTCCATCGTAGAATTGTTCGTCCAATATTACCGGATCATTATTTTTCAACTTAAAAAAATATAAATAAATAACGAACCAATCTGATAAGTCGAGCATCCCCTTTGTCGTCAAAAGATTCTCTTCCTAACAGTAAAACAGTTTGTCTTTCTTTGCGTTCGATTTTTCATTGGAAATTTGGCTGGACGTTCAAACGCCTTCACCATAATCTCGATCTCCAACATTGATACGATCAGTTGCTGCAGTTACACTGAAGCCAAGAATTCTGCTGTCAACTTTGCACATCTTTCCTTTTTTTGGTTTCTTCGCCTTTCCCTGAAATTCCAAATCGGCAAATCAAATTTCACAACCACAGAAATATCAAATAAAATCAACTCGACAAAAATGATCTTATTGCCGAAAAAAGTTGATCACCAATTCAAGGATGATGATGCTATCATAAAGTCAACACGACCTTTGGGCTTTGATCTTTCACTCTCCACGTGAATTATCCAGACTAATAATAAATATTTTCACAATGCAATTGTACAAGGAAAACTTCCCAACGTACCTTGACCTCCTGGAACTCCATAGGAGCATTAGGATTGACAGCAGGTGCAGGTTTACAAAGATCATCAGCCTCAGCCCTGGGTCTCTGAGCGGATCGCAATTTACTTCTCTTCTCCAAGAACTGTTTCGTAAATTCCGTAGTCTGTTTACTATCCCCCAGGTACATCCTGACATATTCCTTAACCTCATAAGCCGACTCGATATCCTTCAGAAAACCAATGAACGTTGGGATATCAACGGACGGTTGTAATCCACAGAGTGCCCTGAAGCACCACTGCTGAAAATCGTCCGTCTTGGCAGTGTTATTCTCAAAGAGTTTCTTAACAATTTCCTCCTCCTTCTTGACCTTGCCCTTAGCCACTTTATTATTCTGCTGTGGAGGTCCACTGACATTACTCTTAGGAGCTGTCTGTTGATTGACTTTAGCCACCGGCTGTGGCTTAACAACAGTTGCAGGTTTGCTAGGTACAGGTTCATCCCAAAATCCACTACCTGACCAATTCTTTCCCCCTTTATAATCAATACCAGAATTAGCTGGTGCCCAGTTTAGAGATTGTGAGGCAGTACCCCAGATACCAGCATTCTGCGTCACAACAGCTGTCTCCTTCTGATTGGCCTTCTCCTGGCGTTCCTTCTCCTGCTGCTTGACCTTGGCAATGCGTTCCTGCTCCTCCTGCTGGATCTGAGCTAGACTCTTGACCTGTGGCTGTTTGGTGGTGGGTGCGGCCTTCTCAGCCCACTTGAACTGAAGACGTTTCGACGAGTCCAAGACAGCCGCCTCCTTGGCCGCCTCCACAGCCTTTTGCTGAGCAATTTGCTGCTGCATCTGCTGCTGTATACGCATCTCCTCAGCTTTCTTCTCACGCTCGAGCCTCTGAATTTCAGCGAGAGATGCATGATTCGCCACAGGTGGTGCATGCTGAGCCCGTGCCCAAGGCGCTTTACTCCTCTCCTGAAGTTTCTTGAGGGCCTCAACCTCTCTACGCCTCTGATCTGCCCTCCTCGCCTGCTCTTCCAACTCCACCCTCTTACGATTTTCCTCCTCTCTCTTCAAACGCTCCTCTTCCTGCCTCTTCACCTGCTCCTCCTCCAGCTTTCTTCGCCTGTCCTCCTCCTTCTTGACTTTCTCCTCCTGTCTCTTCGCCTCCTCGCGTTTCTTCTTCTCCTCCTCCTGCTTCTTCCGATTATTCTCCTCATCGATTTTACGTTTCTCCTCTCGTTTTTTCTCCTCGTCCTTACGCTTCTTCTCCTCTCTCTTCTTCAATTCCTCCTCCTGCTTACGTTTCTCCTCCTCCTTTCGCCTCTTCTCATCCTCCCTGCGCCTCTTCTCCTCGTCCTTTCGCTTTGCCTCCTCCAGCTGTCTTACCCGCACCTCGGCCTCGAATTTCCTCTTGACAGTCTCATCCTCTACCTGTCTCAGAATCTCCTCCTGTCTTCTCAATTCCTCTTTCTTCCTGTCCTCTTGTATTTTAATGTTCTGCTCCTCTAGTATCTGTTGTTCAGTCTTCATTTCCTTGGTATGCAAGTCCCACAGAGAATTTGGCATTTGTCCTGGTGGCATTGGTGGCAGTTGTCCCACCTGGGCCAGCCAATTCTGGGCATTGAATTGTGGATTGATCTGTGGTGGGGGCTGTGGCCAAATCGAATCTATCGGATGGGCCTGGGGGTGTCCATTGGCACTGACTTGAAGCTGTCGTAGCAACGATTTTATGGGATTATCCTCCTGTGATGGTTGAGCTGGTGGTGGATTAATTGTTGGAGTTATTGTTGACTGTGGTGGTGGTAAATTCTGTCCAGTGCCAATTTTCTGGATAAACTGCTGAATAGGATCGATTGGTGGGTGCGCTGTTGATGGCATGTGATTATCACTCTGGGTCTTGGCCTGTTGCATTTGATTAAACAGTTGCATAACAGGATTGGACGTTGTTGACCCAAGTGGATTGACAAATGGGCTCTGATTAATCGATAATTCACGTATCTCAGGATCCTGCATGACACACTGCATTATCAATTGATTCTGCTCGACAGCACTCAGTGTACCAAAGTGCTCAGACTGCGAGAGTTTGGTAAATGCTGAACTCTTCATTTGTCTGAGCAACACCTGCTGATTCTGCAATAATCTCAGGTGCTGATACATGAGCAGTGGATCGTCGATTCCAGGTTTGGGTAAGGCACTGCCAGGTAATCCAGTTGGTACTGGATTGGTAATGGGTGGTGGAATAACTGGTTGTTCAGCAAGTTTGAGGGGGGGAATTGGATGGCCTGGAATAAAAGGGACTCTGCCACACATTGTCATTAGATCACCTAGTGTTGCATATCTCTCGTCACACGTTCGTCTCACCAGTAGACCCGATGTGAAATAACCAGCTCTGCACCACTCAGCCATTTCATTCGCAAGAAAGGGGCCCTGAACTTCACCCTGTGGATCTCTGTAGAACCATTTCTCTTGAGCACCAGCTGTCAATGGCTGATGATTGGTGACAGGGGGAATTGATGATAAATCCTCTCTGTGGCTCTCCTCGTCAGCTGTTAGTTTGGCTACTAACATATCTGCTTCAGCATTCATTCTGTCGAGATCATCATCAGGCTTGGGTGCAGGCATTGGTGGAACAGGATTATGCTCGATTGTTGGGATACTTGGTGGTTTGGATTTGTTGGTGGTCATTGCTGGTGGCTCCTGAGGTCTTGAATCGTTCTGGGGAGGCTTTGATGTTCGTTCGATGAAGGATTTTGAGCGCTGGGGTCCCTGAATTTTGTTTATTTCTGTTTTCACCAGATTTGCTGAGCTTGCTGATGTCTGGACCTTTCTCCCTGCTTCTATCACTACTGGATTAGTGTTTAGAGCGCTTGAAGTAGTCGCTGGTTTTGTCGGGGAAGCACTTCTTCGTTCTTGATTCGCTGGTGTCTCCTTGCCGTCGAATGGATGGAGAGACTTTGGCCTCTCTCTTGTTACAGTGCTCGTGGAGTTACTCTGACGAATGACATTGTGTCCATATGTCAATTTGGCTCCAGCTTTAGTATTATTGTTACCCTCGGAGGTACGCCGGTGTCTCCCCTCACCAGTCATTCCCTCCTCATCCTCGTCGGAGAATATTCCCCCATGGAAGGCGCCAGATGCATCGAAACTTCCACCACTCTCGCTGGGATTCTCAGTCGCCCATTCAGGCAAATTATCGTGATTATCGTGATGATTGGACTCCCAAGTACGAGCAGTTCTCGGTGGATGATGATGAGAATCGTGGGATAATCTGTGACTCGTTCGAGTCTCCCAACGTCCACCACCTCGGCCATCATCTCCATCGGTATCACCACGATCCATTCTCTCTCGTTCACCACCACCATCTCTCCAATTACCTCTGATCCATTTTTCATTACGATTATTAGAGGCAACCCTCCAGCCCTCCTCCTCATCACCAGCTGCTCGAGGTCGTCTCCAATTGCTCTCCATCAGTGAACTACCACTTGCCCCTCGACTCATCTCCTTCCTGGGGCTCGTCGAGCCATTCCACTCACCAGTATCTGCCACCCCATTTCTCTCAGACCATCCTCTCTCACTCTGTGATCTATCGTAAACTCTTCTACCCTGGTATGGCTGTGAATCAAGTCTACTCCCTTCGCCAGAGTCATCGAAGCCTCCAGGACCACGACTGAAAGAGTACATTCCACCACGTCCTAGTCTTCCACGACCACCACGATCGACACTCCCACCTCTACCACGACCACCAGCACTGCTTACACCACCGCTCCACACTCGCTGCAAAAATTTTACATTTATAATTATTCCTTTATCTGTGGATTTAATTTTCCCTGAAATTTCTCGAATTCGTATTAAAAAATCACACATTCCATAGCTTTTCCATTCAAATTACCGAAAATCAATAAAATATTTGATTTTTCAATTCAACTATTCCATGGTTGTTGTAAAGGCTGTAGAGAATCCAATTACTTGAAATAATTTCATACGAGAGGGATGCAGTGGCTGTCATCGAGGTGACAGCTACTTGTGGCTAATTGCCACTGAAATTTAAAATCCAAATTACCCAGTATTTCTAGGAGAGAGCCAAATGCTGGCACAAGGGCTCCAGAGTTGAATTATATTTAGATCACAAGCGATGTATGACACACATCCCAATATAAGATACAACACAATCATTTCAAGTTGCTGGCAAAGACTGTGATTGACTTATAAATTGCTCGATGTGTGAAATTGTTGATGTAATTTGGCTTTTGGGTGGATTGAGTGAGGAGATAATTACCGTTTCGTCCTCTGTCATTGGTATGAACGCAAGGGGTAATAGGGTCTTCTCCACGTAGATGGTCTGGAGGCTTAACAGTCCCTCCGGTGGCTTGCAGTTACGATCGAATAACGCCAGCATCTCTTCTCTGCCGTATCTATGCTCTGCCAACTGGTACCGAGGGGTGATCAGGTTGGCTGTACCACCACCACCACCACCGGAATTACAACTGTCTCCAGACAGATTGCGCAACCTGGATGACAGTAGGAAAATCCTCAGCAAATTATAATTCATGAATCACCCAATGAATGAACTTTTCATCACTAAAACATCCTCAGTCATATAAAAAGAGGGAAATGTCAATTAAAAATTCATATGGTACTTAAAAAGCTATGTCGAAACAAATCGATGCTCCAGAAAAATTGAATTAATCAATAGATTGAAAAAATTGTGTAGGAAATTTCAATTTTCATGTTTCATTTATTCAAGCAAATATTAGATATTGAAAAAATAATTTAAGAGAAAGTCATGTGACAATTAAAAATTCATTCTAAAATGAACCGATGCTTCAGTAAATGAAAAATGGAATTCTCCTAGAAACTTGAATAATCAGTGAACAAATTGTGAGGAAATTTTAATATTTGGGTTTCATGTAGAATTTTGTAATGCCGTTTTGGTGTAATATCCAAATTTCAGAAAAATTCAGATGTATGTCTGCGTTATTAAGTGAAATTTTTCGAAAAAAAGTTCATTCACCCGACATTCAGTAAACGTCCATAATCGAATGTGATTACTAACCATTCTGGACCAAACTTCATGGAATCCGTCATGCTGCACTCTCTCTGCTTGAGCACATAAAAGCAAAGAATAATTAATGCCCCAATTAATACGAGACAACAGAGGGGAGCGATAGAAATACAGCCATTTGTTTATGTGGGAATAATCCAACATGACACAATTGCCTGACAAAACCACCTCGAGTACACGCCGTTTGCCAATAATTGAACTCAATTTTCTCACGAAATATCCGATTAAAAAATCCGCACCCCAAAACCGCTCATTCCATTGAACCCAATGTAAACAGTCTAAAATTAATGATACATAGAATAGAGTCGAAATAATTAAAACAATTACTGCTGTAAAATGTAACAGTCGAGTCCATGTGAGAACTTTCTTAGATAAAGGAATGCGATGTGAACGCAACAGACGGTGGATGAAATTACAAATTCGTGGTCAAGGATTTTTATTTTTACCCTTGAAAAACAGTCCAACAACAATCAATGATTTTTCATAGAGTAATAGCACGAGTATTTTTCATGAGGGGTTGTAAAATAAATATGTATTTACTGGAGTGAGACATGATTTTTTTTAACAACGACTAAGTTGTGCCCCATGAGCCGAGGTGGCAATAATAACCAAACATTTTTCATTATCGTTTTTAACTTGTTCCAGGGATAATTGAGGTATCAATCGTTGTTGATCAATTGTATGGGATATTTTGACTGTGACGTGTTGTATTGAGTGGAATGAGGTGGAATTTTTTAGTGGCTAAATACCTTATTTAACTCGGAAATTACTGAGCGAACAATACAACACACCAATATGGCCGATGAGATTTTTATAACAGATAAAGGCGCATGCGGGTTCTCTTGTACCTGAGTTTTCTGGAATTGACACTAGATTCTTGAATAGTGGCGCCACTTCGTCCTCCAACCCTAGGTTTCAACGTAACAAAGATTCATTGGGGCTGTGGTAAATAATGATATTGAATAGCTTGAAATTACTCTGATGCAGTGGAATTTATTCGTGAATATCGAAATGACTAAAGGATTAGCATTCGATATAATGGGTGTTATTGTCTGGGTAGCAGGTAATTACAAGACTTACAAAAATTGAGGGGTTGGGGATGGTAATTTTATACGAAATAATGAGGCTTCTTGACGATTATCCCGTATTCGGCTACAGCTGGTGTGAGGTCTTCCATCGTCAATGTGTATCTCCGATCTTTGCCCTTTGATTTAGTCGTTTGACTGGCGCCTCTGGTTTTGCAGTGCTGCAGGGCGTCGTTGGCAATTTCTGAGATGAATTTTTGAGCTGCCAATGAGACTAATCGAACTCTGGAAGGGTTAATGTCTTTTTTAATGAAAATTGGGGGGGGGGGGATGGGATGTCAGGGGAAATCTGTCGTCGGTCACTTACATTCGAGGATCCGTTGAGTTGAATCCTGCTGTGTGCAGGTAATATTCACTTATCGCATCAGGTACCTGGGGGAGGCCATTGTTTATGATTTTTGTGGGCTATTCTTAATGGAATAATAAACTGGAGGGAGGACTTACTGTTGGTGTGTAGTCCTCTAATTGAACTAGGAAATCTGACAGGGGTTGACCCGCACTCTTTGCTTCCTCATTAGGTGGAGTGGCACGTCCTAGATTATCCGATGACATCCTTCAATTATTCGATTCCTCAGTACATGGAACAAATAGTTGTTATTTTGACATTGATACTAAGTCCTTTGTCACTCTAACCAACAATGTTTACGTTCGTGGAACTCAATTGTACTGATGCAGTTAGATTTTTGGAGACGTTTTGGTTGTTTCACTGGTAATTTATTTGAAATTGTAGTAAATTAGTAATTACTGTATTATGCTGGTGTTACCTTCAATGCTTTAAGTTATTTTGGTGAAATGGATGACAAGTCCGTGTCAACAAACTCCGAAAAACATGTACGTGTGTATGTTTTCAATGACGAGTGTGTGAGAGGGGGAAAATCACTAGTTTTTATAGTAATTTTACAAAAACTCTGTTGGTGAAAGTTCTTCTCGATTTCTGTTGGTGACACTGTGACGGTTTATTCAATTTTTAAAAAAATGAGAAAAAATATCAATATGCCATTTGAAATTACTAATTAATAATGATTTATGGATGAAAATTATAATTTTCTCAATTAACATTGGACTATTTTATTGATGATACGATACAATTTACAATTGACTGGCCTAAATTGTCACTGTTGAAGGGAGAGACGTAAAAAAGAGAACAACGATGCCGTAAATTTAACTATATTCTTAAAATTCTCTAAATTCAAACGATAGAAATGATACGCCGTAAAATGCACTGGATAATGCGCCTTTGTTATAATAAATAAGATTTTCTGACGATCTATTGACGGCAGCTGATACCAAGGGTAATTATACACTGCATTGAGTAATTCTCCGGCTTTTGTCGCGATAACGTCACCTCCAAAGCAAAATAAAAATATTTGAGTGTAAAGGAACATCGTGACGCATCCAAAAATTATCAGATTGCCGAATTCGTCTTGATCGTTAAACGTCTTCAGCATTATCATCACTAAAAAGCAGAATCCATTGGTTTATCTATGGGAGAACTTGGTACTTAAAGAAAATTCGCTTACAGGCGCCGCTTATGAAACATAAATCTGTCAGTAAATGACACATAATTACGAAACTAAATGTTTCCTCCAGGTGATGACAGATTTTCAGGAGATGATTGTGACGTTTTACAAAGTCATGGATTATCGAAGGCTTTTCAGTGTTTGATGCGGGTAAATTTTGAAAATTCATCTTCAAAATGTCAAATTGACCACTCAAATGAGTGAGAATGTGATAATAGCAGGCGTCATTACCACTTACACACCACTGCATGATAGCAAGTTGAATACTCTGTCCAATGTAAATTAAATACACATTAATTGAGAGATCTGATGTCCAACAACCGGCCCCGAGGGCTGCATATATTGCAGTTGAATTTGTGTCGTTAATTTTCATATTAATTAGAATTTTCTGAAGTATCGTTAGCACTGAAATAAATAATGAACCGCCCAAAAGGACAATGAAGCCTGCTCTTCCCAACAATTTATTATTTTCCATTATTTTTTGGGACTGCAAATTTCTGATATCTGACCAATCCCTCGCGGCAGAAATTATCATGTAAGCCATATTTTTCCAATAAATTCTTGGAAGTGTCATTTTCACGATCCCCAGTAGTGCACTCGGTATGCCAACAGTTGACACTAACATATCATTAAGATTACCACAATTTTGTAAAAGGTCTTTTGTTAAAGTTGTTGCCATTGAGATCTGTAAGAATTAATCAGTGGGTATTGATATTAATCGAATGAGAATCCGATTCCACATCGATATAAAAGATCTATTTAAATTGCTGAACGCCTATTTTATTATCAGGGAATTTTTTTTAAATAGTTAAAAGTCCTTGGAAGTGAAGAAGAATTCGACCGAAGTGTAAAGAAAATTCTGATCCGGGAATTCTCAACTGAAAGGCAATGGGAATATCTACAAGATGGCTTTAAAAAATGGTTCACTTTTTCTGAATCAGATGAAACACGTTGAGATTGATTTGAAAAAGCCGAATAATTGCCACAATTGTTCAAAAACACGAGGTGGAGCCGCCGCCATCTTTGAAGCGGTAAATAAGATGGCGGTCTCTTCTTTAAATTCTTTAAAATAATTCTTTACATTTATCTATTATCTTCAACTTAGTGTTAACTCATTTCTCATTGTTTTTATAAATAGGTTTCAAAGCAAATTTTTCGTTTATTTCGCCGTAATAGCTAGGGCGCAAATTTTCTCAACCTTTCAATAATTCAAGTACCAGTGTTATTATACAAAACCAGAAACGAATTTTAGCAAATGTTTTGTCACACGTGAATGGCCAAATTCCCATGAGTTCTGATGTGATTTTGTACAGTTGAAAATCGTGTTGTGCTTCTGTATTCCACACATCTTCATACTTTAATTTTTTCATTCCTATTTCTTCTTCACGCGATTTTAATACACAGTAAAATTCCAGTATTTCATCTATTCGTTTGAAAAGTTGCTCATTAGTAATTATGATTGTGAAGACAATAAGGAGTCAAATATTTCCAAGGGATGAAGAAATGAATTTCGCAATGTTTGAAGTACGAGTTACTGATGCGCATGATTCACGCACTTGTTCCACCCCATGTTGATGTATGAAAAATGTATATGCAGCTTTCGCAGGCGACTTAGTACACACGTAGGATAATGAAGGAGTAAGTAAATGTTACCGAGAAAAAGAGGGATAAAATGGGGGAAGAAATGGGCGAGTGGAGACAAAAAACTAAAGTAGAGAGGAATACGACGCGGAATTACAGGGTAATCGTTGAATCGATACACCAGACTTGTACTATATTATTTACTTTCTGTTCTTTCCCTCTAATTTCTCCCCTTTCTTCCCCGATTCGCGACACAGTATTGTTACAATATTTTCCCTACACAGTTATCCTAGAGAACTCGAACCGTTTTCTTTTTATCTTTCGTCTTTATCCCTTCCGGATGTTTTGCCTCACTGCAATATTTTTTCTGTTAATAAATTTATTTTCCCAAAACCTGAACTAGAGTTATCCATGAAAATTATTCAAACGGCAGTTTTTTTTAATAAAATGAATTCAAACAGATATTCCTGCGATATTTTCTCACTGAATTGCCCACCTCATCCAAATTCTCCTATACACGTTTAAGGACATAAATTAAGAGATTAACGATGTTAATTAGGGACTTTTAACTTGTAAATTACTAGGTGGCAATCGTTATTTATGTTTATGTTTTAATCAGCAACGAGTTTACGATTTCGCGCTCTTCACGCTGAGTTTTTATGAGAAACGACGATTTGTAGATCAACGTCGGTTCGACATGAAGATGAGGTTAACAAATCCGATTTGTCGTAATTGATAGTTTTGAGAGGAAAAATTAAACTGCGTAGTAATCATTCCAAGGACAAGGACAAATGCGTTGCGGTTGACACTAGCAAGAGGATGGCACAACAGGTGAGAATAATATTGTCAAATTAGACCTGAAACATTAGCCATCAATAATTTCATCGTCTAAATAATCAGTAGAATACTCAAGAGTAATAATTCTAACTCAAATACTTGTAATTAACAGTACATTACATTGCACTGACGAGACTGTGGATTTTTGCAGGTTAAAATCCAAACGCTTGCGCAGGATTTTTTCCGAAAAATTTCACCTGTTTATTTTTATATAGATCCCTCGAAGAGACTATCGAGTTTTCAACTTGTTGACTCCGTTTATTATAGCTGCAATTATAATTTAGGCACCACTGGGTGACTGACTGAATTCGAATATAAAAATAAATCGAGGCGAATTGCATGTGAAGGTCTCCCACCACTTGGCAACTGTTGCCATTCTATTGGCTGCTATAAGGAGGGAAAATAAATTCATGAATGAAAATTCTTATAGAACCGATAGAGAAATTCAAGCACTTTTAAATTATCAAATACTTCTTCTATTTTTGGGTAATTTTGTTACGTTGAGTTATAAAATTATTTTTTTAATTTGAGAGCAACTCCAGAGATTTAATTGATTAATTCTTTTTTTATTAATACTATTTTTCGCAGTTTAATTTCTATTGATTAATTTTACTGCAATCTTTTGAATGTCAGTGGAATAAATTCCTGAAATCCAATTTAATGCGAGTCACTGTAAATATTTTAAAAATTCTTCGGCGATGATCTTGACATCGTCTGTATTATTTCGAGCTGACAAGTTCGCCCAGTATTATTTCGATATGAAAATGAGTTCTTAAAATACTTATCTCTGGCGCCATAAGCTGGAAGGGATGTAAATATTTGCTCTTGGCGGTAGTAATCGTTTGACTATAAGATGAAAACCACTTGGAGAGATAGGGACAGGGTGAGATCAAATTGTCAGCTTCCACCAAATATTTTACAGGAATCCTCTCCGATCCAGACTCCATAAATTCTTCATCCATTCACCTCAATAATTCCAGTGTTAATTAACAGTACCCAATAGGAGAAGTAAATGAAAGATTGAAGTTGATGACAGTAAGAATGATTTTGTGGTCTAAGTGGATGAAATGTAAGACAAATTATCATTTTTATTTTTTCTCACGAACTAGGATTTTCAAAAGCCTCTGACTGGGGGCGAAACCACAGCATCCAATCTGTCAAGAGCTCTAATTGCAACTTCGGTCGAGCACAAACCCTTGCCAGGATTTGATATGGATCGTGATGATCCGCGATATTATCGTCTCCAACAAGAAATTGATTGCGACCTCGTGTATCCTGGAATTTTAATTGGCGATGCGTAAGAAATTTAAATTCAATAACTCAATTACAGGATAACTGTAAAATAAATCACGAAATCTGGACACCAAGACTTCAGAGTTTCATTGACTCTTTGACGAGTGCCTTGTCATTAAAATCTCCATAGAATTAATTATTTTGAGTACTTCAGGGGTTTTTAATCACAGGGCCACAGCTAAAAACAAGAGCTATTTAAAACGCATCGGTGTCACTCACGTATTGAATGCAGCCGAAGGGACTCGTTTCGGGTTCGTCCCGACGAACAAGGAATACTACAGAGACGTCAACATGACGTATTTGGGATTGCCTCTGGCAGATTTACCATCGGTAGACATCAGTAAATATTTCTACACAGCAGCTGCATTCATTGATGACGCCATGAAAAGCGGAGGTAATTTATTTCTCGTATGCAATTGAACTCGACTGTCTAGCCTCGTTCGATAATTAACTCTCATTTTTCTCTCATTTATTTTGAGGTTTTGAGTCAATGATTTGTTTAAAAATTCCAGGGAAAGTCTTCGTTCACTGTATGGTGGGAGTGTCTCGCAGTGCGACATGTGTTATCGCTTACCTGATGATAAAACGTCACCTTTTGGCAGAAGAGGCGATTCGTTTGATACGAAAGAGTCGCAGCATTCATCCAAATGAGGGCTTCCTGTATCAATTAGCACGACTGGACAATCAGCTTCGTCGTCATCGTCTCTAACGATGACAAATCGATTACTCCCTTTACGAACTTATTTATCTAATTTATTTAATTCCAATCTAGAGCGGGCGATATATTTGTAAAAAGAAAATGGATCATGCTTTTTTAATCAACATTTAGTTTAATTACCTGTAGAAAGTACGCTGTAATAAAATTGAAGTTTATCTAATTCAAATTTTTGAATTCCCCCTCCAAAAACGTGGGAATTAAAAAGTCTAGAGGATTTCAGAAATTCTAGTGCTTTTTCCCCTCAAAGTTCCCACGCACTGGTGCAATTGTTGGCGGTTGATTCAGGTCTGTCACAAATACAACAGTTGTTTTACAATTATTTAGATAAAATTGTTCAGATGAAGTAGTTTGAATCCCCGGAGTTCCAGAATGGCGAACAGGAATTGCAACATCAGTGGGGAAATCGAGCCGAGAGTTCCTCGACATCCAACAGCAGCACTGGTGAATATCCTAACCTCTGTAATTGATAAAATTTCATAAACAATCTTTGCAATGAAGAATTCTGTTTCAGACTGAGGTCCTGCCAACAGTGCCGGAGGTGTCATTGGCCTTCGACAGCCCTCAACAACGAATTTATTACCCAAACGAGTCGAGACCCTCCACTGTGCCAACATCCTACGCCAAATGGAAGCAACAAGTACCCCAGAAATCCATCGACCCTGGGGTCATGCAGAAAGTATCACGAAGCCTCCCGTCATCACTAGCCCCTAGAAAACATAACACAGCCCTGGGAGTAATTGAAAAACCCCGAAATCCCGTAACCAACGTCTTCACAAAGGACTCTCGCCTGAAGTTCTATCAAAAAATAAATCCAGAGTCTTCCCAAGCGAACCCAAAAATCCTCCCCACGAGCAATCCCTCGAATTCCATGAAATCATCATCGAGAAGATCTCAGATGCTCCTCCCAGTGGCTCCTAAACCTCAGGAGTCCTCAGACCTCGAAAAAGTCGAAGTCTCAAGCCCTCCGAGACGAGAGAAAACCACCTGCGACTGTCACTCCCATCAGTCTGAAAACACGGAGATAATTAATAAATTATTGTCCCTGGTCCAAAGTCAAAATGCTCAGATACAGATGCTCCAGGGACAGGTGGAAACTCTTCTGTCAATGAGGACTGAAAGACCCAGGGAATTGAATGACTACCAGAGGCTTCCTCTGCCTGTTCACAACGCCTCCACTAATCCAATTGATCCAGGTCTTCAGAATCCACGTCTTCAGTACTCAAAGAGCTCTCGAGATGTCCAGGAACTTGAAGAGAAACAGAGGGACGATAGCTGTAAACAGTTAATAAAGGAGAAGAAGGTATCGATTGGAGTCATGACGAGTTTCGAGTTGACTGTTCAAGATTCAGTTGTTTATAATGTCGATGCGCCAGCAGTCACTGATTATCAAGATAAATCTTCCCATCCAGTGGGAATAAAAAATCTGAATTCTAGAGCAACTGCTCCTATAGGAAAAGTACCCACTGGCCCCCTGGAGCAGATTATCGAGGATTCAGAGAGCCATTTGTCGTCCACTGTTCAAGCTAGCAACAATTTTAACACTTACTCCTCGGCGAGGAAATCATTACAGGGAAATCCTCAGGGAGATTCGCTGACCTATGCAGAATTGCCACAAGTTAATCCCCAAATGAATCCTCAAATAAATCCACAAGTTCCAGCTCTGCCTCAAAACCAGATTCATCATCTGACAGATCGACCTCCAGAATCTCTGAAACTAACACCCAGATTTTCCAGCGGAGAAAATCGTTCACCGAATCCAGAGAAATATTCTCCAGCAGGTCGAGCTGTTGCTCCATCGAATCCTCGGGGAGATCCAGCTCCTGGAGACGTGGAACCTGTTAAAAAAACTCCACAAGTTGGTTGGACTCTGTATGATAATGTCATGTGTCAGGTGAATGAAATTCTGCACAATACTCAAGAGGAGGAAAAAAAAGAGATGGTTCAGGAGGCGAATGGATCGAAAATCGTGCTGAATGGAATACAGCAGTCGACTCTGGAGAAGCTGAGGCTCTTTGGATTCACATTCGCTGATACGTCTGGATGCTCCGAGGGAAAATCTCTCGTCGATGGCAGGAGGATGAATCCTATTCCTATTGACGCCTCGTATTATCCTCGACTGGATTATCAGGCAAATGTCATTCAGACCTCAGGATCTGCCAGTGACACCAGTTTGCACATGAAGGCACTTGCTATGAAGTATTTAGGGAGCAAACAGCTACCAAATGTTTCTAGTCATCAAAGGGGGATGGAATTGTTCACTAGTGTTGTACTGAGTAATATACAGAATAACATTCCTGGAACTTCCATCTCTGAAGTTCCTAAAATGGATAGTCCACGATTCCAGGCGTCACCGAAGGCTTTAGATTATCAACGGGACAATTATTTAATCCACTCAAAGCAAAGTCCACACACTCCGCATAGTCCACACAATATATTGGATATATCCAGTCTCAAACGTCAACCCAAATTATTATAGCACGATTATTTATCATTTTTTATTTTAATTTCATTAAGAATTGTGGATTATTATTTATTACGTATTCAGTAATTGTGAAGATAAAGTCTAAATAAACGAATTTTCTATTTCTTTTAAATCGAGGCTCTATATTTTTTTTATATTTCTTTAAAAAATAATCTAATTGTTTATTTTATAGCAGGATTTTATTATTATTATTTTTTTAATACGCCATTTTTGGAAATTATTTCGGGGACTAGAAATGTTTTTAGATAATTGAAGGAAATTCGAGGAATTAACAATGAGTAAGTCAAGGTCATTTGAATATAAAAGAATGTTCTTTATTAGAATATCTGTACAATTTTTTGATCTCGCCTCACCGCAAATTTTTCGAACTCTCACATCAATAAATCAATAAGAATATAATCAAGAAACTTCAAATATATATAGTTTAAGCAGCAATAACCATTCTTTCCCTCCATTATGACTCGAATCCTCCCCTCTACCAGGTTTCTTACCCCATCCTTACGACCTGGTCCTACAGATTGTCCCAGAGAAGGACTCGATATCACTGGGGCTCTGCACAGACTCGAAGTCAGACCAAGAGACTCCAGCATCAGTAGCTGACGACCTCTCAGATCTGTCAGAGTACCCAGAGTCCACCACTCCAGATTCATCGATCCTGAAGAGCCTCGGATGGAGCTGCCTCTTGGTCCTCTGATAGCTGCTCCCCCAGGTATCACCAGCATTCCATTGGAAATTCCTGACTCTCCGTTGAACCCTAATAGGACTGATCGAGGGAGACCGTCCCGAATTCGTCATCATACTGATCAAAGAGCTGCTCCTGGGTAGAGACTTCTTGACAGGAACCCAGAATACAGATTCCTCCTCCTCCTCCTCCTCCTCCTTGAGTTTCTTCTCCTCATCCTTGGCTTTGGCCATCCAATCGTAGTCTGGTTCTGATGACAGAGTGGGTGATCTGGGCCCCGACTCACTGCCACTGTCAGAGTCCTTGAAGCTCAGGGATGTCGAGGAAGCCACTGACTTGATGTCAGCATCGCTGTTGTCCTCACTGCTGTACGCCTCAGCCTCTCGGTTGCCATCTGAGTTGTCCTCGTAGATGTCACTCTTCTCCAGGACTCTCACTAGCTTCCTAACGAAATTTCTGGAGCCAGGAGAAGTGTAAGTCCTCTGTGGGGAAGATCGGCACTTCTCCTGGAGCTCCTCGATGATGTCCTGGATGAGAGACTGACTGTCCCCCACTCGTTTCTTCTTTATGATCTTCTCCATTGCTGTTGATTTGTTCTTTGACATGATGAATGCCAGGTGAGAGGAGGCGTTGGAGCTGTGACGAGATAGAGTTCCTGGAGCCATCCTCTGATCCTCAGTTATTGGCATCAGAGGACTGGAGAAGGTTGGTGATGTCCTCGGGGATCGCACTGGGGACACCATGATCAGGCTGATGCGAACGTTGTCTGCCTTGCATTTGTCACAGAGTTGGAGTTTTGCGCAGTAGTTTGATGATGATGACGTGGGTCTAGGGGAGATTCTGTGAGGAGTCAAAGCTCTCTCGGATTCAGGAGCTGGTGACTTTTCCCTCTGGGTCTTTGGATTATTCTTCCTGGGCGGTTTCACGATCGTGGTCTCCAGTGATGATGGGATTTCTGGAGGCGGCAGGAAGAAGAGCGGCTTTCTCAGGGGCTCTGGAGACCCTCGTCCCAAGGGTTTAGCTAGCGGCGAGGATGAGCCGATTCCTGGGAATGTGAAAATCGATTCACGACGAATTGGGTTGCACAGGGGAGAGGCCATTGATGATGTCGAGAAAACGGAGACTGGGGAGCCCTCGGGAGTCGATGATGTCCGGACTTTGAAGGTCTTCAGGAATGAGGATCTCAGGTCTGGAGTTCTGCAGAGAGAGATCGAGCACTCTGGCCTCTCCGGGCTCTTTGGATCGTTCGGTTTTGTGTACGTCTGACGGCGAATTCGCAGGCACTCGGGGTCCGGGTCGTCCAGATCTGTTACCATTATCGATTTAGACTCCGAAGGGTTCTCCAGGGCTGAGAGCATTGACTCTTCTGGGGATGAGAATTTTGACTCCTCCAGGGTTGAGAATTTTGATTCCTCAGCAGTTGAAAAATTTGAATCCTCCAGGGTTGAGAATTTCGACTCCTCCAGGCTTTCAACACTCAGGTCGAGCTTCGGAGCAGGTGGAAACACGATATTGATGTTCTGGATTTTCCTGGAGACTGACATCCTCGGGAAAGTACCACTTGTATTCAGTGAATTTTTCTGCTTGGACGATTTGCGTTCCAGAGTCCCATTCTGTGGCATTGAACTCTCTGTGAATTTAGAACTAGAGCCCTGGCTCCTGTGGTGCTTCCTCGATAGCTTGTGTGTGCTGTGAAAATTCTGGGCATCGGAGAAGGCCGATTTCGTGGTTTCTGGAAGCAGATGGAAATAAAATAATAAGATTCCAAATCCCAAGAGAAATACCATAAACAATATTAATTACATGGAAAACTCGTTAGAATAATTGCTCAATGATTAATTTACCTTTGGAATTTTTCATGGAGAGTGTCGACATTGACGAGTTCTTTCTGGAGCCCTTCCAGGGTGCAGGGCGATTCTCGATTGCAATACCATTTACCAAAATCTTCGGTGGTTTCGAGCAATTGTTGATGTACCACTCTGGAATAGACAGTTTCTCCAATGATTTCTTCACTCTGACTTCAGCTTCTGTCAGTATTCGATTCTGACTGTTCTCCTGACGATTCTCTTCACACATTGAGAACATGTTCTGTCTTATCCAAGTAGCAGGACAAGTGGCCATTGTAATATAAATATTTAAATTTCACTTTGAAATTCGGTAAAACGTCGATAATGTGTCGGTTTATCAAAGTAATCCAGATCGTTCTGCAAATTTTCACGATTCGCACTTTATTTCAGAGACTGGAGTACTTGTTTCCACTTGATCGCTTCTTGTACAACTGGTGAACATTCAGCAAATGTCGGTCTATGAATAATCTGCGGGTCCTGAAAGTGGTGGGGGGTGGTAGAAGGTGATGAAAGTAGTGGAAATAGTAGAAGTGGATGGGGGTAGGAAAAATTTTGCCACCAATGGAAAATTTTGGGGTCAGGCAATAAAACCTGTCTCCAGACCTTCCGGGGCGTAAATTCCAGTGATTAGGGTGTCTCTACCTGTGGCCATTAAGCTGAGCTCGTCAACGAGACTCAAACAATGAGGGAACATTTATGGCATGGATTACGTGGGATTGGTTGGGTGGATTGCTACGGATTTTCGTCCTTTTCACGAAAGGAGTCATAAAATTGTCTTCTTGTTTTGATTGTTTACCTTTCTACTTGGACCTCGACAATAGCTTCTCGAAAATCTTCACTCTATTTAGTGATTTTTCGCGGTATTTTTCACCTCCTAGTAATCCCTGATTCCCTCGATAGTCAAACTAATGTTTTGATTGAGTCGAAAACATCAGCCTTTAACAAAATTACAGGATAATTAAAAATCGTTTAAAATAACGATAATGAGCAGTCGTAATGCGTTTTTTTTAATTTCGCAAGCGCAAGCGCCAGTCTAGGTCTTATCTTTATTTTAGGCGTTTTCTTTGTGGGAAATTCGATGTAAATTCGAATTTTACTGAATTGGTTCAGGAAAAATTGGGAATTGAAATTTTGTTGAGGGATATTTTGAGAATTTTATGTAAATAACTCTGTCCTCATTTTTTCATTTCAACTAGCCATTTCCCCCGCAATATTACCGCAATATATTCATAAATATTTTTTACCCCCTCTCTCTCGAGTCGTAGTTGTATTGTTTTGGTATGCCTCATAAAATGGGAATTACTGTAAATATTTGTGTACTGTGTGCGTTACCTATTCCTCCCCCTCTCAAGTACTTGGGTAATTTACACCTCGTTGAACTCAGGTATATGATTGCTCGAAACCAGGTATAGAAATTCAGAAATGAATTTTCACTGAACTGTCACCCCAGTGATTTTCCGAGAATATTTAGGGATTAGTCACCGAAAATAAAATTCCGCATTTCATTTTTCCAGAATTAAAACCAGGAAATCATGTTCGCATTTTGAGAATAATCTGCAAGTAAATAGAGTGAGAAGATCTGCGACAAATTTGAATAATCTGATGATTTATTTATTCTGTTTTCGCCTCTACAGAATTTTATAATCTGAAATATACATTTTTTGTTATCTTTCGTTTTTTGAGAGAAAATTCTATACAAAAAAATGGACAAATCAGGGAATAAACTTTCGGATTAAATAATAATTAATCAATCATATATTAGTATTTAAACAAGAGAGACGTCAATCAGAATTCAATTGGATTTTTAGTCGTGGCAAAAAAAATGAATGACATTTTTTGCAAAATTGAAAATCGGTTGAATCTGTCAGATGGAAGTAATCGCCGATGATTTATCAAATATCCACAATTCCCAGTACAAATGGAAGGTAAGAAAATAAATGTTTTCCATTGCGTGCTCGTAAAAACGTTGAAATTGGGTTACGGATGTGCCCGGTACCCATTCCACCGCTTAAACTCCAGCAATTCCGAATGAATCCGCATAAAAGAGCATTTGAGAACAATTCAGTCAATAATCAGCGATTTGAGAAACTACTGTGGGGCTGGTTGCCATAGTAATCCCCAAATCGTACAACTCAAATCTGTATTACTGATTTACCGAGTCTAATAGCACGTAACAAAGTTGACAGAAAAAAAAATCCAGTGAATTTTAAATTTTCGCGATAATATCAAAGTGCATTACTTGCAATGTGGGTATGTCGCGACGGTACGTGCGTAGTGCACCTTTGCGCATTCATTTCAAACTAAAGTAATATCCGATACATAGTTACCCCCGTGTTTGTCAAAGTGTGCGGACTTTACCCTCGTGTTTAAAATCACCAATACAATATTTTTTCATTTTCAATTCACCGCCAAATCCATTCCACTACACGCAAATAACATATTAATCTTCTCTCATCTCATTATTTTTATTTTCAAGTGTCCAACTCTCCATTGAAGTTATTTCCCCACCCTTCAGCCTTTCATAACAATTCTCCATAATAATCACTAATTTAATTATCATTAATAACTTCATTATTATTTATTTTCATCCTATCAAGCCCCTGCGGTGTTATTTTTCCTGATAAATTGACGAAATGACGAAACAAATAAAAATTACAGAAATAGAATAAAAGAGTGAAACGAACAATGATAATAATAATTATTATTATTGTTATTTTATTATTTTTAGAGTTCAATTACATCGTGAAGAAGCGGGAGCAGCAGAAAATATGTTTCGGCTCTGGGAAATTTCGAGACATCGGTCTCAAGAGTGGGATGAATTCATTTATGCGGTATTATATGCCTGAGGATTATCCGAGTACTGGACCGGGACGTTATGACGTCCTCTCGGCATTCAAGGGAATAGCTACGAGACCTTGTCCGAAGAGCTTCAGCCGAAAGGGGTACGGAGGATTGGGGAGGTTCGCCATTTCGATAGGTCATACTGAGGATTATCCCGCACCTTGCGATTATAATGTACCCTCCTTCCCTGGCAAAGTCAGGGAGCAAAAGGTGCCCTTCGGATCAACCGCTAAAAGAAAGGTCTTCGAGGCTAATCGAAATCCAGGGTGAGTCAGCATTTATTCGAAATTTTCGCTTCAAAATTATGTATATTAATTGAGACTGCGATGGAAGTACACGATTGGTACATTGAGTTTAATTAAGAAAATTGAATAAAAATGTTTAATTAATCATTTTGGTACATATTTTTGTGTGTATGTAATAATTATTTAGAGTCATTATTTCTGCGTGAATTTCGAAAATTTCCAGAACAATAAAAATCGGTAAAAATTGAATTTCATATGGAAAATTGATAATAATAATTTTACTCTGTTCTCTTCTGACTCGATATTTTTCTGGATTATTTTATTTTTTTGAAGGCCCGGTCTCTACCGAAATCTCACAGCCATCAGAAGACGCGTAATTTTCGACCACAGTTTCGGTGGAAGTGTGAAATTGCGACTGGGGGTTGAAATAAAATGCTGCAAACGTAACACGGACATCTGTGGTGTCTGCGATGAGAATCCACTGGGTGATTACTGGCACTTGAACAACCGGATGTACCTCTGCAGGAATTGCATGACTTCTGAACGCCAACGGCCCAGAAAGCACACGAAAAAAGAGCTGAGTGATTTTCGTGTGAGTGATACTCTGATTAAAAATCCATCTCTCCACAATCTCCATTAACTGCAATTTATTTTTCCAGAAAATCCGCGACTGCTCCATGATCCACTCGCACGAAGGTACAGATGCAAAAACCTGGCGTATGCATCCTGGAGTCATTCAGAAATGGTGCCAGAAGGAGGCGTATCTCTCCTCCTACTTCAAAGACTAAAAATAACTTTCTGTTATCCATCTTTGTCACAAGTTACATAATTTCTTGTTGGAGTTTATGGAAAATATATGAAATATCAGTTACAGTTTTATTATTTTAATTTCGTAAAGTATATTTACAATCCTTATACTCATAATACTAAGAAAAATTGTTTTCTATTTACAGAAAGATTATATAAAAAATATTGAAATAGTAAATGCCTCGAGTATACCCTAGGTAATTAGATAGTATTTCATGGATAAATTGTTGCTAAAAGACCTACAAAAAATAATAACATTCGTCAGACAAATGAATTAAAGTGAAATAATTCGATTCTTCAATTTTTTTTTATCTCAAAAATCGATTTACCCCGAAAACTATCGATTTCACGAGAAAACCTTGGGGAACTTTTTTGTAGCCAATTAAACTTTGATCAAAAAAATTCTTTTGCTTTTTTCTCCTCAAATCGATAGTTCCCGAGATAAATCACTCAAGGAATCCGCAGTGAATTAATAAACTAGTACAAGTGCCTTTGGCAATCTTCCAATTATTGACGAATATCTCCTAAATAACTGAAGATACCGAAACTTTCATATAAACCTTCTTTCAACTTCGCAGATTGCTCTGCAAAAAAGGTAGTAATGAAAATTCCTGTATCTCTCTTCATTCCCGAGATATCCACGAAAAATTGAGAGCAGGTCAAATGTCTTTATCGCAGTTAACTAATTGACTGAATAAATCGATGGATTTGCTTCTGAATTTAATTCCCACATGAATCCTCCGAGCTCTGCGTCCCCTTAATCAAAACGGGCCTCCCAGGATCCTCCACAGTATTTCCCCCATCGGGTGCTTGCCTCGATACCGCTGATACCGAAGTCTCCGAATTCAACGAGCTATTATCATCGATCTCAGTCCCAGTTTGCAGTGCATTATCCCCAGAGTCACTAGTAGTCGATTCCATGCTGTTGCTGGCCATCAGTTCATCATTACAAGGTTTATGAATAACAGTTACATCGATATTTCCATCGGTACTCTCAAGAACCCCAGAGGGAGTCACGCGAAACAACTCAGTGCTCTCAGTATTCGGAGATAATCGAGGAACACGACAGGTGGATTCCCCATCTAAAAAATTGCTCAATCTCCCAAGACTCTTGTTTATCGTTGCACTAAAACTCTCGGAGTACCTGGAGTCCAGTCTCTCAAGTGTGTCATCCTCAGGTGTTACCGAGGGACTGGATGACTGGCCAGTTTCCTGGACCTCTGACAATTCAGGTAAATCAGAAATATCTGGTAGTGCATGTCTGTACAGAAGAGGATTCAACATGTCATCAGCATCTAGATGTCGAATATTCGACGTCATCAGATGAGTCGATAGTTCATCGTACTCTGATGAATCATTCTGATCGTCATTCATCAATTCCTCTCTGACAATCGTCGACACCTTCTCCCTCCTTTGGGTCTTCGCTGGGATCTCGTCCTCTCGGAAGGAATCCTCTTCATTACTGACACTCGAATTATTCCTCTTCGTCTCGGTCTTCACTTCGGAATCATTACTGGTAAAATTAACGTCAGTCTGAGTTGGAACTGTTCGAACGTTCGCCTGGCGATTGCACTTTATGTCACTGGAAAAATTGTTGTTATTTCTTCTCAGGCTGCTGATAAGGTCCATTATATTCCTCTTCATCGGGAGATTTGTGATGGGAGCAGGGGCTGTTGTCAGCTGCATTGAGAGTTTATCCAATAAATGACTTATGTGCATTCGAGTGCCTCTGGCTGGAAACGTCTGGTCCTCGTGTTGTCCATTAGCCACTGGATTCTGCGAGATGTCTAATACTTCGTTCCTGTGACCATTAGTGACTGTTTGATGAAGGTTGGAGGTCGAGGAGTATCCAGTGTCCGTTAAATTCACCTCTAGACTGTTTGTATTGTCACTGCCGCCCTGTGGATATTTATTGCTCTGAATTTCCCCAAAAGTCTCACAATTTCCATTTGTTATTCCATTATTGACGGCTCCTAAGCCATTCTCCAATCCCTCATGACTCACAAGATGGGGCATCCTAGGTGTGGACTCGACGTTCAAATTATTTCCATTGCTGTCGTCATCCTCGTGGTCAATCTCCCCCTCGAAATCGAAATCATTATCGAAATCGTCTTCAAATGCTGTGCTAGTGACGTTCAGCAGACGAGACTGCAGGCGTTGCTTGATCTCGTCTAATTCTGTTAATTTTTGTTTCAGGGAAGATGACAGGAACGACATGGAGGCATCCCCGAGCCCCAGGGCGATTTCAAGGGCCCCTTCACCTGGAATCTGGGGACATTCCACTGGAATTTCAGGGACTGTCGGTGGATTATTCCCCATAGCGATTTTTTCCAGGTCCGCTGGATAAGGTGAAGAAATATTCGAGTGATCCTGTGGGGTCTGTCCTCTCCAAGTCCCTCCACCCCTGGAAAACGACGAGATGTTGTCCAAGGGTGTCACTGAGACCTTCAACTGTCCATTAGATTTTCCAGAGAAATCATTGATGTGGAACCATCCGGATACCACCGGAAATCCAGCTGTCAGAACTGACAGATCAACAGCTGAGAATCCAATTACAATATCTTTATCTGGATTGATCGCGTCATCGGCTTCAGCATCCAGCAATCTCCACACCTTCATTATAAGTCTCATCTTCTCGTTCGTCAATAAATCAGTGGACAATTTTGTGTCGCATCTCCAGTCGTATCGAGGATTGCAACTGTAGGGGCAGACGTCAGTCCTCTCATCTCGACCCCCTGGAGTCTTCTGGAAGGTGACGTAAGTGCTGGGCTCCACTGGTCCACTTGACAGCTCCACTGTTGGCAAATGTAGGGCACATTCCACCTCAATAATCGCCCTAAACCCCTCCTCATCCTCAGAGTCCTCGTCTGGATCCTCGTGTCTCATCAGCAGGGGAGGATTCTCATTCTTCGACGAACTGGGCTTTTCCAACCTCTTGTCAACCGACGCTGCAGTCGAATTATAGTCATCGATATTTATCGTTTGATTATTCTGACCTGCAGGCTCATTAAACTCAGCTCCCACACCCACACTCCTGTAAATTTCCCTTGATGTCCCGAAAGTATCTCGTGGACACTCGAAACTCTCCCCTGAGAAACTGTTGCTATTCGATGGATTCGAGCTCAGCACCTGGGGATTGGAGTTGATCTCCACCTTGTGATGATCAGACTCCCTAGTGGGAATTTGAAACTCAGTCTGGGCTTCCTGATTAGTGATTATCCTGGGGGCTGCCAGAGCCTGAGCTAGTTTATCCACAATAGTGTGCAGCACTGTCTCCTCTCGGCATTCCTCTATATTCAGTCGTGAATCTGTGAGTTTTACCTCTGAGACTGTGGATATTTCAGTCTGACACTCCTGAGTTCGAACACTGGAGACCCTTGAGGCAGCCTGCAGGTTTTTACTTCTTGGGGAATCCCCTGGGGAATATCCACCTTGGAGACCCCTCGTCATTTCCAGAAGAGCAATCTGATCAGCAGTGCCAAGAGCCACAAGAGCTGAGAGCTCCCCACAGAGTTTTCCAGTGACTGGATCTACGATTGGAACCCAATCATCGACACTTATCACTGGGTACGTGGATTTCAATAAATTTTGAAGACCCAGGGGATCCCTGAAGGCCAGGTACAGCTGGTGAACTGATAATTTTGATATTCCAATGAGACTATCTTCGTCTGTCTGATTTTTAGAGTAGACCTCAGTGATTATGCAGTTGTCTTTCGTTCTCTCCAGGAGTTCCAACCCATACATGAGTGACATTATCTGGTGGAAATTGTAATGAGGATTCGTTGTATTAGCGCAGACTCGGCTGGAGGACTTGTCCTGCTTCCACAGGGCCCTGCAGACGATGTAAGTGTCCATTCGTGGCAAATTTCTTCCCTCAATTATGTGAATTAACCCGTGAAGAAGAATTTTCTCCTCTGGTATCCAAGGAGTCCGCGTTTTTATTTTCTCCTCAGTCCTCTTGGGGGGTTCTATCCTCCTCGATGACTTCTGAGAATTTCTCTCGCTTCCCTCGTGCCTGGAAGGACACGATCTGTGATCAGGAACTGATGTCACTCCAGTGTTATTACCACTGGTTTTGGATTCATTCCCAGTCATACACTTGTATCGACTTAAATTATTTGCACTGTCACGAGATAGCTCAAGGACTGGGATATTCTCCTTTGCCATCGTGACAGCTTCGATGAATTGTCTCCCAAAATGAATCTTATCACATCCTAGCTCAATTGTCACCTTCAGCTCCCCAATCTTTATTCCTTTCTTGACGATGGCGAGCTTTTGTGTGGAGCTTAGGTGAGGAGATTTGGCAGCTTCTCTGATGTAGACACAGCCCACCCCAAGCTCGGTGGGTGTTCTCTGCTCCAGGTGACGATTGAAGATCTTGAATTTCAAGGGCATGTTCATTTGAAGATGGAGATGTGATCGCGGAAGATTGTAGACTGCCTCGTGGTGGAAATGAATGACCTGTCCCTCTTGTCTCCTCGACGATATCTTCACTGGTTTTTTGCTCTCGTTGATGACCTTCTTATTGTATTTTTTGACGTTTGCGAATGCTGCATCGTACTGGACAAAGTAAGTTACTGACGTGGGGGCCCCATCTCCTCGAGTCAGGCAGGAGGACTTTACTCTTCTGTAGCCAGCTGGTGTCAGTGATAGGGAATCCACTGCTATTCGTAGACTGTCCACGTAATCCATGGGCGTTGCCTCTTTCTGTTGCACCACCAGACGATTCGATTCTTCCTCTTCGTCCAGTACATTTGAGGATAAGTCCTCTGTATTTCCTCGGGAATAGGGCAGCCGGTTGGAGATTTTATCCTCTCTGCAGGAGCTTATCGTCTCGGCAGCGAAGTCTATGAGGCTGGGAGTTGGTGATGTCGATCGTAATTTCTCCAATGCACTTTTTTCGTCCTTCTGGGTCATGGTCGAGCCTATGAAGTAGTTGTAGAGGGCTGTATCAGGATCCTGGAGAGCCCCCGAGGATCGGTAACTCTCGGTGGAATTTCCATCCACTTCTAATGAGTCCTCTTCTCTAGTTTCCCTCATCAGCACCCCACGCAGTTTCTGGGCTCTTGCAACTACTTGTGCCACTAATTTATCTGTCACTTTGGGATTTGATTTTTCGATTCCTCTATTGGTGGTGAATCGTTTGTCTTTGAGTATCGATCGGTAGATGTTGTCTTCAGGTTTGTGGAACGGTTTTTCCTCAGTTGGTGGGGTATTGTGGTGAGTGAGGGTTTTTCTCAGGGCGAAATCCAGGTTGTACTCCGACAGATCGTCGGGAAAGGATGGAAGCTGGGGTTTTCTTTGTTTGATTTTTCTAGGAGTTCTTTGGGCCTTCGATAACGTCAGATTCACTGGAATATCTCCTATTTTTGTTCCAACTCTATTAATTATACTGCAGTATTGGATGTAAGGTTTACCTCTGAATATTTCCTGCAGGTCAGATATTTGTGCTGTTCCAACGATCTCGTTCAGGGGCTCTGAGATTATTATGAGGTCTACAGTTCCACAATTTGTCAGGTATTCTTCGAATAAATCGAAATTAGTTTTTATGGCGTAGGTTTCGATGGTCTCGGAGACGGTGCGAGTGCTGTCCATTGTGGGGTCCATTGGTCGAAAATGAGCACTGTCTGTCTCACCCCACCAGGAAGCGATAACAGTAACATCCCCAGGTCTTGTCCGATGCCAAATCAATTCACTGATGACAAGTTTTAAATATCCGTGAATTTTACCCTCGACCAGGGGCGGCAGAGATCTCGAAACAGAATCAAAATCCATTGACTCAATTATTCGATTTCATAAAACGATGAGAAAATGAGAAATAACAGACTCCGAGTAGAGACGTCATTTGTGGTGCAGGTAGGTTAGTTCGATTTAATTCGGAGTTATTTCGAGGGGATAAACGAGAATTCCAGAAGTTCCAGAGACAGCCGCATCTGCGTCTGACTGGGTCACTGCGTCGCCACCACTGCGCAGAATAGGCGGTCCGTTTGAATCCGCAAGTTAAGTAATTCCAAATGGTTAAATTGACATAAACTCAATTAAAGTTTGCATAGTTTATTGTATAAAATCAATAAATGCCTTGGCGATATTACTACTGCAGACAGCTATCGGTAAGTGATTTCTTGTGAATTGTACAGTAATAATTGTTTAATTCTTACAGAATAACGTCCTCGTCATTACGCACTATAATTACGATTAGGTTCAATAGTTAATCTTGCTCGGTATTACTTCACTTCATAGTTTTTCATAAATCGACGAATTGGTGATTTTCACACCACAATCGTCGGCATCTTATACACAGTTATAACGTTTATCTTACATTTACAGTTACTTTTAAATTCATATAATTCATTTTGTCCTGTTAGTTCTGTTTGTAGACTAGTGATATATCATTACACTAATTAACGCATATTTATAATATTTGTATTGTTCTTGTTCTCAAATTTATCTCTCGTTATTTTCAATTTTTTCTAGATTTTCTTCATTTACGATTGAAATGTTTTTTTTTTTGTTAATCTAAAAGGAAATAAATAATATCTCCATTTTCAGAGCCACAAGGAGCTTCCAAAGAGCTTTCAATTTCTCAACAAATCTCTTCTCCAGAAAAGCCTATATTACAGTAATATTAAATACGAGGTAATAGTTTGGCTTTCGGCGTTATTTAATCATGAGAATATATAAATCCTCTGTGGGGCGTGCAAGATTATTCGAGTGAAATAATAAATGATTACTCTTTGGAAGCGAACCTCGATGCGAAAGTGAATGACTTCAACCGGTAATAAATCTATAACGAAACAAGCGGAAAAATCGTTAATTATTCGAGTCGAAGGAATTCATTTTCACATATTTATCCTCATTACACGATTATACACATCACCGATTTCATTACTCAATTCATCTATTTTAAATAATCTTACCCCTTAACATGAAATACGTCTTTGATTTTTCCTAATAATTTTCCACTGCTCTGAAATATAATCACCCGGATATGATTATCACTTTATTCCTCGGTGTGACGGTATGTTTTATCGATAATTACGTGGTGATAACTATTTACCAATAAATGATTTTTTTTTTATACAAATAAATATACTACCTTTACAGACGAATAACAAAAATATTATTTCTGTTCATATTTCGATGTCAATCACTTTGATTCTCGTGAATCGGTTTGAGGCTCTGAGACAAATGAATATTTTTCTTTCAAATGAATAATTGAAGAATATTGTAAAAATAAAATTATAAAAGGTATAATCTGCGTTATAACGACCAGGCGAATGAATAAATAGTTTATATTGTTACTTAATTATTAATAATATATTATCAGTAGGTAATTTCATGGTACAAAGAACGAGAAGAATTACCACGTATCTGTACATTGAGCGCTTCATGTCAGAATCATTATGCGTTACGCACATCGGCATATCGTTTATTTGTTTACTTACTTCAATTAATTTATTCATTAATTTTTGTTACACATTATGCATTTATTCTCGTTTGAAAAATTATTTACATCCGCGATTCCAAGGGACTCTGTGACGTCCTTCGCACGCTGTTATCTATCTTTTATTTGCCCGGAAATGAAATTGTTTAATACAAAATTGAGTACTCTGCTATTATGTTTATTTGTAAATGACTTTATCCACTGGAGAATGATGATTTATCAACAATTACTGTTGATTCAGAAACACACGGCACTCGTGACAATTCGCTATGCTTTTGAGTTATTGTGATTTTTAATTATTTTTAAGGAAAAGCGACTGTTTGAGAGTCGGGCAGTGATTTTTATGAAATTTATCGGTCACACAGTCGTTGTTTACTTGTGGTAATGCAAGTTAAATCAGACTGGAGTAATTTATTGTAATTTTGCACTAACAATTCAGGGAAGTACTATGAATTTTCAAAATTTCAGACATGCAATCCAGTCAATTTTATTTAAAAATTAGTAACGAAGATAATTATTCAGGAATATCTGGTGTTAATTTTGGAGAGAGTTTTTCAAATTCCATAGTCCATTATTCTTGAAACATTTGTTAAACAATAATTTACATGAAATTTTTCTCTTGAATTAACAGAAAAACAATTTTCTCATCGCCGCAAATATTTTTTTTTATCACCTGAATCACCTGAATTTTAACGAAATAATGCCGTTATGTTGTACGGCATTTTGCAGGAATTTTGTTGAAGGCCAGGAGTAAATAAATTATATGAAAATGCTCGATTGGTCTGGAAAGCTCACAGTAAATTCCCTCGACAAAACATATGAGGAAATCATGGTGGGATGGATCTAACATGGAAACGTGATTAATATTTATATGCAATTGTATTTGAAACGTAAACCATTAAAAAGTTATTACATAGATAATTTGAGGAACAGGAGGGTAGAAAGGCGGGAGTTGGCCGTCCACCGCAAGACCATTCTCGCTATTGATTTTCACATTTTCCTTCTCTCTCGTGTTTTTTTTTGATTGACAAAATCCCAAGCGACAAAAAGAGATGAAATAAAAAAACAATAAATTAAATAAACATGGAGTACACATACACTTTACACCCCTGAAACCCGCGATTTGATGCGAGTGGGAGTGAAATTAAATCGCAAAGTGGAGAAAAAATAAAAATAAATGGAGGAGTGAAGAGAAAAAAAATATATATAAAACTCCTACGCTATGAGGAAATAGAAATACTTGATACCACATTCACATGGGATTTTAATAAAACCGAAGAGGGAGAAAAAAAATAGTGAAGCTTTCCCCAAGGAATAAACATTACAATATCATTAATAATTTTCCTTCAATCAGATAATTTATATGACTATTCACAAAAGAGTCATAATAAAAATTATTAACTCTATTCTCGGTACTTCAATGATAATGGTAATAATTAATTACACTATTATCAGTATTAATTTTCCTCGGTCACTCAGTATTTATAATACATACGTTGTCATTTGTAATGGACTAATTAATCAATAATTAAATTTTTATTTCATTATACACATACGGACAGACGAGTCTGCCACGACAATTCTCTCAATAATATAAAAAAAAGACGTTTCAAGGGATAGAGTAAGAGCTGGAGGAAAACAATTGTATAATATATATTTGTATAGCGTTGTATAAATCACCTCTAGTTAATATAATAGCAAATTGCCACAAAGGCTACGTGTACCAACGCATTTAAGTATAAATCCATAATTAATGCTCCATTATTCGTGATATATCGAGATATTTTGGGAGATTTCAATGAACAATCGGTAATTTTCCATCACCGATGGCAATATCGATACACATTGTCATTTAATAATCAATAAACTATCAATATTTACGTACAGTGTAGGCCAATCTCAATGCATTCGACACATTGAATGAGTAAAAAAGGAAATAACATCGGGGATGAAAAGCTGATTTACCTCGTGGTCAGTCATTGAAATCTCCAGGTATCGTATATTGATTATTAAATACGGTGGTACAGCTTTGGTACGCGTAGCATTCGAACCTTAGTTTCTGTCATCATATTTTTCCATTATTCCTTAATATTTTATCTACCGAATACCTAAACATCCACCCTCCCGCCAACCCACCCCTCCATCAGATTTACAACACTGCCCTAGACACAGCCATACTAAGCCAAATACTTTTGGGTTTTATTTAAAAAATTTCACGTTTGTCATAATCATTATCCACTTTTCTACAATTCTCAATCACCCAGTTGCACTCATTATTTCACCTGATGAAAAATACACCTGTCATCGGGCCACTCAATCAATCCCAAGTGAATCACATCAGGAAATCATTGGCCCTTCTCACGCGTTCATATTTACAAAATACATGTAATTCAATTGAAATCATCTGTTCAACAATCGATCACTGTAAGAACATGAATGCAGATGATTTAGTTGATTGGAGGCGCTCAATTTGTCTTCTCATTGTTTATCTTTATACAGTAATTCATTTGAATTCGGCAATTCGCTGTAAAAACGATTGCAGAATGTCACTGAAGGGGCTACATTATTAAAAGAAAAATAAAAAATCATCAAAATGAAAAACCTTTTATTTTCACGAGTGAAAAAAATGATAATCATTTCCTCATTCAACACGATGGACGAATTATCGACGAGTCTTCAATAATAAGTATTAAATAGTTCTGTCAGAAAAGAAAAAAAAAACAATTGTTATTAAAAAAAAAGGAAAAACAATAAGTTTAAAGTATTTTCTCTATGATACAGCACTGGCATAATCACGTAGCATATTAGCCTCACATCACCAGATGTGAAAATAATGTTATTAATGTTACTATAATAATTGAATTTCAATCGCGTGTAAATCCTCCATTTTGAATTTCTTACTTTTCTTCATTTATTTATTAAAACGTTACAATATCCTATGTTCATATCAATAATTAATAATGGATAATAATCAATAAATTTATGATAGGCAGGTAAATGAATAATAATTATTATTATCGTGATAATAGTATTGTATGTACAGTGTAGGGATAAATAGTGCGCGTACAAACACATCATTTGATTTACGCGCAAGTTTTTTTTTTCTTTATTTCATTACTCTCTCTCCTCTCTCTCTCATCCTCTCTCTCACACACATTACTAAAACACCCACCGTATGTCGGTTATTAGTTTAATAAACCGTCAATTGTCCCACTTAACTAATTCACTCACAAAATTCGCATTAGCCACAGCTCAAATATTATTCATCCCTCTTTTGATTGGTCTATACACAAATTCAGCAGTGGCATCAACGAAAAATACTCTCGTCACATTCAACACGATTCACATTGTTTCATAATCACTTAAATCATCTCAATCAATCATCTACATCATCATATAAATTACCGGATCAGTTGATAATCACATGAGCACGTGTGTCAATCTCTGACATTTAAATATTTTGGGGGAAACGAGTGGTGGGAGGGGGTAACGTATCGTTTTTTTTTATCCTATTGGCGATTAAAAGCGCTGGTAATTAAAAACATATTGAGATACAATCATCAAGGACTCATGGGACCATCAACTGCAGTGACATAAAATACATTTCGTCATTATCTCATGGAAATCACAAAAAAACGTCTTTTGTTCTTCGTGTGCTTAAAAAAACGGCTTCAATTGAACGCACCACAAACTCTGGCGTTACCAAACGTACGCAACAGACAGTTATTCTCTTAAAGTTTATATATATATATATTTATATATATATATATATATATATGCATATATATTATCGTCACAGAGATGATTTGGTTAGCGGGATGTGTCCAAAAAACATTATTTATTATTATTTTTTCAATAGCTTCACCGTATCATCTTTATATTACTATATTCTTCTTTGTTTTTAATATTAATTAACGTTAAGTATACACAACACATTTGTACGATTTCGCTCGATTCCGCAGACCAAGCGGTAGCGAGGAACTTTTTTTTCCATTTTAATTTTGTTTAGTCTCCTTCATCGATTTAATGTATCTTCAGGTGGAAACAGCGTAGCAACAGGGAGATTCGTGGATTTGGGGATTAGTTGGCGATAGTCTCAGTTTGTGTTAAAAAATTTTTTTATTACTTCGAGTTTTTCTATATTCAGTCCTTGGGGGGGAAAAAAAACGATAATTAAATTAACCAGCTGTACCACGTCACCAACACCGAGAGTTCGTTGATTCAACAACAGGAGCTCAATACTGCCGTTTTAATAACTCAAATATTTTAATTATCACACCGGCCAATAAACTCTTCTCTTCAAGTCATAGGGTCCCACCGGGGGGAGGGGAAAAAGAGAGGGGGAAATTGTATTTAATAACGTGCATTGACTCTTGGCTCGGAAATTACCATCGCGAGAGGAAGTAACACAGTCTTGGCACACGTTTGCACGTCCTCTCAACGATCTCATTACGTTTAAAAAAGTTCATGTTTTTTTTTTTCATTAAATAAAATAAGTAATTAGTGTACAAATGTACAGAAGGGGCAATGATCACGAGATGACGTTTCGCGCACAAGTGATGAAAAAGAAAAGAGAGAGAGAGAGAGAAAAAAAATAGGAAAGATAAAACTCAACGCATTGTCTAAAATCTCGTACCATAGATTCCCCGATTAGTGTCACAGCACGTGGTTGTTACCAGTATCGTGATTCTGATTAGTTCGTCGTCGATTATCACTTAGAACCGGTCATACCGATAACAGTCACTACAATCCCTCGACGAATTTTGACAATTGATCCTGCGGCGTCATTGGTGTAACATCACCAGCATCAGCACCACTTGTCGTTGGTGGTGCTGGTGATGGATGATGTGGCATTGTAGCTGGATGTCCAGTTGGTTGCGCACCACCACCAAGTTGCGATAGCATCATCTCACTTGGCCCACCAAGTTCATGAGCTGGTGAATGAGTCGGTGTACCATGACCCGGATGATGATGTGGTGAAGGTACAGGTCCAGCTCTTGGCGATGGTACTGGTTGATTTCTCGGTGATTGCACCGGTCTTGGCGATGGATTTGGTTGTGGTGATCTTATTGGTGGTGGTGATCGTACAGACTGCATTAACTGCTGCTGCACTGATATACCAGGTGGTCCCATAACACCCTGAGGCGATGGAACAGGTGGTGGTGTTGGTTTCAATCCGGGCTGCCCATATCCCTGATCTGTAAATCCACCATAGCCGAGGTGTGATGGCCTGATAGGCCTCTGTTGACCATAAGGTGGTGCAGGTGGTTGGGTAAATTGTTGTGACTGTCCCTGTTGCTGGGGCTGTTGGACTTGCTGCTGCTGCTGGTGTTGCTGCTGTTGTTGCTGCTGCTGCTGCTGCTGCTGTTGTTGCTGCTGCTGCCTCTGCTTCATCACCAACATCTGCTGCTGATACCACTGAGGCTGTGGTACATTTGGTACTTGTGCCCCATGTGATCCCACCACTTGTCCCTGTGGTTGACCCTGCTGACCCTGTTGTTGAGTATTTAACATTGCTTGCTGCATCTGCATTCTACCCTGTGGATGTTGCTGCTGATGCTGCTGTTGCTGGGACATTATGTGCTGTAAACCAGCAGTGTTTTGTTGCTGCTGTGACTGATTCTGGCCCATTGGACCAACCTGACCACCGTGCTGTCCACTCTGCTGTTGCCTTTGTTTTATAAACGCCGCCATCAGTGGTGGATTACTCTTGAGTATTTGAAGAATTTGGCCCTGTTGCTCTGGTGTACTTGGACTTCTCAATGTTGCCATTAGTTGTTGTAATGCTTGTTTATTCGCTGGACCCACTTGATTCTGGGGCACTTGTCCCACTGGTCCACCTATAACGCCAGTTTGTCTTGGTATTTGTCCACCCATTCCCACGTTTTGCTGCACCTGGTGGCCCGGTTGCTGCATTAGCTGTTGGGGTGCCTGTTGTCTCAGTCCAGGATTCTGCTGCATCACAGCATTCTGCTGATACCTCGGCGTCCACTGGTCCATCGATATCAAATGAGTTCCACCAGCGTTGGGAAGTAATCCTGGCATTAGCCTCTGCATCTGAGGTGGTGGCATAACCCCACCACCCTGTGCATTAACACCAACACCAACACCAACACCCACACCACCACCAACACCGACACCACCACCGGGTGTCACTTTACCATAACCAGCGTGTGGCGCTTGTTGTCTGGCGGCCTCCTCCTGGACTTGTTTGACCACTTGTAACACATGAGCTGGCGGTGTCTGGGTCGTTGGTTTCAGCCCAATTCCAGGCTGATGGGGTGATGGAAGATTTGTTGGACTTACACCTGGTTTCATAGCAACACCAGCTGTCATGGCAACATTGGAGGTACTCGGTTGTCCTGGCTGTACAGCACTTACTTGACCCGTTGGTCGTGTATTCATCACAGCCATTCGTCTTCTCAGTAATTGTGCCTGTTGTAATCTCTGCTGCAACTGTTGCTGTTTCAATTTGTGCTTGATATTAGAGCAGAATGGTACAAGACACTTGGTCTCCTGGCAGTGTTTGGCATGATAACAGCACAGGGCAATGAGTTGTTTGCATATTGGACAGCCACCGTTTGTTTTTCTCTTGCAGACCTTCGTATGCTGAACCACTCTCTTCATCTTCTGACAGCTCGGTAATCTGCAATTCGCGTCTCTGCATTGACACGCGTGCACCAGCGACTGTATGCACCGTTGAATCGATAATTTCCTCGCCTCCTGGGGATTTGTTTGTTTAGCATCAGCCGCTGATGATCCATCATCGAGACCAAAGCCAAGTTTGTCCATTGGATGTGAGTGTCCATCTGTTTCTTTACAACTAATACAGAGATCAAAATCATCACAGACAGTACAGTGGTACCTTGTTTCCACGTGGCTCTTGCAATTATTACAGGTGTACACGAATTTATCTTGTCCCTGATTGTGAAGCTCGTAGAGCATTGACATTGAACTGAATTTCGCACGTCTCAGGGATGAAAATTCGTAGTGTCTTTCTCTCGCCATCGTGAGGAAGGCATCACGACCGTCCATCAAATCGCAGTTTATCACTGGATCTGGATCCTGAATTGGCGCTAAACTAGCAGCACTCTGGGCACTGTGCAACCTGATAACGAAGAACACCTCTTTATGCTTCTCCATCGTAGCGAATATCTTCGCTGATAGGTCATTTCCAGTCTGAGGTGTATTCGATTTTTTACTATTTTTACGTTGATTCGCTTTGGATTTGTTGGATTTTTTCGCTTTCTTCTGGCCCTTTTTCTTGCCATCGGGGCCAGTTTCAGCATCGTCAGTCATTGAGAATATTGCGCTGGCAGCAGCTGCCGCCTCAGCAGCTTCAGCCTGCTTTCTCTTCTCCTCTTCCTCCTGATCGAGCTCCTTGATACTCTCCTCAAGAACGTTTGGCCAAAAATCACCCTCGAAGTAGGGAAGGTCTGCTGCTGATGATAGCTTGTCTTCCATCGCTTGTTTCAGGATATCCTGGTGACAGAAATTCGGGGAATTGGTGATTATAATCGTCTTCTATTAAATCAATTTTCAATGAACATCAATTATTATAATTAAATTGCAAGGAAAATTTTACGTAAATTTAATGGCGAATTAAATCAATAAAATCAGGGATGTCGAATACCAATAGACATTTTTCAGAAGACCGACTACGTTAATTTACTTGTTGAATTGCGAATACGCATTTAGAGTAATTTTTTTTTTAACATGAACAATTAACATGCAGCCAACTGCGTAAGGAGCCCATAAAACTACAATGGCAATAAATTATAGCCAATATATTCATGAAACGTAATCCCTTTGGTATATAAGTGTCGTTCAGGGGACTGGCCTTGGTCAGCATTTTCAACTGAGAAAGGTTAATTAGCCTCTCATTTATTATTGCACACTTGAGATGTCAATTATTAAAAAAAAATAATAATCAACGCGAATTCAATTGTGCTGAGGACAATTATGTGAAAGCCCTGCAACCACTGGTCCCGGGGCCTTATCAAGGATTTCTGGAGCAGGAAAGTGACTTTTTATTTAATGTCTGAGAAAAAAAAAGAAAAAAAATTGCGCAGAAAACCATAAAAATCAATATTTTTTGAATCGCATTATTCTGTAGTTTGAATATAATTCAACAGACTTTGTATCCAGACAATCCTATGCTCAAAATTCATCAGAAACATCGAACATTAGCTTTCGTCCGGAGTTGATGTAAGTCCCTCTTGACAACCACTCATAAAATTTCATGAATGGATAACACAGGGACTAATACATATCATTATAACTCGAATTATTCTCGTGTACCTTATAATCAATGACTATCCTCTCCTTCTCCCCTTTCTGCAGCATATTTTTGTACCACTCCTGTAGTCTCTTGGGCTTTGGGATTTTTTGGTCTGGCGGATGGCAGTGAAAAATGTAGTCATCGCCCTCGGATGGTGGGCACGCCCAGATGTGAGCCATTGTGAATCTGGAAAAAACATCAGCCAATTAAAATCCACAGAACAAAACAGAACATTCTCCATCTTATCCATTCGAATATCAATCGAAACAAATCGAAGAGTGAATAAGAGAAGATAAAATTGAATACTCACCCAAGTTGTTTCGTGTAGTCGAGGTAGCCAAGTAAAATCTCGTGATAGACAGCTGTTCGACAATTTCTTGGATAGAAGAAATGTACAGAGTCAAGATACGCAATGTACACTCGCCTCGTATTAGGTGCCGCACACTCACTTCCATATTCTTGCACGTGCATACCAAAGAAACATACATCAGTGCCATCAATATCCTCAAATGCAAACAGAGCTTTCGCCCTGTACGGAAATTCACCGGGCATATCTTTGTTCTCAACAAATCTACTTCTCATTCCCGGTTTAACCTCTACCATCTTATCACTCGATGCAACAACACGTATTGCAACTTCACCAGCACGTGCCTCTTTCTTTTTCAAGAAATTGTTAACTCGTGTTTCAATGTAGGTGCCTAATTTCGTTACTGGTAGACGTTTGGCACTGAATTTATTCTCTTTGCGCTTTTGGCCTTTCTTCTTCAGACAATTATCACAGGTAAATCTGAAATGACCAATAAGTGAATTAAAACTGGGGAATGTTTTAAAGAGTTATTCAGCTCGGTGAGCGGTATTTTTAGAAAATGAAAATGCTTACCCTTGAGGCCATATGTGCTCCAAATGAAGTACGCAGATTTGATGAACTTTTCTCCCACAGTCTATACAAAGAACGAACGGCTCCAATTCCAAGTGATCATTCTTCATCTCTTGGAACTGCTCCTTTTTAATTTGTCTACAAACGATACAACGTATTTCCATAAATTATCTAGAGGTCAGTGGATTATAGAAAAGAAATACTCACGTCTGCGGTTGTGTCGGATCTTCGCCCAACGTCACAGTGTCACCAGGAATGTCGTTGAAACATTTTTGACAGAAGGTGTATCTGTCAGAAAGAGAACCATACCCCTTTATACTATTTTTTCCACAACAATTGTTCAATAATTTATTGTTTTAAGGACCATATGATCATCAGTCCAGTCCGCGTGGTGATTTTTTAAATATTCGTAATGTGTACGAATTTTTTTAAAATGATTATTTGTTCCAATTGGTTGATGTCAGTGAGTGTCCAAAGATTCCAAATGACCAAATTTGAAAAAAAATTTGTTCATCAGTTGATGATAAATTTGGAATAAGCAGGGAACAGCAAGGGCCAAGCGACAAACGAGGAATTGCGTGTGTTTGTGCGTTTTTCCACGTTCACAATGTAGGTAACATACAAAGAACAATGTGCAAGCGTTAGAATAAATATAACTGAAGAAGCAGTGATAAAATATTGGAAATAAAAGTTTATACTCATAAAATAATTAATGTCGTTCAGGGGACTGACCTTAATCAGTATTTTTCACTGAAAAAGGTTAATTAACCCGTCGTTATTATTGCGCACTTGGGGTGTCAATTTTCAGGATTGAAAAAACTGACGTACATTCAATTGCGCAACAAAAGACAAATGAATGAATGAAATTATCATAACTAAATAGTTCAATCTAGTAAAATCTAGTGAAACCGAGGAAGAAGGCATTATTAACTCCACAGCTGGAGACGCTATTGATTGACTCTCCACCAAGTTTTAAACATTGTAGATTAACAGTTTTCCTTTTGGTGGTAATAATCATTCGATAACTTGATTGTCATCGATGTGAATAAATCTTGGGGTAAACTCAATCGAGGAAAAATGTCAAGATAAAAAACCGTGTAGATAATTTCATGCTTAAACTATAAAATAATAACTAGAACTGTCTAGGAGTTCTGGGTGATGAATTCTGTGCAAATAAATCCAACATGTGTTAATTATTTATTAAAGAAAAACTTTCAACTGACCTATTCTTGTACGAGTAGTACTTGGCATCCCTCGGTATCGTGCATAGTTGCTTTCCATAGCAACAAAGCACCTGAGGATTGAACGTATACTTTCTCCCACAGCAGTACCCAAGTGCCTGCATCACAGGATCAATCTCCGTCTCGAAAACTTCCGATAGCTTAGTACAATATTTGTAAACACGTGAAGTTTTTCGATTGTACAGCCAGGCATTATCGAACATCATCCATACATCGTCGACGTACTCCCATGGATCACTGTACTGTCCTGTGTCGAGTTTCCTCTTGATTGTCGATAGATCCATGGGTTTTTTAACAATATCAAAGTAATCGGGAATGCCAAGTGCATGAGGATCAACTGGTTGTCTGAATGGTATCGACTCAGGATCCTGTCTGTACAATTTTTCAAGAGTTGGCATGAGGGCCTGACGCAATTCGTCAGGTTTAAACAAGCACAATCGTCTCTTGTCGGTGGAAGTGCCACTGGGCTCGATGGGCACAGGTACAACAGGTTTAATATCCGAAGTCGATCCATCAGCCACTGACATAGGTGTCCTGGGCTCCTCCTTGATACCAACAGGCTCCTCCTTGATCACCCCATCCCCACTCGTCTCCTCCATTGGCTCTGTCTTAATTTCCGTCTTAATTGTCACATCATTATTTACATTTTTACCCCCATCTATCGTATGATTCTCCGAGCAATCCTCTTGCTTGATCTCCATCTTGATATTCTCCTCCTTAATGGAGTCAAGACCTTTGCCCTTGTTATTATTGGTGGGCGGACTCGGTGAATTGTCACGATCAAGAGCTGCTGTGATGGCTGCCATTTGGGAAGACATTGAGGAACTTCTTCCAGCATTGAGTGCAGCTCTCTCCTGGGATGTCATACCTTTTCCAAGACTTGCAAGACCACCGGGTGATGGTGTTGTTCCTGGATGAGGTGGTGTTTGACTCGACGATGGACCAGTCTGATTGGGTGTCATCAGAGATGGTACCAGCGGTGTTGTTGGTGTTGACGTTACAGATTGTGGTCCATTCGTCGTTGGTGCAGGCCCAGGACTGGGTCCACTCGAGGCTGGTGGTGGTATCGTCTGTGGTGTTGTCACAGATATTCCATTATCACTGGGTGTAGATGCTGATAGTGGTCGAGTATTGGTAAATTGTTGATTCCCCTGTTGATTATTTTGTTGCTGCATACTGCTGAAGGGCGATGGAGCCTGCGGAATCGATGGTATATTTGTATTTGGAGTTTGGGCATTTGTCGACTGCTGAGACGCTTGTGTTTGTGCCTGAGCCTGTGCCTGCTGCTGTGCCGCGAGTCTTGCCTTCATAAGATCTGGAAATTGGTGTTGATTTTGAACTGGTGAACTGTTTGGAAGTCCTGCTGTACCATTTGACGTTGGAAATTGACTAGTAGTTGCTGACGCTGTGGTTGTCGTTAAGTTTCCTTGGGACATCTGTTGTTGTCCAAATGGAACAAGACCGGGATTGGATACAAGATTGGGATTGGAGCTTGCCTGGCCATTGGGACTCGGTCCCGGTGGTCCCACTAGCATGCTATTCTGCTGCTGCTGCTGCTGTTGCTGCTGTTGCTGTTGCTGCTGCTGCTGCTGCTGTTGTTGTTGTTGTTGCTGCTGCTGCAGTTGAGACTGATTCTGTTGGGACTGAGCCTGAGACTGGGGTGGCTGATTGAATGCCATTCTGTTGTGGGACATTGTCATTCCTGGTAGTGTATTGATCTGTCCCATACCTGGTGAATGACTTCGTAAATTTGGAGGTACAGCCCTGGGGCCTGGTGGTACAGCTGCACTAACAGCTGGTGGTGCACACGGCCTTAAATTACCACCACCAGCATTTTGAGCTGCTGGCTGATGCTGTAACTGCGCCAACTGCTGCTCCTTACGTTTTTGCCTCTTCTCCTCAAGTTCCTTCTGTATTTTGTATATCTTCTCAGCCAGTAGATGATAATACTCAGACCTAGAGTTCGCCATTTCGTACATATCACCCTCGACTTTTCTCGCATAAGCCACGAGATTGTGCAATCTCTTGTCAAACATGGCTTGTGGATCTGGGGCTGGAAATATCGCTTGCACTAATTTATGTACAAGATGATTCCTGAGATCTGGAGTAACTGACTGATGCCACTCTTTGGTCCCCTGTACAGGTGTTGCTGTCACTTGATTGGGTTGCAATCCACCTGGCAATTGAAGATTTGATAATCTGTTCTCATTGAGTAATGCAGGCTGTCCGGAGTCATTTAAACCGAATAATTGTTGCATACTGCTGACAGATTGTTGTATATTAGCTGCTGCAGCAGCTGCTGCACCAGCCTGACCTGTCGTTGTGACAGGCTGATTGTTACCAGCACCAGACGATACCGTCGTTGGATCTGAGCTGAGTGGAAGTGATACATTTGGCGCAACAACTTGCTGATTAGCACCAACAATCGATTGACCCGGTTGATTTTGTTGCTGTGGCTGGGAGAGTCTCACTCCCGTTGTCATGGTCCCAGTGGGTCCAGTCATACCAGGTGGTCCTGGTATTCTAACACCACGACCAGCAACTTGACCTGGTGGTACACCAGGTGTCGTCGTGGGACAAATCATACCAAGTGCATCGTATGCTCTTCTCATATCTTGGGGGCTTGGATTTGGTTGCTGTTGTTGCTGTGGCTGTTGTTGTTGCTGCTGTTGCTGCTGTGATTGAGGTGGCTGTTGCTGTTGTTGCTGTTGCTCCTGCTGTTGATTATTCTGCTGTTGGCCACCAGCAGCTGCTGCCACTGCTGCTGCACGAATATTAGCAGCTGTTGTTTTATTCTTATCGGCCTGCTTCAGGGGCAGACAAACAGGACAATCACTCCTCTGGCACTGCTTCCAGTGGGTTATTATCTGTCTCGATGAACTGCAGTGGGGCACTTGACACTCTTTACCATCATTGCACGTCGTCATGTGGCTCAATACGTTTTTCATCGTTTTGCAATGTGGCAATGTACATCTCCATGTTTCACCATTTGACTGACGTTCTCTTATCTGACACTTGTGGGCGTGCAGAAGTAGTACCAATTGCTGTTGAATGAGCTTTCGGTGCTCTGGATCGGCAGTGGATGATGGTGTACCTGAGTTACGTGCCATTAAGAATTCTTTTTTTTGGGGGCTCTGGGGACGGGGGCTTAAGGCAGTATGGTCGTCTCGTCATTATCATTATTGAAAAAAATAATAACAATTTACCATCCTAAAAATTTTTCTTTCCCCAAATTTTCCAAATCCAATTGACTCAATAAATTCGATAATTAAAAATTCCACAATATATAATTCATACACGGCAGTAAAAAAAAAAAATTCTTAATGTTTCAGAAAATAGCAATTTAAAATAGCAAAACTAGGACAATGAATTCGTGAGGCTCAATGTGAAAATGAACAGGTGGAATTAGATTTCCAGGACAAGTGATAAATTGAATGAGTAAATGATATATTTATTTCGCGAATGACATGAACGTCGAGACGAGCATACCCCTTAAAAATAAAAAATGACGACTGAAAGTCATGACTTACCTGACTGCGTGCTACCGCCGGCCAATTGTCCCTGTGTGGCTTGCTGTGGTCCAGCTTGGCCACCAGTTGGAGCACCAGATTGTGGCTGAGCTGGACTAGGTGCTGGTGGTTGTGCCTGTTGAGCCATTCCCCCCTCTTGACCACCAATAACATTTCCAGCACCAATGGGACCACCAGGAGCACTGAATCTTCCCTGCATCGAGGTCATATTGCCAACGCCTCGCTGAAGTGGGGTAACTACGCAGACAGGATTCACAGCTGCTACATTGACGCCAGTACCTAGGCCACTTCCCGGTGAACCTGTACCGGGTGGAAGCAGACCTCTAGATACGCGCCCCAGCCGTTAAATAATATCAATGATACTTACCATAACCATACGGGCTATTACCACCCATCTGCCCCATAGTGCCCATGTTAGACATGTTGGGTGGTGGTTGCATTCTGGGACCACCTTGGCCTGGACCAACAATACCACCTTGATGAACCTGATGGGGACTCTGACCCCTTGCCTGACCCACCAAGTGCGCCTGCTGCTGGGCCTGAGCTTGTGCCTGAGCCTGGGCTTGAGCTTGGGCCTGTGCCTGAGCTTGTGCCTGCTGCTGCTGCTGCATTGCCACAGCACGGGCATTCAATATTGCTGGACCATTCTGCATTGGGACACCGTGGGGACCCTGCGGATGATGAACACCCTGGGAGTTTGGGTTCATCATCGTTACCTGAAAATTAAATAAATTGTGTCAATTGTTTCAGTTCACTGATAAGACATTCAGGGAATTATGAATGTTTCGTTGCATAATTATTTGAATAATTGTTGGGATACTCACGGTATTTAAAGGCTGTTTATTCAGACTATTAGCCACAATAAGACCTCCACCAGCCATTCCCCCCATCGGATTATTCCCCGTTGCACTACTCGTCATAACTAAACTAGCATTCATGCCTCCTGGCATTGACATTGCTGGATTACTGCCGGCCATGCTCATCGACGACTGTAGATTCCCCATGGAATTAACAATCGACATCTGATTGTTAGCAAGTGAGCTCGCTATACTGCTGGGCAAATTTCCCAGGTTAACAACCATCTGTTGATCCACCACACCCTTGGAGACCGATACATTCGGTGGTGACTGCATATTTGGACTTTTACTGGTCAAAGTACCAGTCATAACTAGCGAATTCGGTACTAAATTTTTGTTGCCCTGTAATACAGACAAAATAAACCATTAGTGGTCGTTGAGTTGAATATTTTGGTTAAGGCTCGATTGTATTGTTACAACTTAGCTTTTAGTAATTTAGATAGAATCGGGCCTTAATGGGAATAAATGAAATTTTTTTCACTGAGACCTTTACCTGTTGCTGAATAAGATGATGGGATAATTGTTGCTGTTGCTGTACATGCTGACGAAGTTCCGAGTCGAGCGCTCCATTCTGTTGCCCGGGTCCTGGACCTGTTGCTGGTGGTTTAGCGCTCTCCGTGGCAGAACCCCAGGACCCCGATGATAGTAGATCGTCGGGGAGATCATTTTCAAGATCAAACATATCTGTGTTCGTTATGTAATCTACGGGAGTAACAATTCAAATAAAAAAAATGAGCTTCTGGCAATCTCAAATGGTCCATAATAAATCAATGAGTGTTCAATATCTTGTGGATAAATTAAGATGTGTACCAAAAGACACCGATATTACGTTAGTTATTTAATGAGGGTAGGGTTAGTACCGTCACCATAGCTTTTTATTTAAGAAATAAATTCAGTATCTAAAGGCTTGAAACCATCTCAATTTCAATATTCATCGAACCCGATACTTGAGCCATTCGACTGATCGAATCGCCGATTACCAATAAATTATTTCGATAAAAAATACGAGAGCAATGATGAATACGTATTTACAGATTCTACTTGTAAAAAAAAAGGAATAGACAAACAAATACCCAAAATAAATAAGACATGAGACATACACCGCACGAGCAAAACTGAAGGGAGCGTAACAACTACAGAAATTAAATATTCTTAACAATCTATAACCAAAATTCTTCACTTTGACTATCAAAATTTTCTGTAATACTAAAGTCGTGCTGAACTATTTATTTATTGTTTTCTGTAAAAAGCGGCAAAGCTACGATAGGCAAACTGTAAAGAGTCATGCGTAGAAATCAAACAGTTGGATGAATCTGTCGTTCACGGGAAATTTTCAGCCCGAGTCATGAACTCAAAAAAAAAAAACACGTAAATACTGACAATTTTGAAACAATAATACAGATACAATGAGAAAAAAACGTAAACTCGAAAAATCGTCGTGCCGTGTAAAGGAAAATAACAAATCTACACATAGAAGGGTAAAAACACTTCTCTAATGTAAAAAAAAAATGTATACAAAGTCGATTTATTTCTCCCTCAATAGAAAATGCAGATGATCTACAAGACCTTGCCTGCGATGAGTGCCACTAAAATATCATTATCCTCACTACCCTACCGAGTGTATCAACAATAAACAAACGCAGAGAATCTGTTACTCCTGCTGATTCACCCCTAAATTCTCTAAACTCCGAAAATTTCAGCTCTGCGTATGTTTGCCGCATGTCTGTTAATTTAATCAAGATACGTTGAAGTAATCCGAACGACGAATGCATTTTCAAATAATTGGAATACCGTCTCTCCCTCAATAATCACTATAATAAAAATATTCAAGTGAAATAATCTGGTGAACAATGGTAACGGTGACACAGTGGGAGGACGTCTGATTTATTTAATCGACAAACAGCTTGAGGTGAAACTCTTGACTCTAATATCATTTTATTCCCTCAATGATTCTCTCTCTTTTTGTCATTTAATATTTACTTCTTCTTTGGGTAGTACTGTTGTTCCAATGCTGCATCTGATGCTGTTGCAGGTGTAGTTGTTGCGGCGGTCCCATTTGTTGTAAGTTACCACTGCCTCCCCCGAAGTTTGTGTAAGCATGGTGCATCATTATAGGCGCCATACCCACTACATATATCACATTTTTACGATTTTAAAATCAAATATTGCCTTCAAATCTTCGGAGTTATTTTGCTCTCATTCTAAATTTCTCCTTATTATGATGATGATAATGATGAAATGGCTGTTTTTAAACTCAAACTCCCAGATGAATGAAAAAAAAAACAATTACTCTATCTGATTTTATTGAATCTCCCCTCCCCCATTGAAAAACTCGGATTATCATTGAAAATTAAAAGGAGAAATCAAATTTAGGCTCAAACACCCCTAATCCTAATTCTCTTGTGTTAATGATATTAAAGTAGCGCCTTGGGTGATAAATGTAGTTGGAAGAAGAATAAACAGTTAGTGCGTAGCTCCATGCGAGCAGTAATATGTTGTTTAAATAAACTTTCAAAATGCTGTATACATCCATCATGCGCTACAAAATCTATAATACAGTAACTATGTAATGAATGGGGTAACAACAATATCAAGAGGAATACATAACCCAGAGAAATTGCATCCCGAGGGATTTGTCACCGCGAATTTCAGAATAACAATTACCCCACCGATACACACAATATATTTCAGTGAGCAAGTGCATCACGAGTGAGGGCTTGACTTTTACATCGCTCCAGAGTTAAATGTTACAGAAATATCGAGTGATAATGGCAATTAGCGTCGCTCGAGATGATTTCCAGGTGCCACCCACGGAAAAATCCCCACAAATCGAATAATTCCGATAATTTCTTCGTAAATGACTGATTATTTCATGAAAATCGAAGCTTGAAATTCAAAATTCCATACTTTTTATCGAGATGAACCGAAAATTATGAGAAAAAAAAAGAAATTCTTGGGCTCACCTGAAATGAATCATGAATATATTCTAAATCAAGAGAAATACAACAATTTAACTCCACTAAACAATCCCCAAAAAAGATATTCAACGCGACATGTGCTCCAAATTAAAATCGAGATACCGATCCACGAATTCATAGGAAAAATGATTATCCACACACGGAGTAATAAAAAAATGTAAAAATAATAGGTGGATGGAAGGAGTTGAGTAAAAAATTTGCTAGGTTATCCCGCGTCGTGTATCGCAGCCTCCCAGAACCCCAGTAATAACAATAAATAATCTCAAGGTATTGAATAAAATGTAGATATAGTAATCTTACCCGCTGAATCGGAGGGCCCCTGAAAGCCATCTCCAAGTTTGGGTCGCTTATTGGGCGGCCCGTCAACTAGGTGATCTGCCATGTCTCAGATTAATCTTGAAGATGCTTTAAACAATGCACAAGTGTTCTAATCCTTGGGTCGCCGCGAGGACAATGCTGAATAATAAATGTAATGAGCTGTTGAATAAGGTGATGACACGCGATGGATTTGATCTCTCACCGCATTACTCTCATAACTCGATTTGTGATAATAACAATGATGTGAATAAGTGCGGCGCGCGAAGCGTCCTCGTACACGCTTTGCCGCGGCATCAGCCATCGGGCATCCTCGATGAATTTTATGATAAAACGAGTATTCGAATCTCGCTAATTCCAAATCTACCCTCCGCCCAATCTCTACCACGACAACTGGCAATGGTGGTGATTGCTGCAGCTGGTCCCACCACTTTGACAATTAGCGTTGGCCAACGAGAGAGACAGATACACAGACTGATATGTGGCTTAATGTCCACAGGCAAAATAATGCCCCCAAAATAATGTCAAACTCTTGTCAAACAGATGTCAAAATGACGGCTAAAGTGTCAAACAATGGTGTTGCACATCGAAACCTCCGAAATTGATGGTTGATGAGAATAGTGGTGGTCGTAATGTTGTATGTAAAATGTCGTTAAATGTAAAATATCGAATCCTCTCGATGATCACACTGTCGTCCACTTGGTCACTAACTCTCTGGGTTGTTCAAGTCGTTCAACACAACAATAACACAACTTTGTCAAGGCAGCAGTGGTGGGATAAATGGAGGTAGTTGTCTAGAGGACGACGTTTCACTTGGGGCGCGTGTGAGGAGCCGCGTACAACAGCCGCTCCGATGAGCCACTGGGGCGCTGGTGACGCCGCGAGGATCTCGGCGGCGGGCAACGCTGCTTCGACGCGATGGCTCTTCTACAAGATCAACACTCACACGCACACACACACACACGACTATTTCCTCAAATTTAACACCTAGACGATGGCTCCGAGATGATCGTAAAAACCACTGATATTCCTTGTATTTATTATCAATATTTCACACTACCTATTCTCCCTTTTCTCCCTTTTTTATTCCCCACTCGATGGTGATGATGGTGATGATGATGATAATAACTGCCAAAACTATAAAAAACCAGAATTATCAATAATCGAGGGATTGATAATGGAGAATTGGTTGACATGTGCAGCCATGTGGTGAGTTTATGTATTTAACAATGGTGTAATTTTGGATTGGTTATTTTGGTGTGAATTTTGGATTGTCGCCGTAGTTTTAATCCAGTGGATGAGATGGACTCGCTCCTGAGGACTGATGAAACGGCGCGAATACAACTTTCTTATGACGACAATGAATAACACCGCGCGCACCGATCAACACACCGTGTCACACTGGCTGGGCGCACGCCGTTTTTCCTCTCTCCTACCAGCAACCAGCGACGATAACGCACCCGAGCTCCACTGGCACCATCTTAACTATCTCTCCTCCTCGGTGGGCCTCCCTCTCTCTTCTTCTTCACTTTTTTTTTTCTCATCCACTATTCCCCTTTTTTTCTTCAACTCTCGTCCCCCCCTTTTTCTCTCTCTCTCTCGTGTCCCCCTACACCTCTCTCACTCTCGCTGGTCTCTCTAATGGGCGCGCGAAATCGACGCGGACGACAACGACAAATCGTCAAACCTTTATCACCCCGCACATTAACCCTCTTTTTTAAATATTATGATAATACGGCACTTGTGGGATCACGTCACGGCAGACGGTGCCGTTTTGATGATCGCCACTCGATATTACAACACGGTATTTGCGATCTGCCAAGATCACAGCCGATGGGGTTCCGCACCGCGCGAGTAATCGGCTAACGTAAAATGGCGGCCGCGCTGTTGACGACAAGTTTTTCTACGCTTGTCAGAATATCCCTGAGGTTGTGTTGCCATTGGATGGACGGTACTGATCGTTTGGGGTATCATTGGCTGGGGCTGGGGCCACGTGATCACTCTATCGATGACCATTGGGTGGTGGACCGCGAGGCCAACAACGCTTCAACCTAGGTACACGGAATACTCAAATCACGTCCCACCGGGTGTACAGATTATCCAAACAAAGTCACGGTCATTGTCCTATACTCTGATTTTACGTATTTTTGTATACTGTCGAGTAATCCTCCGTTTATTACCGTAAGTATGATGTTGTTAGCGTATTTTGTTGATGGCTCGTTTTGATGTTTTTCATTTTTAGTGGCTCGTACTGCGGTTTATTGGTTTTTCTTTCTTCTTTTCATACTTTTCAATTACTGGCCTCGGCTTTTTGGGAGGGGTTTGTATTTTTGGGGGGTTGAAATTTCCTAGAATTTGGCAAGTTGTGGTTTTTCGTTTAGATGGAATAAGTACTAGGTACTGAAAGATGTGTTTCGAGGAATTTGTTTGTTTATTTATAAGCCATTTGGCTCCGGCTTTTTTTTGGTTATAAAATTCAATATTGTGGACGTTTCTGGTGACAATGGAGAATGATTTATTGTTAGTTCGAGTTCGACTTTTACTTTGATGGAATGGTCTTTTGTTTATGATAATATATCGTTGAAGTCTATTGACAATGAAAAAATATTCAGAATTTATGCAAGCCCACGTTCGTTTGTACACCACCATCTCCATTTCCATTTTTTTTTTGTCTACAAAAGAAATCGGAGGAATTTTGTTTTACAAAATATTGACAATCATCTAAAATTATTTACAACCAATTGAAATTAATTCACATCATATCCACGGTCTTTTAGTTCAACATAGAATATTATTTAATTAAAATCCACCGTCCGCTGTGTCTTCTATTTGTTTACCATGAAAATAAAAAACCCAAATACTTTCTCCCTCATTTTCAATGACAAAAGTATTATTTACAATGAACTCAAGTCCAAATTCACCTGTGAATTCAATGTACTTCCTCTATTTACCCCATGTTTTTTTCTTCTAAAAAAAAATACTGTTGCTACAAATAAAAAATTGTATACAAATTTGCAATTACAACAAACAAACGCAGCGTTTAGCGCTCGGTATGAATGACCGAGCACCGCACAATAATAGAAAAGAAAAACGGTGTACATAGTACCAGTTAGCAAGGTGTATACCCCTTCATTTACAATAACGTGCAACATAACAAAACCACGCTTTTGTCCTGTCTTTTGTTCGGTGAGAATGAATGACAGTGTAAATGCGATCAGATGGCAAGTGAGTGCAGTGTCCTGACCGCGAGATGGCTGAAAATCACTGTACAGTCTGTTAAAATGACAGGTATATAGCCAGAGCCACCCCAGTGGCGATCGAAGTGAGAAATCCCGTCGATCGAATGGCAAATCCCGGGTCAAATCCGTGAGAATGACCTCTCAAGGTCACGCCAATGTGGGTCAAATGTTAGGAAATTCTGGGGGTCAGACGTGCCCCTTTGGGTCATTCAACAGGGTCATCTTGCACAGAGAGCAAAAAATTTTTTTGACAGATGCAAGTGCGAGGGCTGAACCCTCGTGCAGAATAATAATCAGAGAAAGGGTATACATCCGAGTGGGAGGGATGCCACGCGCCAGGTTGACTTCCAGCACAAGTAGAGGTGTGAACGGCACGCGACTTGACGCCAACGCATACTCATACGTCTATTGGCATACACATGGAAAATCCTGTGGTAGGAGGGAGGAAAAGCCCACAGGGGACTTTAACATGTGTTAGCTGCAGAGTAGATGTGTCAAATGACTCTACAGTAGCGCTGTAACAGGGCGACGGCCTCTGACTTGACTTGTGGGTATAGACTGTCCCCGTGCAGTCAGATTTTTTTTTTCTTTTCCGGTTAATTTACATTGCCTTGACCCGATTTGGGTATAATAAGGATTGATCAGGACTTTAAAAATGGATAGATGTCAAAAATCTGTTCGGGATTTGAACTCGAAACCAGTCGCATGTGAGTCAATAGACTTACCCACTGGGCTATAGTCAGGAGTGTGAATAATCACACTTTGGCATTGGAAAAAGAGAAGTCCCTGAAATCGAGTTTGACGGCGTGGTAGCAGCCACTCAGCGGCAAGACTCGGTGACAGCCGCTCTTTGTGGTCTGATGAGGTTTCGCCGGGTGGCAGGAGGGGTCGGAGGGGGCCCTCGGGGGTGGGTTAAAGCATTGAGGGGGGAAAAATTCACCAGAACAAGAGAGAAATGAGTGGTTCTCACCCCTCCTCCCCCCCGTTCCGGTTAAAAGGTTCATACGTTCTAGCGTTAGGATGAAGGGGGGGGGGGGGGATGCGGGGGAGTGGTGGCCCCTCCAATGAGCGAAATGCACTCTGGGAGCGCCATGACGCCTCATCGCCATTACACGCGCACCTTTACCCGTTCATTCATGAAATTTTGGGTAACTTTGGAAAAATTGTGGGACATGTTTTTTTTTTTCACTGAGTCCTGAGGGGGGATTTATCGCGCATGCTGGGGGCCATACAACGGGTTTTTTTTTGTAGGGGGACCGGGGATTTTGACAGAGGAATCGATCATTTCTGTGTTATCGACTGAGTTGGTCATTGATGACTGGAGGGGGAGTAGAAGGATGATTTCGTTGTTGATCATTGGAGATTTTTTTAAATGAATTTAAGGCAATCGCCGGTGATCTGTCTCAGGGGTGAATTTTTGATGCAGAAGATAAGACTTAATTTTGGTATCGATAACGATTCTGAGGGATTCTGAATGACTTGTTAATATGAGGATTGTTGGTATTAATTTAATTTGGCATATGCTTCCGAGGGAATATTTTGGGAATTTTTCATTAATGCCCCGAGCGGGTGTGCAATGTGCGGGGGAATTCGAATAATTGGACTTGCAGTAAAGTGCGAAATGGTTGAATTACATCTTAATTAATTCATTAAGGGGTTACAAGGACGCAAGGTTGCTGCGACGTCATGTTTTTGATGGACAATTTGTGCGCGAGCGCCAGACGAAAAGCGGATTAATGGGGTCACGTTGAATATCCAAATTTTGAGGGGAATTTAATGCTCGATTAAGGTGACGGGTTTGTCCGAGTGAAATTCTGATCATCTGAACCACTTGACCTAATTTCGCCAGACAAGCATTGCAAAGCGCAATAAAAAAAAATATATATAGAAAAGATCCAAAATGTTTATCCCGAAAAAAAAATCAATCACTCAATTGATTAATTAGGGGAAAATGAATTGATTAGGAGTATGCGATGTTTTGGAGTTAATTTCGGAGTGGTGTCAACAACCTGAGTAGAAATTCCATTGTACATGTCGGAAGTGAAAAGTTGTAGGCGAAGGTTAACATTGGTGGCTCATCGCCCCGTTCTGAAATTTTCTCCACAGTTTGTATTATCCTGAAGACCCCCGAAAACCCCCGGCCAAGGGATGAAAGCTGATCGATCGCACTATCCCTCCTTCGAAACCCATTCGCTGTAGACTTGCGCGTCAAACATTCTCTCACGAATTAAGTTGCCGAGATATGTGAGACCTGCACCCACGAAATCACTTGGAATCCCCTCAAATTAATATGAGTATTATCTTGTGGATGCCCTTAGACACGCTTCTCGGGATTCTCTCATTCCTTGGAGATTCCTTTGCAATTTTATATTGAATTTTATAAATTAAAAATGCCACTTTTTATAGAAATTAAAAAAAAAAAATTTCTCAAATTCATTTCGTTTATTTTACGAGGGACTGATGCTGTCTGTTGGGAAAATAGAATGAAAATATCTGTTTGTTTTTCTGAGTCAGCTGTGTGTCGAGGGGGAGGGGAAGGTGAAATGAAACCGACAAGAATCAAAATTAAGGGCCTCTCGTGATAAAGGTTAGGCTTTTATGGTCGCGTGCCATTACCCCCACCCTATAACGACGCGCAAAATTTTGAATTGTCGACTCGGGATTTTTTTTCGATGTTGGCAAAATTATTTTGATAGGCAGTGACTGAAATTCAGGGCAGAATATGTAAAATGGAATGGTACTAATGGTCATTTTACTGTTTCTTGAAATCTAAGTTGAAGTAAAAACATTTCTCGTATTTTTTATTAAAGTTGAATGAATTATTTGATTTTAGCATGGCAGTCTGCATCTTTAAGGCTATAAGCTCCAATTAATTCAATATTTTTTTAATTTTCAGTTCAAATCATGAGCAATGAGATTGAAGAATCTCCTCAAGGTAATAATTATGGATAAAAATTCATAAATCCATCGAAAACTCTCGCTATAAACGTTATCATAATTTATTTTATTCTGATTGAATGTAAAAATTAAAAAAAAAATAAGTTGGAGTTATTTGAAAACTCCCACGAATCATGAAAAACTCTGGAAATGTACATTCGCATAGGGAATTATCAGAGTTCGAAGACACATGGCTTTTACAATTTCACTGCCACAAACAAGATAAATTTTCATTTCTCCATTGGCATTGGAAAAATAATTCCACCTTGGAATCCCATTATCCTGATATTGCGTTGTAAATATCAGATAAATTGATAGGCGAAATCTTATCGAAAATTTTCATACGAACAATTGGCATGACTATAAAATATTCATCATCAACGTACAATATTTCTCACCCTAGGTATTACTCATGCTGTGTTTTCACAATGTGCAACATTGAGAGAAATAAATTCAACAAACAGGTCAATCTACATTTCATTTCACTGATTTTCCTATTATTTTTTTCATTCAAAACAAAAACAAGTTGAAACTACGATAATAACAAGAGCATGAAAGACGAAACAGGAAATCGTGAGCCATAGCCCAGTGGGGTCTCAATAGATAAAATATTCCCTTTAATCCACTAGCCAAGTGGCAACCCATAAAATATCAAAATTACATTTTGAATTACGCATTTATCTTGAGAACCAGTGATCCAAGAAAATCATTTCCCTCTAGTACCACTGATTATCGAGTTAATTAAATATTTAATAAGGTGTGCATTCTCGATCTTGTTTACGTTTTACCACTCCTCCACTGAATTCGAAGTACTAACAAAACCTAAGAGTGTCTAATTCATTCGATAGGTAGAAAACCGTTCTTTGTACATATATAAAAATCATTTTTCAAATATTTAGAGATTTTTTCCAGTAAACATGTAGTCACTCAACTCAAGTCTCTAACGAATCATATAGCCAGTCTCAATCCTTTTTTCCTCATCAATTGCTTCTCGATTTTTATGTACTCTTTGCATGATTTGAGAGATGTTTTTCTTGATGTCAGACACGCGATGACCATAACAGCACATTAAAATGTTTCATAGAGAATGTCAACGTTGGAGTTGTCTTTAACAATAATGTGCGCTGAGTGTTTAGTGAAAATTTTGTTGTTAATGCGCCCCAGTGCGGTCAATCGTCCTTGGACTTTGCCTCTGACTCTTGCTGACTGCCTTCATCTTCTTCGTCGGAGTAGTTTGTCGGTGCCTCCCCTGGCTTCAATAATTTTCCTACGTAGTCATAACGCTCTAAAAAAAGTACATTCAACTGTAGTCATGCATTGAAAAATTGTTAAAATTTATTTACATCTATTTTACGGCCGAGTGAAAGATAACATTATTTATTATTATTTTAAACTCTCAGAAATTTCAAATGAATAGAACAACAACTCACGTATCTGTTAAAAAAAACCGACTTCATCATCGATAAGAGTTATTCTAATAACCTGGAATTCCTCAGCGATATTTTTAAATTTCAAATTTTGGGTGCTACCTTGACCAATCGGTTGCGACCTTTGATCCCATAAATATGCGATTACAAAACCATATATTTTTCGTTTATTCTCCGTCAAAAATTTTCCGAATATTATTGTTGGGCGGATATTTCTCGACAAGTCGTTTCTCGCAACGTACAACCGATTTTGTTACGTAACCCGTTATCGAGAGCTAATTACGACTTTCGTCGTATTCAAACTAAATGACTCAACACATTCCCCCTCCAACCCAATGTTTTTATCGTAAAAGGTGAAGAAAAAAATTTGGTTTTACCTTTGAATTGCTCTTCCCACTCGAGAATGGAATTCATCTCCGTGGTATTAAGATCACTCAAGTCATCGTACTCATCTTTACCAGGAACCACTGAAAAAGTCGCAAGTCCCCTACTAGCATCTCGTCCACCGAAGGCTGCGTAAGGTCCATCTGCACACAATTTATCATCAGTCTGTGTTCAATTAAAATCGTATTACCTAGAAATTTATGACTTTATAATTGAACTTTGACTGTTAACCAGAAAAAAAAAGTGATGGAAAGAATACCTCGGTTGATTCAACAGTACCATCTCACGATCCCATGCCTACGCGATTATTTTTATATTCCAGAGCACTGGCACTGATGATATCATCGTCGAGGGCAAATTGCCTCGTGAAAAAAAACCCACTGAATTTAAAACAAGAAGAAATGACCAACAGCAGTTACGAGAGGCAAAAAAATGCGTAGACCAGACAAAACAACTAATGTTTTGATAATTAAAGGAATGAATGCATCTCTTCGATTATTTATCAGTTTTGAGTTCCGAAAAAGGCCCTGAAGAACTCCGGAAAACATCAATGATTCGTTCGATTGCCCATCAATTCCCAAGGTCATTCTGTGACGCAGATGATTGTCCCTAAGTAATTTATACCAATCGCATGACCGAGCAGACATCCGTCCATTGAACTAAAAAAAATTTCGCAAATGGTCCACAAATTTGAACAAAACACCTATTTAATGAATAAAATCCCAACTAAATTCCCTGCTTCCAACAAAAATAAAACAACAATAAAACCAACAGGTGAAGTAGTTAAATAACGTTATCGTAATCTACATTCTGATGATAATCCAACTGATAGCAACAAAAGACATCATGCAGTTCGTAAAAATGAATAAAGTTAAAAAAATACGTGTAAAATACCTGGGCCATAGAATCTCCTGCCCCTCGTGACATCGTAGACACTGCCATTAACAGCCACAAGAATTCTCTCATCAGGTCCTTTTCCATCATATTTCTTCAACTCCTCAACAGTAAAATCACGCCTGATCCTGGGTAATTCCTTGTACGCTGGTGCCGGTGTCTCGTCCCTCGTTTTGCTCTTGAATATCTTGTAAACGAGAAATGCTATGACACCAACGAGAATTAAGTTAATAGGACTCTTGATTATTTCGTCGGTGAATGAAACAGCGAATGATTGCCCCTGGAAAATTGGGGCTTCAGTGGCGGAAGCCGGCGAGTCATGTTCGGCCATCTTGACCACTGGTTCGGAGACAGTTAAGTGCGCGCGTTCCACTTGTTTCTTTTTTTTTAAAAAAACTCAATTCAAAGGGGAATGAAAATAAATGGATTACAGGTCTGGTAAATGCGTCGCACACGATTGCACAGGGATGTCTGAAGGAGACGATACCGTTAGAATTGAGATTGAGTTAGCATTGGGTGGAGGGGACACGTTGGATTTTATAAACAACGCCACCAGATGGTGGGTTCCTGGTACTAGGTGAGGCGCCAATGATCCTTGAATTATCACGATTATCACTGAACTGGCGATTGCCACTCGATTCACTGCCACTCCATCCCCAGGAGGTAATGACTGCTTGTCATTATCCCCTCTCCAGGTTCATCGTCTCACCCCTTTTCATCAATTGTCGATATTTATTTATTAAGAATTTATTAATAATCTCGCTTCTACTTTTTTATCAATCTCCAGCATTTTTATACACTAAATTATTTTTTGGCAATAGATTATGATTATTGCCTTTACTAGGGATTTACCTCGATTTGGATGAAAACATGGGCAAGTATGTTCTGATTTATTCATTGGGATACCACCTCAATAAATCGTTATTCATGCTGAAATGGAAAGTTGGTGATAAAGGGAGTAATGTAGTTGATTAGATTTTATGAGCCATTATAGTTGATAACAGTTAAAATATTGGAGTTATCGCGGGTTAAAAAAAGTTAATGAAATAGATTAGATTCTGTTCTTGAATGATGTTTTTTTCATTAGATTTTCGACTTCTCTATACACATCGGCATGTTTTTTTCTCGTGAATTTATAAACTTCCTCTGGGTTTTTATTAAACTGCAAGAACGCAATTTTTGTTTTATTTGTACATTTTCTACAGGTAAATCTCCTCATTTATCATTGGCAAATGATATTTACAAATCATTGTTTAATAGAGGAGATGATAAATAGGTACATTTATAAAGATGGCTTGCACTCATCAATAAGTTTATAAAAAACTAGTGCGGGGTGGGAGCTGCTCCCTATTAATTGCGAAAATTATGAGACGACTGAAGTAACTAAGTAAATACTAAAATTACAAAATTACCCTTCAAGACCTTTGAGATTTGTTCGGTCCACTGAAGTGATTCGTCTTCCCATGGAATACTACGAGGTATGAGTCTTGAATTTTCAAGACTATATTATGATATATATATATTATGATATATTATGATTTCATAATGCGTAAAAAATTATACGTGAGTATCAATTACGTATTTTGGAATATGTACAATTCTAATGCTGTGATTACCATTACGCAACTTCTTTGTACGGTGTACTAAAAATATATAGTCTCAACGTGGACGGATTGTTTGATTTCATTCTGAGATAACGCGACTGCCTTCAATAAAATACGAAGACAATTTTATTATTTAAATATGAGTTCTCTTATCGTCTTGGAGATCAAGATATGGACGGATATTGACGCTCTGTGGCACCATTTTTGGATCCACTTTCTCATTGCACATTGGACAAGTCTCTTCGGTCTCAACGATTCTGAAAGTAAAACAGAATATTAATTACCTAAAAAAACAACTTCCCCAATTATCTCGTTTTATTCACCTCAAAAATTCACTTTGAATCGCCGGAAAATCGCACTGAGGACAAACTGTAAAATCATTCTCCACAACATGTCGACCCTAAAATAAAATATCCAAATTACTTCCTTACCAATGCCCCAATACTATGTTCTTAATTTTCATCAAATTACCGTAGCGATGCAGAAAGGAATAGTGTTTTTACACTTATCACAATTGATATCCGTCTCAGGAATTCTATTTTTGCAGTACGGACAGGGAGTCATGGCCTCATCCTCAACCTCATGGTCCCTGGTCTTTGGTGGTTTCCTGACTATGGCTTCTATTTTCTTGCTGTACTTGGCATCCACCTGCAACCTGTACTCCGGTCTCATGAGCATCGCAGCAAAATTGAATGCAGCATGTTTAAGTCCAGCTCGATGGCACTCAATAACCGTAGACGTTAAAATGGGCACAATGTGCGATGGAAATTTTGATATATTATTAGCAACCCTGATAAGCATCCTAGCGCCTCTCAAGTGATCATTCCTCTTGACATGGAGCCTCACAAGAATATACGAATGCAGCAGACAAAGATTATTCCTCATCTCCTGAGGAATATTAATATTATTCCTCTTGAGTTCCTGATACATTCCAAACAGGACATCATGAGCATTTCTATAATTTCCACTGATCTGCTCCTCATTAGCAATAATAATTGCTGTCTTGGCGGCTTCTCTGTACTGCTTCCTGGCCATATAGAGTCGAAACAGATATTTTGGATCTCTGGGTAGTCCATCGCCACCCAGTAAGAAGTCAATCAATTGACTTGCTAATTTATCGTCCCTCGAGGATGCGACAGTGTCGATCGCTAAGGAGAGGGCCTCATCGTCATTAGCTGCGAGATGTGACGCCTTTAACAAGTGCCTGAGGGCTTTGTGGTACTCCTTGGCGTAGAAATAGTACTTTCCAGCTAGCAGACTGTTCTTCTGGGACTCGAAGTGAATGGCCAAGCTCCTGAAGTCCTCCAGCCTAACATTATCATCGTCTAGAGTATTTATCAGAATCTCACCATACAGCTCCATCTTCCCATGCTGATTCGCCAATTGGAAAGCCTCATCATGACAATTAGAAAGTATCAAGAATTTAATGGCTGAGTTGTAATCGTTCATCCTCTGGAAGAACCTGGCGACCATTTTTGCACCCTCAATGCTCTTTGTCTGCTGAACAATTTCGACACTTCTCGTTGGATTGTTCAAGTGCTCAAGATTGATCCTGATGATGTTGTCGTAGTCTTTAGCTGTTTCGTAAGCCCTTGCAGCTTCCTCATACCTTCCCTCCGACTCCTTGGCTTTGGCGTACTGAATATTGATCTTTGGTGATGATATCTGTGACAACAATTGCCCTACTTTAACCCAATTCTTCAATTTTATGTAAGCAGAGGCTGCTTTGTCAAAGTATTCCGCTTTCTCGTAGAGAATGGCTGCCTCGTTGAACTGCTTCATTATTTCCAAGATCTCAGCGCATTCCCTACGAAGATTTCGAGGACTATCCGGATCCATGGCTATGCTAACTCCTCTCCTGGAGTCTCCACATCTGATTGATGTCCTTGCAATGCCACCTAGGCACTGTATTCTGTGGCTGTGCTCCTGGGGGCTGGAGATCTTGTCACTGTCTGTCAATCCTCTCTCGTAATTTACGAGGGCTTTGGGATAGTTTCCTGTGAGCTCCAGCTGTTGTGCGTACTCCTTGGCGATCGAGGAAATTTCGTCTGGCTTGAGTTTCTGGGCCAGAGTGAGGGCCTGCTCCCACTGCATCAGATCTCTCCTCAGATACAGAGCCTCTACTGGTTGGGAGGACTGGAGAAAGAACTTTTCAGCTCGATTGTAATCCTCCAAGAGGGTGCAGACGTGTCCTGATAGTAGTGCAAGCTCCTCGATATTCTCCAACTTCTGGAGGGCCCATACCATCGAAATATCCTCGATATGACGATAGACTCTAATCGCCATTTCAATTTCTAGATTGGCCAATGTACTTTTACCAAGTTTCAACCAGTAATCCTTGTCATTCAGCATCTCACAGGTGCTCCAGGCCTGGGGGAAGCGTTTGCACTTGATCTGATGCTCCAGGATTTCAATAATCTTTCGATTCTCAACAATGTTGCCCACGTCTTCGTGGGATGTCAGTGTTATCTGGAGGAGTTTACCACCAGCCATCCCCAGGGTAACCTCACCACCGTACATCAATGTTGGAACTGTCTCTGATGGCAATTTTGTTGTGGATATCTTCACAACTTTAGTCCCATCAATATGGTATTTGGTATAGACGTAAGTTGTGATTGTTGTTTTGTTGTACACTCCAAATACGAATCTCTCGAAAACGTTTTGATCCCAGACGACACCTTCCATACTATCTGGAGGCTCTGGCACCTGGGAGACACTCTCGTTCACAGGATCGTAGACATAAGCATCGGATTTCTCATCTATGAAGCACATGATGGTGCCATTGGCGTCCAAGAACAGCTGCTTGATCCCAGTGTTGTGGGATAATTCAGTGGAGTGATTGAAAATGTCTAGATAAAAATTAACAATCTTTCCCATGTCAGTGCCAAACACCAGGAAATCAGGGGACAGAGCGTGACACGTGATCTTCCCCTCGGTCGTACCAGAGTCCGAGAATATTTTCGAGTCTTTTCCCTCCTTGATCAGTGCAGGATCAGTTTTGATAGTGTGCAACTGGATTTTTCCATCGAATAAGACAGACGCATAGATTTCATTCAGTCGAATGCTGTCCACAGTGGAGAGGTAGTCGCGCTCGAAGTGAATGGCTCTGTCACTCTGTCCAGCTGATAAATTCCAGAATAAAGCACGATTGTTCAAGGCAACAGCCACATGGAGGGGGCCAATAGCAAGGATTGAGGGCTCGATGATCGTATGGATGAGATGAGGCTCCGGTTTATCTTTATCCAACACGTACAGGTGAACAATGACTTCAGTGAGACTCGAGAGAATTGCTATCCTGTTACCACATATACTTATCAACTTGGGAATTTCAGCGAGGTAAATTAGAACGTTTCCACTGTGGGTCACAGCAGCTAGCATCGTGCCATCAGCTGACCACTCGAGACTGCTGACACCTGCCTCTCCACTCACCACAATCACCTTCTCAGTCTCCTCCAGATTCTGAACACTGTGAATTTTCAGGGTATTGTCACCACAAGTCGCCACCTTTCCAGCAACAAGACTCAACGAAATTCCATTCAACGAGTCCCTATGATTCTTCATCTGGAACAACTCTCGACCGAGTTCTTTAATATGAGTGGATATTGCTATGAGATATCCGGCCTCAAATCCCAGTAGAATATACCCATCCCCATACCATTTGTAAGTGACAATGGGCCCATAAAGCTTCTGGAATCCCAGATCCATGGGATTGTCAGGGTCCTTGATGTTGTACAGAAAAAGTCTGGTCTTTCCCACAATGAGGGAAACTGTGTTCTCACCGCTCATTCTGTGCTCCATCTTCATCTCGTTGAACTGCAGATCCTGAGGATCCCCAGGTAGAACAATTTCTTTTCTGGTGTCACCCTCTGATGTACTGATGGTGAGAATTCTGTCTTCTCCAGCCAGGGCAAGCACACCCTCACGCGACCAAGCACCGCAGACTATTTTCTTCTTGTGTTTACCAATTATTGGTATTCTCCTGGCGTGCGTGTGATCGTAGAGGGCTAGGTTTCCCCTCTGGGTGCCCACACCCAGGAGACAACTGTGTTTAGCCCACATCATGCAGGTGAGTCCGTCCCTGACACCAGCGTCTATCTGCGATCTCTTCCCGGTCGTTGCGTCCCACAGAGTTATCGTCGAGGAGTTATTGGTTATCATAGCAAGGACATCCCCATCAGAATCCCAACCAAAACCTGTGCAGATACCCATTATCTGGATTCGCTCCTGGATCTCTCCCTGTCTGTCGTAAATCGATACCACTCCATCACATCCTGTTGTAGCTAGGTGAGTGCTGTTTCCTGGCCTCCAGCAGGTGAAGACACTTCCTGGACCATGGGGGTGATCCAATTTGTACAGAACCTTGGGATTTATTCGAGTCAGTCAAGGTGGAGTGGAAATTTAATTATAACCTAGTTCTCATTTACCTTGTCTGATGTCATGTTGACGTGCAGAGAGTTAACCCCAGTGAGACAACCGGATCTCTTACTCCGAAGACCGAACAATTGGGTCACATTATACTTACTATGGGGATGAAATGTTGTTTCTGATATTGATTTATTGAACCGGCTTGTCAACTACTGGCAGGCGCTTCTCGGTACTTTCCATGTTTCCATGTCGTTTTGGAGCGTCTGAATAGCTGAATCGCGTTTACTAAACATGAGTCCTCGGGGGGGGCGGGAGGGGCGACATAGGGGTGGGGGAGATAGGAGGGATTTTTTAAATATCAATTGTTGATCGATCAATTCTTTGTTTCATATTTACTCGTCTTATTAGATCATAATAAAACTGTCAAACATATAAAAATGAAAAAAAAAACATTAATCCCATTCCCAGGTCCAGGTGCCGAAGGACCCAGGGTTCTAGAAATTATACGAAATCGCTAATATGAAAATTAAAGAAACTTTTAAATTTTCTGGTATGTCGGGAAATTTGTTTTGCAGAAATGAATAGCGCGCCAATGCGAACGTCTCCTTTTTTATTATCATGAAAAAAGTGGGGGATATCTCGCGAATCGTCATACCCGAGGCTGAACGAAGTTTCATTAGTTATAAAATCGCCATTCCGCAGCTGTCCCTCCACGCCCTGAATCCGCAATTTCCGCAACAGGTAATAAAATCAATTATCCTCGAAACACCTCAACAACACCAGAAAAGGGTAGAGTGATATTTCCAGAAATCTGTGAAATGGAGCAGCATGACCACGAGAACCACCCGGAAGGAATTACCAATCAGGAAAGCTCACTCACAAATCTACAAGGTCTCCAACAACTCATGGAGACATTCAAGGGTCCAAGCACGCCAGAACAGCAGAGTGAAATCCTGCGAATACTCAAGAGCAATCCTCCACTGATGGCATCATTCATAAAACGAAGGCAGGAATCACAGCAGAGGCTCCAGATACAACCACAAATCGAATCGAGGGACGGAATTCAAGGAGTAGATAATTCCATTCGCAGAGATGTGTCTCTACATGAGCTCCAGACGCCTGCTGTCAGAGAAGCTTTAAGAAAATTACTTGTCATCCTCAAAGAGCCAATGACAGCAGAAACGCAACACCGCGTTCTTGAGATACTGAAGAATAATCCACCCCTGACGGCTGCATTCATAAGACAGAGGCGACTGACCTTGGAACACCATAATCAAGGAGTCACACCTCTAGATCACGGCCAGATGTTGGATACTACAGGAGTAGAGCACCTTTTGTCTCAGCTGGAGCTGAATAATAATTAATCCCAGATATTTTGTTATTTAAATTGAGATCAATATAGTCACAACAAATGTACAAAATTATTCTCAATACGAATAGCAAAGTTTTCCTGGAATTATTGCGAAGTTTATTGAATTAGTTAAAACGATTCTAGCGCTTGCACTGGAAAAAATGGAATAATCAATTATCAGAGTTATATTTGTTTATATTAATAAAATATAATTTTGTGTAGAAATGAAAAATCACGAAAAATACGAGCTTGAGAGATAAATAAATAAAAAAACAATGCTGTATAGTTTTGGCCGCGTAATGTCGCAAACATTTCAAATTATCTTGTGATATTATTTGTTTTTCAACTGAGCAGTCGCATATTTTATCATTTTCCGCATCAACAAAAATCTTTAAAAAAGAAATAAATTCCCATTTTGGAAAACGATTTCCAAAGATAGAATAGGACAATTAAATGAATCTAAAATTTTCATAATAATTATTTATGACAATTTTTATTCATTTATTGCATTTATGGACGATTATTATAAATATTAGAAAATTATTACGAACAATTTATGGTAAATGTCTAGTTCAGCTCCACCAAATCGTTCTGGATGTTTTTTATTTGATTGGATAGGTGTCCGTCAGCTAATTAAGGATCTGGTCACTTCTTTATCCGGAAATAATTAGTATGGGACATATGACATTTAATACACCGCTCTTGGCGTTATCCAGAGCCATGGCGAGGACGTGACAGTCTGTCGGCCCCAAAGACACCACATGTTGGCACATTTATAGACAATGGACACACAGAAAGATGGATTTCATCAAATAGTCCTGCACTTCACTAAAACTCTGAATTCACCTCATCCGACCATCTACCATTTCGTATAGTCGAATTAGGCCCAAAAATTGCCTAATTGGGAAATAAATTGACCGTCGATGAAAAAATATTCATTCGATAGATAAAAATGTCTTGAATAACATATCAAAATGATCATAAAAAGATTGGTGCAGAAGATATTTTTTAAAAATGGAAACTTTCGGGTTTTCTAGGGGTTCATGACAAAAACATCCGTAATTACGATCCAAGTCACTGAATCGCTGACTGAACACAACGAGTGATTTATCCACCGCTACCCTTCTGTAGCAATTCAAATTATTTAATTTAATATCACTCACTCGTCCTGTCAACAGCGACAGCAGGGAGAAGGGGGGTTCAAAGAATTTCAGGGACAAGAGAGTTTACCTCAACATTATTTTTCGATGTATTACCTTCTTGTTGTTTCTAACTCTCTTCTTCCGTCTGGTGAATGGGAACTGAAAGGATAAGAATGGATTTTTCGTCAGAGAAATTAATATTGCAATGATTATTGTTTCTGGTGGACCTAAACTATACATTCACCATTATTACTGTTCCCATTTACTAAATGCAAAAAAAAAAATAAAAACATGATACGTGGAACAAAAGCCTGAATATTTATCCATTTCCTGGATATAAAAAAACAGCGTATATAAGGTACAGTAAAATGTAAGACAATAGATGATTTTGAAAACTTGCCGTATTTTATTTTTATCAAGTCGGACAACATGAAGTGTTGGCAAGTTTCTGTTATCCTGCTATTTTTGCTCTGTACTACGCATTTCGCTAGCGGAAAAAAATTAGTTAAAGGATGGTTGACGTATGAGTGCCGAGGAAAATGTGAGACATTGCCGGGTCATTTCTACTTGGAACACACTAGAAAAAAATGTGTTTGCTGGTGAGTTAGTGAATCTCTAGTTTCCAAAATCATTAAATTAATAATCTGAGAAACTTGTTTCCTCAGGAATAATTGGGCTTCACCCGGTCACCGTGTCGAGTTTTCCCTAGAAGACAAGCCCAATAAAGAGTAGAAGTATTACAAATTGATTTTTTAATGCAAAATTCAGTTAATCCTGACAGCTATTAAAAAACAGAATAAATATGTATAACAAAAATTTTTCATTGTAAAAAATTATTAATTCTTCATTCACTGTTTTGAATATTGATTGTTATAAGATAATTGATAAATTTACTAGTCAATGATAATAATACCGATGGTAATATAATGGCATATCTCCAAGGATATATTCCCCATTGGTACCTCCAGCTGATCATATGATTTCCTTCTCCTTTTTTCCTCGACTTAAACTCAAAACTCAAAAGTCAAGTGTTTGACGAAAAATAATTACTTTCCCAAAATGAATTTTCCAATTCACACAAGATAAAATAAAAAAAAATCCAAACGCAAATATCAATGCGCATTTAGTCATAAAATTAATTGAACGTGAATTGAAATTTTTTTTTCTGAGCGCATGTGCGGACAGTCTGTTTACAATAGTAAAGCCAGTAGTTGCCTATAGCAGCTATCACTCCCACCCGCAACTTTATCACTCCACCCTTATCCCGATAAATAGAAAGGGAAAGGGGGTGGTAAGGTGGAAGGGATTTTCTCCATGACACGAGTGCTGTAGAACTTAGTAGAGCAGAGCGCGTACACCGCGATGCTTTGCAGTGTTGTTGAAATTGCTCTGTACCTCGGTTTAAAAGTTATTCTTGGTCAAGTACTCCACTCTGCGAAGATTGTTATCGTAGGTGCTGCACTGCCTCCTGGAGCAGGTAGGTAGATCAATTAAAATCATCGAATCAATCCGCGCATTATATTTCCGCGGGACAGTCTGAGTCAGTCGAAAGGATCGATACCATTAAATGAATTAGTTTTAAGGTCTCCCGAGGTCTTTCGAGATTTAATATTACAATTAAGGTCAACATCAATAAAAATTATAATCAATCACTGATCAATTATATTTTTGACTATCGCCATTGCACCGAAATTCCGTAAATATTGCAGTCTGCGTCTTCAGGGCTCCGATTATTTATAATTAATCAATTTGTGGGGTTTACCCTCAACTTTCATGTACCTTTCATGTACCTCCAATCTATCGTACTCATTATTTACGACTCCCATCAAATTTATCGGTTCATTGACCACCAGAATTATTTTCACTGTCGGACGATCGTTACTCGCACAAGGGAGTGGGGATTCCCCCGTGGATCTAACAGGTGGAAATTTTGTTGTTTCTTTGCGCGTAATTTCAATGAGAGGAAAATAAACGAGGGTTTATAATGGAGTTGACGTCAAGTCCGGGGGATTTCGATGGAATTAATGCCCGCAGGTGTCTACCGAATCGATATCATTACCTTCTATGGTCATGTGTCTGCGTATACCTCGACGATTTAACGACGACCTCAACCTGGGGGTATATCGACGTGGTGTGCACCAATTTTTTTTTTAATCGTGTCAGTGTGTTAATGACAACATGCTCTCATTATTTTCCATCTTCTCTCTCCTCCAATCATCTCTGGAATAAATAAATTCATGTTTCGAGCAGTTCCTCAGGAATTCGCTGATTACAATTTTTATGTACTGTAATTACGAATTCCGTTGGTTGTGATACAGATTATTTTTTTTGCTCAGTTGTTGGTAATTGTATCACAAAATAATGAATGGATTCAAGGATTTCTTCACTGGGAGTCAAGATATCCCCGTGTTCTATCGATTTAACACCTTAGAACCGCTAAAAATATCCGTTCATTTGGTTGTGAAATGACTCTCGTGGAATTTATTCTCATGCTCATTGCGGTGAATTTTCCCGTGGAGTGACCAGTGGGAATCGCAGTTTTGCGAGGTATGACTGACCATAATGGTCATCGCCAAAGCGGAACTCGTTTGCGGCATCTCTCCGGTGTTTCCTGTATTTCCGGACCGGAAGCACAAGCGAACCGTGGAAACAGGTCGTTCTCTGGCACCTTGATGGATTTTTTTTGGAGGTCGCCACTGATTTTTTTGCGTCGCAATTGATATAACTGCTTTCCAAATTCTCTGGCGACCAAATAATTAATTAAATCACCAGTAAGTCTTCTTCGGCATCACCTAGTTATTTGGACTGTATATTTTCCTTCCTCGGCAGCTGATCTCCAGCATTTATTTATGGATTAATATGAATCTTCAATGACGCCAGGTCGGCAAGAAGTCATCGACCTTTAGTCGCATCCTTGAATTAATTATTTATATCCAATCAAGGGCCAGTGGTATACCTGGTAAATATGATTTCTGCACGCAATCGTATCGTGATACGACGGAAGTGGAAGTGTCTTCATCGTAAAGTTCATTCACCAGTGGAAAAGTTTTGCCGGAGAATTCTCGAGGATGGAGACGTAAACAAATTGATTTTCATTTGAATAATGGTGTACTGCCTAGTGCCACTCGGTTCACCTCATGCTCGTCATTTCCTCTATATTGTTCCCGGCTATCATTAGCCTGAGCATGCCATCAAGTTCCATTGATCCTCACTTAATGATAGAATTTGTCAGCCTGACGGTATCTCACCCGAATAAATCCTGCGAATTAATTATCCAAATTCTGTAATTCATCCAGAAGACGAGATCGTTCTGATAGAGCACCTCCCAGGTCGTCAGGTGCACCTCCAAGACTTCTTCTGGACAGGTGCTGAGGACGCTCCACCATGGTTGGATCCAGATCAGACCCTCACCTTCTACGAGACCCGGACAATCCATCACACAGCGACAGTGTTCGTGCCTGGCGACGGAATCGTCCCAGGGCAAAGCGAAAATATACCAAGTGTGGCACCCCAGGAACCGAGCTGCACAAATTGCATCGAGCCCACACCAACGCTGACTGACCCCGACCAGGACGTCGGTATCCTCGTGGGTGATGATCCAGGTCCCAGGTGAATGGAAATTCAATTAGATTCATCAATCAATTCACCGCTAATTAACAAAATAGTCCGGTATTTATTGTATATCTTCTTGTTACATATTTGGTAGGTACTGGTTACTCACTGTTCTTCGATCTGGTGAAAGTGTACCGCCAAAGGTAGAGCTGAGATTGGCTCGTTTATACCGCGCCGCATTTGCCAGACAGCAGCAACGTCATCTTGGCCTGTTATCCACCGATCCCCGTTTACGGAGAGCCACCAAACGAAAATTAATTACCGAGAACACCGCATTAAAAAATCCAAACGAGTCCCTCGAAAGAAGCACAAGCCCCTCATTAATAACAGAGTCTTCATCAACGATTCAGCCAAAGAGGGAAAGCGTGCGAATGAGAGAAGTCAAGATCTCCAGTGATTACAAGTTTTTGATCGATACCCCTGACATCGACCAAACAACAGAATCAACTTTGTTAGTTGAAACTCCTAGAGTTCCATTTCAAGTTGAAGGACATCAGAAAACTGCTATCTCCTTAGAAACAACAGAAATTACGTCCACCGATGGCGTATCATCGACACCTAGAACTATTGAACCCACAGAGAAAACTGTAGAATATTCTCCATCGATTGAAGAATCGAGAAATTGGGGGAATCCCCAGTACTTGATGAGCGCGAAATCCGAATTGTATTCGAATGTTGATGATCAGGAGGCAGTGATGGAGGGTACAGTGCCGTTGGGAGATGGAGATGTGATTAGAGTGAAGAAAACAGGAGAATCTGGGGAGAATGGTACAGAAGTGGTGAGGGATCAGCAATCGGGGAAGACGAATTCAACGAATTCGAGACTTCGGACATCGGGGATGGGAGTGGTCCAGGTGAGAATGCAGAATACGACAGTCCTGGAGGATGGATCAACGCGACTGATTTATTCAGTCCATTTAGGTGGAAAACCAGTGCCAGCTGAGACAGCGGCCAAAGATATGGCACTGCTATCATCTCAGGAGGTGGCACTGGAGCTTGGAGCACCGGTGATTATTCAGAGTGAACGTAAGTGTTGTATTTATTACCCGTTGGAACATAATCATGGAATTGTGAAGGTATTTATTGGGTATTTTAGCGTATTTGAAAGAGTCAAGGCCATTGGCACTATCCAGGAGAAGAGATGCTTGGCTACTCGTTGGAGCTGCTAGCATGGCACTCATTCTTCTCCTGATTCTCGCTGGAATTATTCTGGCGCTCAAGAGGAAGAAGGCACACAGTGCTGTCTCTGCTCCACCAACCCAGAGTATCTTGAAGAAGGCGAGAGGAGGATACACTCCAACTACTCCAGGACTCGATAACACGGGGTACACCTCCGAGACTGAGGGACGAGTAAGTTTTACTCATTGGAATGAAATAAAAGACACAACTCTCTCATCAGTTTTGGAAAAGGGGAATTAATCATTTAGTTCTCGTTTAGTATTCATCATCTAATTCATTCATTTATATCGAATGATTAGAAAAAAAACTAGCGATTGTCTCTAAAAAAACTAGTGCCAACTGGTACTATCTCACTGCCACCCACTGGGTGCCTATCTCGCATGCCATTAAAATAATTACGAATCAACGAACTCCGGATTGCGTGTCGAAAGGTGCGTGATACGAGAAGTTTTGGTGGAGTTGTCTGAGAGAAAAGAGTACAAAATCCACTAGAGTGTTTAGGAATGACGAACGGCATGCGAAGTTTGCCGGAAGCTAAAGAACGAAATTGTCTCGAAACTCGTATTGTTCGATAATTGAAGGGGTGTAAATATTCGCATCAAACATTTGAGAAGTTTCCCCGAGTATTTCAGGTGAATAACTCGACAATCTCACCCATACCAGTACCTTGAAGTAATTACTGAGAAAACAATTGTGTAATTAAAGCAAAAATCTCGCTATTTGTCGCTCGAGACATTCGATAGCCCGAAGCACGGGCAAATCGACTGAGAGTATCAACAAAAAGACATTGATCAAACAATGAAGATGTCCGAGACTCGATACTCGAGACGTATTGATCACTGGAGAGGGCCGGGTTTATCATGCAATGGGTGATTGTCTAGGGTTCATCGTGGCATTATTTTCTGTTGCAGACGGAAGGTACCAGCCAGAGACAGACGCCAGGGAGTATTTCTAGATCACCAGCGACGCCGATTACTCCGGATACTTTAGACGACGAGATTCACGAGTTATCCAGTGACAATAACGACGAGAAAGACGAGGGGGAAATAAAAAAGGACAGCCACGAGCACTGGGATATCGAGGAATACCAAATCTCAGGGAAAAAATCGAGGTATTTATATCAATAATCTCCAGAGTAATCTTCGAGGATGAGAATTCTCAGGCAGAGATGCTGTCTTTATTTTATTCAATTAAATGTCGACTGTGGATTTAATTAAACAGCCGATTACCATCGGCTTCTTGGTCAATTTCTAGAGCTGGAAGACGAAGAATGGCACGAACAAATGCTATAGAGACAGCTGGAAGTCCCGATTCCCTGGAGACCGTGGTTGATCACCAGAAGCATCGGAATTCTCTGGAAAACGGGTGTATTCATGTCCTGGAGGAGACAGCATCGCCGCACTCGTACTTGTCAATGCCATCATGCAAACTATTTCCAAGTATGCGTAGTGTCGAGCCATTATCCAGAATTCTAGAGCCTGTTGTCGTGAGTTCCTTCGTATTACTTTCGAAGATGACATTCTAGTGTCGTAAATTACATTTATTTCTCATCAATGTGGGGCAATCGTAAATTATTACAGGTATGAATTTTAGGTGAGACACTTGGACATGGAGTTTGAAACTCCCGAAATGTCGAGGAGAGGAAATGGATTCAGTCACAGAGACTCCGGGGATGAATTATTAGGGAGGACTAGAAGTGCACTTAAGGATCCAGGAGTTGTTGGACCAATTGTGTGGGATCTCAGAAGACAAAGGGCTGTCGAAGGTCAGATTACGTCGTGGAATTGATTATTTGGAGTGATGAATTTCTTTGATGTACACCAGCCCATCCAGATCCCTGAGACTCCAAGTCCCATGAATAATAATGAACGAAAAATAAAACCCCCGGAGAGGATTTTATCGTTTATTTTCATCGAGATAAAAGCTCTCAATAATTTCACCGCTATTAGAGTTCTTAAAAACTATTTGGTGTTCTTTAATGTCTTGTTGCATTACGCTATTTAGAGAGAATAATATGGAAGAGATCATTATTTTTAGGGAAAATATTTGAGATTCATTCTATTGATAGAATATTGCAAATTCAATAGAAATTTCAATCTCAGTTTCCGGAGTGTTCCCGATTTGATGGACGTCTCAATAAATTTTGGCAAGATCTTCCATTAATGTTCAGAAAAAAGAATCCCACGACCTCATAATTCCATAAATTCTGGGGATTTTGCCAAAATGCTTGTTGAAGCCTTCGGCTTTGGCTTTGAGGCCAGAATTTATCATCGTGACAGAAAATACTGTAAATTTCGGTCGTGACCAATGTCTTGACCGGCAATTTCATTAAATTGTAGTCACAAGATCATCAGAATTTTTCATTATATCAATTTCAATTCTATTTTAATTATGATATATAAATGACAGTTAAATTTTCGTATCCATCTTGAATATTCAGCATCAAGTGCAATTAAATCTCTGCCAAATGGAGAATTACTAGAATATTAATAAAGAAATTCATGTAATTTTGTCGTTGATAAAAATTTTTACTGGAATTTGAAGCTATTGTGGATTTTCCTCAGGTATCTGGAAAATGGGTATTTCTCCTTTACCGAGAATAACCAGATGCAATCGTTTTTTAAAAAAAGATATAACTGTTTACAGAAAGCTTGACATCAGAGACAGACGGGGAGCGTCAAGCCCCGTCGTCCGGACCAGTTGGTCGAGCAAGAAGAAGACTCCACGAGCTCCTCGAGGACTCGTTCAGTCTCTTCAGCACGAGAGAGATAAAACAAAAAGACGCAGTACAAGTGTCTTCTACATTGCGTCCGAATTCAGCGGCAATCGATCGTGCTACGACGAGCTCGACGTCGAGAGGACAATCCGCCCACGTAAGTCCCGTCGGGAGTCCCGTGGATTACGAAAAAAATCGTCCACGCACATCGGTAAATCGAGACGAGATTATCCCGGAAACCGGAAACGTCGGACCACCGGCGAGAGGTGCGTGGGGTTCGAGACCGATGAGTGCGGGACCATTTCACCGGCCAAATTTACCAGAGGTAGACGTCACCAGAGTTCTCGCCGATCCCCAATTAGCACCAGAGGATCCAGCAGTACCTCTGATTGCCGCTATTAGAAAAGAGCTAGAGAAATTTACACCAGAGAGAGTTTAATTATCACGTTTATGAGATTATCGTTGGAATGTCGTGGAATTTATTTCGCCCGTCAAAAATAATAATCCCTTTTTATTTTTCATTTGACGCGAGAAATGATTTTCACACGTCGATCAATCTCTCAGTGCATGTAGAGTTCAATTTATTCAGTATTTCGTACTTCAGTATTTTTTGTAGCGAATCTAGTGCAGATATTGTTGGAAACATTGTATCATTGTATATAAGTCATACTCTTCTTACTGGACTCAAATATTTTTCAATACTTCGTGCAAGATTATTGGAATAAATTTTCACAGGGACATCAATTGAGTCTTTTCTTTATCCTCTCCTCTGACGAGTTCAATTTTATTTGCCAAATTTTTTTACCCTCGGATAAGCAGATGGGAGAATCTCTGAGAACGGAATTGCACAAAACATTTCACCTAGCGCTCGATAAAAAATTCCATCAAAGGTATTTCTTGGTTTTTTTTCTTATTTCAGTACAGAGTACATTTTTAAATGAGCAAAATGAGGAAAAAGGACTTGCCAGCGAAACTTTAATCATTTCAGAAAGAATATAAAAGCTCGGGTATTTAATTTAAATAACTGAGCAATTGATAAAATAACTCTTGAATAATTTTCAGCTGCAAACTCGATCTCTTCTATTTTTACAAACAGCACCCTAGAATCCGAGGAATAAGCAACACCTGGTATAAATCATAAACAAGTTGTTCCCACATGCACCTGAATCATTGGCTGGTGCCAAGACGATTTGAAGCGCGGGTGTCCTCCTTTTTTCACTCCCTCAGGGGAAAAAAAAGTCAACGTGAGACCAGCGAGGTCGACTCCGTTTTCAGATTGAAATTATTTTTGGATCGTCGTCCGGAGCTCCTCCTTGCCTAAAACTGTATCGACCAATCATTCTCCTCTAACTCCCGATCACGTGGTATTCCAATACACCAAAGTGATTTTAGAATCCCGAAAGAGTAATACAAGTCACAGTCATCTGCCGAAAGTCCAGTTGACTAGTCATAAATAAATACCTTATCAACTTTTTTTTTTCATCCTTTCAGGTAAGCGGTTGTACCTCCCCTTATCACACACTAAAGCCGAAGGACTTATCAATTCCAGAATTTAAAAAATATCCAGTGAATTTCGAGGGTCAAATCGATCGTCCGTTAAATCCCTGGGATTTCAAATTTTCAGAGAAAAAATAAAAAAATCGAAATGGAGAGTGATTTGAACTCCCGATAAGGGCCGAAAATATTTAATCCCGGATTACACACTGTTATTATTTTTTACAAATGGAAAGTGTTGGATTGTCGGTGATGGGGATGATAGTGACAGTGATGATGACGATAAGAGGATTTCTGTGATAAGTGCCCTTCGATGGTATTCCGACGGTCTCATATATTTTTATCCCATAAAACTTAACGACTTCTGTACTCTACCTCCCAAGAACAGTATTCCACCTCCCACTCTCCAACCCCCTGGGGAAAGGGTTGACGATCCCCAACACTTGGCTAAAATCGTGCATTTAATTTATAAATACATTTATGACTTTTGCCCTCGCGGTTATGAATTCAGCAAACGTCAGTCGGTATATTCATTCACGTGAACTCATGTATCTCATTCATAATTCGGAATATATTCTGGGTGGTGAAAAGTCTGAATGAAAAGGCATTAGGCACCTGTCGTAAGCACTTCACCCCCAGAATTTCATAATCTCCATAAAATAACATTTGAACCGTGAAATTGAGTCGAAGTCATTGGTGCAGCGATAAATACCAAAATTTCCCAAAAATACGGAAAATGGTGTTCAATTAACTGCACGATTAATTGTGCAACTATCGGTTCACCTATTGGTTGAGCTATTGGGGATGAGTTGTTTCTAATATAACGAGGATAATTAATTAATTCATTGTTCCTGGGTTGAAATTATGGTTTCAGGGGGTGGAAGTACTTGTGGTATTCGAAAAACAATTAGTTGAACTCGAATGGCTGGGGTCCACAGACCGCAGTTAATTCGGATAATGAATTACGCGATAGTGCGCGGTGTCCTGGGGTTTAAAGTACCGTTTAGTTGTTGGACGAGCAACAACTCTAAAGTTGCGCCAAGTTGGATGGTACTGAGGGGTAGAGCATGATTTATGTCCCTGCGGGGGTGTTACAAACATATTGCGATATATTATTTATTTTTTATTATTTTTACATTTTTTCCTTTTCCTATTACCATTGTTACCATGGTTTGATAGGCGCCCCTTCGTCTTAGCCTTTTAGCCTCTCCTACTATCCTCTCATTATTTTTGCGGTAGCATGGGCCGACTTTCTGTACTGCGCCCATTTGGCGTGTACTGAGGGAAACCATGTAAAACCTC